TGTGTGAAAGATCTATGCCACGTGACAGGCCGTGTGGCCTCGAAGATGTGGCCTTTGCAACGGCCGCCTCAAGGGACATTTCTTTGCCTATTGATTCGGCAAGGTTCCATCTTGAAACAACAACATGGGTATTATTAGCTTTGTGAGGAGCGCCTCTGAAAATGAGATTAATCCGCTCGAGACAGCACAGCAACGGCACAGCCAAAGCTTCTCTAGATACAGTTCAACAAGGCGCACCGTTACGCTCCCAACAAATGACATCGAATCACAATCTCGTCCTTCAGGCATCTACATATACTCACCCTCAGCCTGGCAGGCAACCTTCACCTTGAGGCTCATGAGGCGAATCGGAAAAACCACGGAATAACCCGAGGCAGATTGCCCCGCCAAGCATCTCTCCACCAACGTCGTCCCCCGTAGTCGGGAGGTGGGCTTTGTGTATTTTGCTTGCTTCTGAGTGCTATCCCACTTTCACATCTAGTCACCAGAATCGCATCACCTCTTGCGCCTTGGCTCTTTGCCTTCCTCACTCCCTTGGGCCCGCACATCGTCCTTCTCCAGCTCCCCTAGACCTAGAGGCTGCCGTCATCAGTCCCTTCATCACCGTCTCCAGCGCCCCCGACCATCACAATCTCCCGCCGGCTGCTTCAAAGCTACGGTGCCCCTTTGTATGCGCCACGACGACCACGTACGATCGCGCGCAGGCTACGCAAACCCTCTCAGTTACGACCTTTACGTCTCTTTCACTGCCGCATAATACATAATGGCCACGAACGGAGCCCAGGAGGCCTTCGCGCCACCCGATGTGCTGGCTGCCGTCATGACCATGAGGAGCGGGGAGCAGGAGGCCAAGAAGCACGCCCATGAGTACTTGGAGAGATTTCAGAAATCGGTGGGTCGCACAGACTTGATATCTTGATACGGACACTGTTTGCCATGCTAACATTTGATTCTAGAAAGCCTCATGGGCAACTATAATAGGAATTTTGCAATCCGATGCCGAACCAGAGGCTACCCTCTTTGCGGCCATCACCCTGCGTGGAAAGGTTGGAGACTCGCAGAGTGCCACACCTCAACATCACTAACAGCTCCTAGATCACATACGACCTTTCAACTCAGGTTCCTCCCAGCGAACTCCCCGGGCTTCGAAGCCAGATCCTCCTTCTCCTGAAGCACTTCGCCCCCGGGCCCAAACCCATCCGTGTCCAGCTGTGCGTGTGCCTGGCCATTCTAGCGATCCAGATGAAGGACTGGAACGACGTCCTGGCGTCTGTGGTCCAGTCCCTTGGCGACAGCCCCGAGAGCTATGCCTGCGTCCTGGATTTCCTCCGAGTCCTCCCTGAAGAAGTCACCGAAGGTCGAAAGATCACCTTGTCTGTACGTGGATCGCGCAACCATAGACCGGGAACCCGCTCTCTTCGAGATCGTATCGTCTGGTCGTCATCAACCCGAGTACAAGTCTAATTGTTCGAATTAGGAAGAAGATTTGGCGGCACGAACGCAAGCTTTGTTGGGAGATAATGCGGACCAGGTTGTCCAACTCCTCATCAACTATTCTCAATCGTCACGTATGTCGAGCGGTCCCAGTCCCGCGCATTAGCTAACATGTTCTCTAGCTGCTGCTGCCCAAAATCCCCAGTTGATGGAGTGTATTACATCTTGGCTGCGAGAGGTTCCCGTCGGCAACATTGTCAAGTCACCCCTTTTGGGCCTCATCTTCACCGGCGTTACGAGCGACCAGTGCAGCCAGGAGGCTTCCGAGTGCCTCTGCACCATCTTTAGAGAGGCTAGCGATGTGGATGCGACCCCGGATGTCATTGAGATCCTGTTCCCAAGGGTCATCTCCCTCAAGCCTCAAGTGGCCAAGGCAGCGGAGGAGGAGGACGCCGAGACTCTCAAGGCTCTGACCAAGGTGTTTGCTACTGCGGGAGAGAGCTGGGTTGTGGGTATTGCTCGCCAGCCCACCCATTTCCGACCCCTGGTCGAGGCCATCCTGGAATGCGCCTCAAGAGACACGGAGCGAGACGTGATTGAGCACACCTTCAACTTCTGGCTGGAACTCAAGCTGTATCTCGTGTTGGACATCTATATCGAGGGTCGTCTGCATTTCGTGGATATCTACGCTAAGTTGGTGGACATTCTGCTGAAGGATCTTGAATACCCCAAGCCGGACTCGGGCAACGAAAACGACCTCTTCGACGGAGACCGTGAGCAGGAGGAAAAGTTTAGAGAGTTCCGTCACCATATGGGTGACACGTTGAAGGACTGCTGCGAGGTTATGGGTGTCACGGAATGTCTGACCAAGGCACTCCAGGCTATTCAAGTATGGATGTCCAAGTATGCCAGTCAGGTTACGGACACCAACGTCCCTCACTGGCAGGAGCTGGAGGCACCTCTGTTTGCTATGCGTGCCCTGGGCCGTATGGTTGACAAGGATGAGAACATTGTGTTGCCCCAGCTCATGCCTCTGCTTGTGCAGATCCCCAGCCACGAGAAGCTTCGGTTCGCCACCATCATGGTGCTGGGACGTTACACTGAGTGGACGGCAGCGCACCCCGAGTACCTCGAGCCTCAGTTCAACTACATCGTGAGCTCGTTCCAGACAGATTCCAAGGAGATTATCCGTGGAGCTGCTCTCGCCATCAAGTATTTCTGCACCGACTGCAAGCATCTCCTTAGTGGGCAGGTGCTTCAGCTGCAGACTTTCTACGATCAGATCCTGGACAAGCTCCCCGACGCGAGCAAGGAGGAGATCACGGAGGGTGTGGCCAACGTGGTAGCTGTCCAGCCCGTGGAGGAGGTTTACCGACTACTCAAGACGTACTGCGACCCATTGATCCAGCGACTGATGGACAAGGCAAACCATGCCACTGATGAGGACGGCAAGTTGGCACTTGCGGGTAAGTCACCAATGAAAGTGAATATGGGCACCAGCTAACCTTTTACAGATCATCTCCAGCTCATCACCATCTTTGTTCAGAACGTGGTGCCGCCTCACAACCCAGGTCAGGAGAACCTTGCTGTCAAATACTGGCAGGAGGTGTTCCCCATTCTCTCGACTGTATTGGACAACTTCCTCAACTTTACGCCCATCTGCGAGCGCGTTTGCAGATGTTGGCGTAACATGGTCATCTCTTACCGCACAGCAATGGCGCCTATGCTTCCTGACATGGCAAACAAGTTGGCGAGCGGCTTCAACAACTCGAGGGAGGGCTGCTTCTTGTGGGTGACTTCTGCCATCTTGCGCGAGTTTTCCGAGGCACGAGAGCACGTTGACCCAGCGACTACTGAGAACATCTACACCTTCTTTGAGGCTCAGACGACAACATTCCTAAGGGTCATGACGGAGCTGCAGCCGAAGGAGCTTCCTGATGTCATTGATGATTTCTTTCGTTTGTTGATTGATGCTCTGCTCTACTACCCTCAAAAGCTAATCCCCTCTCACCTGTTGAGGTCGATTTTTGAGGCATCCATCTACGCGCTCACTCTGGAGCAGCGTGACCCCCTGTCTTCGACGCTGCACTTCCTGAGGGACCTTCTTTCCTATGGAGGCGATAACCCGGCTACCAGTGACGGAATTCCCGAGGCTGCAGCAGCTGAGATCAAGACTATTGTCAGGAACCTCTTGCTTGCACTTGGAGAGAACCTGGTGAAGCAGGTCATGGCGGGTATGATGATCACGTTCCCACGTGACTGCTTCGCAGACGGTAGTGGTGTCTTGCTGGCTCTGTTTGAACTACTCCCGGCCGAGACTCACCAGTGGGTATCACACACGATACAGCTCCTGCCCGAGGGTACTGTATCCCCAGAGGAGGCGAACCGGTTGATGATCAAGATCAAGGAGAAGCTCGAGTCAGGAGACCCAAGCGCTATCAGGAACGTGCGTGCTGTCCTACAGGACTTTACCAACACGTATAGACGACGTAACGTGGCACCCCGCGACGGTCTCGGCCAGCTCGAAGCTACCCGGTTCCAGTTCTCGGGTTGATCACACAGGGTACTGCAGTAATGGGAAAATGGAGGAAATGCAGGACATGGGAGGGTTGGGAGGGGGGTTGAAGCCCGCCTATCTATATGGTATATCACCAGAGGTAATCAGGCAAGGGCTATGAGAAGATGGATCGACTTGAGAGAAACTAGACGTGTATGTATGGTGGGATTATCAAAGATAATTGAGCGTTTTTTACCGGGGAAAAATGGGGCAGGAACTCATGGAATGGGGAGGCATAGCGATACGATATTAGGCTCGAAGAGACTCGGGCATTGACGACGATAAGGAGGTGCCAATGGATGGGGATGATGACGACTGATTACCTGAACAATGAGAGGGTAAAAGGCAAGACAAGATGTGGAGAGTATGTGTAGATGTAAAAGCGAGAAGGATTAAAAAAAAAGTTGAACAAAGAAGAGTTATAATGAAGCTGCCACGGGTTGGTGATGGGCCAAGGGTTGACCACCACAATGGCCTGGGTAGGGCAAAGATGACCAAAGCTTCGAGCGTCGAGCCATTCAAGTCAAGAGGTAGCAAACTACATGGGTTGGATTGTGCACCTGGCTGCTATTCAGGGATGCCAGGGTTCTTTGTGTTCAACAGGAGGAGTCGCCTTCGTATGCGGCATAGTCGATTTCTCGAGGCCAGCCACTTTTTCTCGAGTTGAAAGAAACAGACGGTTAAATAAGGAAAGGGACATACATGGTGGGGGGTGGACTCGACGAGACAAAGAGGGTTCCTGTTGGTTAGGGGGTTTCCATAGAAGGGACAAAGAAACTCTTGGGGATGGCAGGATTAAAATCAAGTCTGTCGCGCATCTCTCGAGATTTGCAACGAAATGTAACAAAATTCAATCATCATTGTATTCCCAAAGTGCATTCCTTGACTCTTGTTCTATTCCTCATCTCTTCTTTGAAACCAGTGTACATACCCACCACGTCCAAAGTCGTTCTACAAACCCACTGCCATCTCAACTCGCTCCCGCCCGGGTCTTGAGCCTCCCCTCATCATGTTCCCCTTCAGAAACAACGGGCCTGATGTCATTGAACAAGGCGAGGTACTCCCGAACCGCCGCTCGGCGACTCGAGAGCCGAGGCTCCTACCGCAACTCGTCCAGACGGATCACTTTCCCAGACCAGCACGCTACGTCAACCCGGTTGACCCGACTCCGCTGGATCTGCAGCAGCACTTTACTGGCTTGTCGTATCCGGACCCGTTGGCCGGCGGTTTCGGGACCCTCGTAGGACAGGACCTCGGTGCCGGAATCTCCACATATGCGGACCCGTTCCCGGGTACCATCCCAACGGAACAAGTCCACAGCGACGACCCAAACCAACAAAACGAGCTAGGCCAGCTCATGATACCCAGAAAGAGGCAGCGCAACGACACGGCAGGTCGGCAGAGCAAGCGAGCCAAGACGGTGACACTGGCAGCAGCTCTGGGCAATCTCCCCGAAGGGCCTTGCGACTTTTGCCTCAACCACAGACAAGGCCAGGCCATGTACGCCCAGGATGGGCGGTGCACCATTGAAATAGTCCAGGGCAGCGGCAGGGACGTGTACCACCTCGAGTGCCAGCACTGCGCCGACTTCCGGTTCATGAACCCGAAGCGTAACAAGTCGCATGTGTGCGTCGTCGACGACGACGAGTACGAATACACGCGGTACGGCCTCGGGGCTCCGGAAGAGTACCCAGACCACTCGGAATGCACGCGATGCGTCAAGTTTGGGTTTGAAAAGACCTGCGACGCCGACACCATCCTCGGATACAAGTGCTCCAACTGTAGATACGACTACGCCTGCAACGCCGCCGGCTGGGTGCTGCCCCTGAAGCGGCCCAACAAGCTTCCCCCCGTGCAGCCGTGGTACCGGCACGCGTGCGACCGATGCCGCTCTCACGCCATCGAGGACGGCAGGCTCAAGGATTTCGAGATGTGCTCGTGGTTGGAAAACCGCTCCGAGTGGGAGGACGACAAGGCGTGCTCCAGGTGCATACGCGAGGGCATGTCATGTATCGACTCGACCAACCTTGTCCAGGACCACCCAGATGTCAAGCCTCCCCAAGACTGGTCCATCGACGAGAGTTACAACATCATCTGGGACGTGGCCGACCTCACCAGGACTACGACCTGGCGAAAACCCTGCGACGCCTGCATCCTCAGCAACGTCAAGTGTCAAGTCCATCTTGCTCGCGCTAGTCACGCCTGCGAGCGCTGTAGCCAGATCGGTGTCGGTTGCGTCAGCGACTATGGCACAGAACGCACTTACTGGCAACGCACTTACTGGCCTCTGTACAGCCTCAGTCTAGTTGGCTTTGGTCCGCACATGCCCTTTGCGGCCTGCAAGAACTGTCGTGTCAACGACCGCGCTTGCGATCGTCAACGTCCCTGTGACTCGTGCGTCCTCAACGGTGAAAAGACCGAGTGTGATGAACATCAGCGGCTCAAGAAGCAAAACACTCTTCCCAGGCCCGAGGTCGGTAACCTCGGTCCTCTGTACTACCTCGCCATGGGGTTCGGAGCTGACGGCGTCACCTCCGTGAAAAAAGGGGCCGGGCCTGAGGACTGGATCGGTCCCTCGACTCCGAGATACGCTGTAGGCAACTTTGAAAACGACGGCCTCGAGCGCTACAAGACGATCCTCGACGCCCACAGGAACTTCCGACCTCCACTTCCGGCAAAGCCACCTCACGGCGCTCAGGGTGGTGAACTCCTCGCCAAGCAGAACATGGGAAGCATCAAACAGAGCGAGCTCCAGAAGATGATATACGAGATGTGGCCCGGCTACCAAAACCCTTGCGAGTTTGAAGGTTACCGCAACCTCATCTTCCAGTTGGAAAATGAGCTTCCAAAGAACCCTTCAGTTCAAACTGCATCTTTCGATGCGTGGTTCAACTCGGATTCATCACGTACGACTTCGGCTGCTCGGGATCGACGACCTGTGGGTGAACCTGTCCATCCACCCAAGCAGCCAGCCTGCGAACGGCGAGGTTGGAAGCCACCTACAATAAGGCCACCCAAAAATAAACAATACACGTACAGTAATGAACAATCCACGTATGGTTCTCAGCCGGATGTTGTCGCCGACTTGGCTCAACGTCGGTCTGAACGTCAAATGTCTGAACGTCAACTTCGGGCTGAGCGTCGGCAGCGCCGCTACGGTGAGGACACGTTCGGACGGTCCATGAAGCCAACCGTAGGCATTTCGAGCCCCCCGGAAGCGCCTGCAAATGCTCGTCTGGTCATGGCCCGCCGCAAGACCATACCCTCAGGCCGCGCGCCCCAAGATGCCACAGCCGTCGAAGAGGCTCCCTTCAACCCATTTCTAGGCTTCACCATGAAGGGGAAAACAAAGGTGCGGTACAAGACCAAGTCCAGCAACTCGCGCTGGAAGGTCTTTAACCCTCTCGAGCACCTCAACATGTCCCACTGGCATGTCGCCCGTCATCATCAAGACAGCAGAAAGACTCATCCTCGAGTCTTCAACATGGCAGAAGGTCAAAAACTCCCTGTGCCCTTGCGTGACGTCCTCCGCGATGTTCCTCGCGAGGAAGCCGAACAGCGGATCATAGAGAGGTGCGTCGAGCCCAACGATGGTGGTTTTGGCTACTGCAGCAGAGAAAACTCATTTCGAATAAATTGCCAGAGTCGTGCCCACACCAACACGTCGCCGTACAAGTTCCCCGTCTGTAACCAATGCCATGTCGCCAGCATAAACGATTTGTTTCGCGAAGGAAACAGGCCCATCACAAGGAAGGATCTGATCGGCATGCGCGCCTATCTATGCCATGACTGCGCCGGACACATCAGCAGCAGAGCCCTGAACGTGCTAGACTTCCACAATGCTGGGGCTCGTACTGTTCACGGTACATATGCCAAATACGACGCGCCCAAGGGCATATATAACATGGACGACGATCCAGAAAATGCGGTCGAGTTCAGGAGAAACCCAAAGCCCGGTACTGGCTGTTTCTGCGCGGACAAGGTCCTTGGAGGTTGGCTCTGCCGCTACCACCGACTGTACTACGCCGAGGAGATGCTCAAGCAATCCAAGCTGGTACATGAGTGGCGGCTCTCATACTTCAAGAAGCCCGTCTGCCCCGGGTGCCTTGCCTACAAGCCACTCGACGAAGTCAACGTGTCGGCCGACCACCACAACTTTGAGGAGGGTGGCCCAACGGCGTGGGCGTGTCTGTCATGTAGCGAATGGGTTGTGAACCAGGAGAATGACGAGCAAAACAGGCCCGATGTTGTGAAAGGGGCCTTGAGGACTGCCGAGCGGATAACTGATCTCCTCGCCAGGGTCACCGAGCCTCCTGATGATGTGGATATGAATAGCGGACGGTTTGTGAGCCAGGATAGTCAAGGGTACAGCAGGACCATGAACCCTGGTTTTCTTTCGACGATTATGGAGTTTGATGGTGACGTAGAGATGGAGGATGTCTGAGCAGCGTCGAGAATGGATCAAGCGTAGTGCTGGGTAGTTTGGAATTCGGAGTTTGGCGATTTGGAACTGGTCAAGTCTGGACAATAGATCAACTTTCAGACATGCGTAAACAACGTATTCAACTGACCTTGAACAGCAGCCCAGCCCCTAGCAACCATGAGCATCATATCATGCCGCCCGAAACATCTGAGATCCAACATTCCGCTACCTCTTCACGTGAAAGCCACATGGCCAAGCATCCAAAATGATCGGAATGCGAGCTGCCCGCAGCACAAAAGACAAAGTTGACTTGACGGATAAACACATACACAAAAAAAGGGGGTTGCTTGAATTGTCTGACTGAACCATTGCCGCCGGAGAGAACGAGACCGACCTCGAGATGGACTAGAAAAATAGGTAGGTAAGGTAGGTAGGTAAAAAAAGAAAAAAGAGAAGAAGGATCGAAACTGAAATAATTACATGTATGAAATAATGGATATAGGAAGAGCCTGCAGAACCCATACTTGATCTTGAAAAATCATCCTCCCCGGTGGTGACTGACACAAAAAAAGCAAGGAAAAAGTCGGGTGGGTGGTCTCTCGCGAGGTCCTCGGGGGCGCTTCTAGAAGGAAGTGCAAACAGCCAAGGTAGCATCCATTGCGTACACGAACGACATCGGCAGCAGAGGCTTCCTCCCCCCGGGCATCTGATCTGGTTCTTCTCTCTCCTCCCTCCGGTAGATTCATGGTCCTTTTTTTTTTATCCACAACGTCCAAATAACGAGCCTCCAGAGAAACGCCGAACCACGCGCCATGTAACATGGATCATGGGTCATCAAGCATGAACCATCTGGCTTGTTCACTCACGTAGACATGACATGTCGTGGGCTTGCCGGGCTCCTTGGCCCCGAATATCGCCGCTGGGCATCTCCGTCCGTTGGCTGCGTCTGGTTCAGGCACGCGTGTGCCTGTGCCTGAGCCCAGAACCCCGACTCCCCAAATCCCATGCCATCGACATTTTTCATCTCCATGCCCCTCCAAAGTCAGCTGGCCGTGTTGCATCCTTGCATCGTGTAGCACGGATTCAACAGAGCCCCGACATGGCAGATGTTCGCCCGTCCACCACACTGTCTGTCGCGTCTCGCCTCGCCTCGTCTCGAGATATAATCTGTCCTCCACTCCATCACCTTCTCGTATCATTCCTCTTTACATAAGCACGCACTTGGCGCAGCATCCAGCCTCTTGCTCGCCGTTGTCCATATCCATGGGCTTGGGTGGGCCGTTTGCGCCTGCGGTGCCGCCGCTGCCGGTCGAGTAGCCTTGCATCTCGCGGTTGTATCTCCGGATTTCTCGCACGATATCGAAAAAGGCCTTGTCAACGTTGATGCGAGACTTGGCCGACGTCTCAATGAACTTGCAGCCAAATGACCTTGCCAGCGCCTCACCCTCTGCAAAATCGGTTAGTGTATCCCCAGGGAAGCGAACGCCTGTGATGCTGCATACCTTGTCGTGACACGTCTCGGTCGCCCTCCAAATCGCACTTGTTGCCAACAACGACCATGGGGAAATAGTCCTTATCCTTGACTCGCAGAATCTGTTGCTGGAAGGTGGTAATTTCCTCAAAGCTCTGTCGCGAAGTAATGGAATAGACTAGTAGGAATCCCTCTCCGGTTCGCATATACTGCTCTCGCATGGCGCTATACTCTTCCTGACCGGCGGTATCGAGGACGTCGAGCAGAGCAACCTCTTCATCGATAACGCACTGCTTTCGGTACGAGTCTGTTGGGTTCAACGCGTTAGCATAGACGGTTACGGGTGATTGCAGATAGCAGGGCACGTGTCCAACCAACCTTCGATTGTGGGATCATACTCGTCGACGAAATGGCTCTGAATCAACTGAATGGTCAAGCATGATTTACCGACACCACCTCCTCCGACAACGACGAGCTTGTACTCTCGTAGGAACTGCAGCGCGGAGGAATGGTTAGCGACATGAGGGTGATGGCATCAAGGGGCAACAGTAAACAGCCGGCAAGGGACCCGCAAACAAGCAGGTTCCCAGGTGCACCAGAGCTGCTCGCTACCCGTAGGTGTCGGTTGTGTCGTACCTTTGTGTTCGCAGCCATTGTGTCTTGTTGTTTGAGGAGCTCTCTCTATAGAAGCCTTCACTCGTGGGGCGGTGGGATAGAAATCTAACGCGCGCAGGGAGGCTGAATCGTCGTCGCAGGGCCGTCGGATGGATTCAGAGGCGGGCGACGAAGAGTCGGGAGAGAAGGGACAGACGGACGGGACGGTGGGGATCGAGTCTTGTCTGGTCCGGCGGGGAGTGAAGGGAAGCAGAGTCAAGTCAAAGGACTGGAAGTTGCAGAAGAGTCGTCGGTTGCGCGGGATGGTCGATGAGATGAACAAAGGAAGAGAGAATGAATGATTTACCGCTGGGTCGGGCGGACTCTGGCTTTGGCTGCAGGTGCTCGTGCTGGTGCTTGTGGGGGAGGAGGAGAAGAAAGAGGCGACGAAGATACGGAAAGGGCCAAAAGGTTCGAAAAAAAGGCCAAAGCAGAGGGAGTCGACAGTCGGCAGTATGGTACGTACTGGTCGCAGAGCAGAGAGAAGAGAAGGGGAAGAAGCCTGAAAGGGGAATGGGTCGAAAGGTGGAGGACAAGACCAGCCAGGGTGTGCAGCGCGCAGTGCAGTGCAGGGCAGGGAAAGCATCCACCATCCATGAGGTTGAGGTGGAAGGGAAGGGGGGCGTGGATTGGGGAACTGGAGGTGTGTACTGTGTACAAGCCGCGAAGCACTGGGATTGGCTTGGGTCTGGAGCAGTTTGCTTGCTGGAGTGGAGGCTAGCAAGGCTAAGGCAAGGTACCTGTGACCTGGAGACCATTTGGACATTTACGGCGCCCGCTGGGGAGTTTGTAGTGCATTTGGACTGTGAGTAAAGCCACCTCGGCAGGTATCAGGTACTTCAAGGTCAACAACACCCAGTATCCCCAGCAGAACAGTATCCGTCGCCTGCCAGGAGCAAACGGCACCGATTTCTCGCGACCGGGCTGGCCTGCTCGTCCTCAACTGAACGAACCCAGTCATGCTCAGTGCTCACCCACGGCCAATGTTACTGGGCGCTCCCGGGCGCTGAGATGGATTGGATGGATGGGCGCGCGGAGTCCGGCCATCACAGGAGACTTCCCGTCCCGTCCTGTCAGTGGATGCTGGGACCGCTAGGCCAGTGGAAGCACGGCCGGATTGGTCACTAGGGTCGATAAAGCCCAGCCTCTACGGGTTGCTCAAGGGGACGATAGTCGAAGGGGGGCGGCGCGGCGGTCCCTGCGAAAGAGAGAGAGGTTCGTTCATGACCTGTGTGTGTGCTCTACTGTGCTGTAGGATGCCGTGATGATTCCACGGAATCTGGACATTACCCGTTTGAGACATGGGGGAAGGCATTCTCCCGTCGCTCCTTTTAGTGCGAGGCGCGCAAGCACCTATCATCCGCGTCCAGCTGCCCTCCCACAAGCCCTGCGGCGCCGACTACACAACTGAAATAAAGCCTCTCGATGAGAAATCAACAGCATCTAGCACTGACGCAGGGAGAGTGGCTGGAAGAGCCAGCCGCCCGGACGGCGGGATTGGCTGGGTGCTGGCGAGCTCTGGCTTGGACCTTGGACCAGCCCAGCTTTTGCTTGGACGAAAATGAACTGGATCCGACGACGGAACGGGGGCGAGTTCTGGACCATGTCGCCGTCTGTTCGCTTTCGCTGGGCTCAGGTACGTGTGGACGTGGGCTGGGCTGGCTGGCTGCTACCTGGGGGACCAAGAATTTCAAAAGCCAAGGCCAACCTTATCGACAAACGGGACAAGACAGAAAAGCAGCCAGGAAAAACATACTGTTCGGTGGCCTCCGACTTTTCTTCGACTCATGATGGCGAGAGAAGCTGGACTGATCATGCCCGACAGCGGCGAATAGAAGGTTGGTCTTTTTTTTTCTTTTCCTTCCCTGGCCCCAGTGGGCTGCTTGCTGCTTGCCATCAATCGACAACTTTCAGTGGCTTCTCAGCAAGCTCTCCCAGTGGACGGATGGATGGTCGACTTGCAGAAGAGGTTGGGGAGGGGGGTGGCGTGGGAGAGAGAGAGAGAGAGAGAGACTCCGCGGGTCAAGCTTGGCTCTCTCTCTCTGAATGGATGGACGGATGGACGTCAAGCCTGGGGCCCTTGCGAGCATGCTCTGGAGGGGCCAGTCGAATCGAATCAATCAATCAATCCCCTGCCGTGGTCAGAGATTCTTTTCAGTCGCTGGCCTCCATGCAGTTTTCCTGCAAGGGCAGCGGCTGGCTGCGTCTGCTCTGCCAATGGTACTCGCACTGTAGCGTGCTGTGCTTCTTTCTCTCCTGTGGATTGCTTCCATCCATTCTGCATTGCATCCATTGTTCTGCTGCACGTCTCGCACAGCAGCGTCAAGGTACGGTCCGCGCTGGCCTCGTACTCGTTCGTCCCCCGTCCGTTTGTTTCCATTTTATATGTATGTATGTATGGATGGATGTATAACTCTCACCGTATATCTTGGTGACCCCCATTTTCTGCTGCTGCTTGTGCTCCCGCAGCAGAGAAGCGCGTGCTGCGCCCAACTGAACAAACAATGGCTCTCCTCTCGCTACCGTAGCAGAGTCGAGTAACATTTTTGTACTATACCCCGACTGGGGAGGGGGTGGCAGCAGAAGTGGGCAGAAAAGGGGGAATTGGATTGATTGCCTGCCAGGGTCTCTTTCACATTGATTTCATCACAACTCCGACCTCCGGTCTAGAAGCCCGTCACCGGTAAGAGCTCAACGGGCTACTGTTACTTCACCATTTGGCCGAACAATACCTAGAAATTAGTATGATCCCTTTATCTTAATATCATTCTCCTCTTCGCCGAGCGAGGCAGGTGGTGGTGGTAGTCAAAGTCGTTGTCGTCCATCCATCGTTCGCCTTGGTGCATGGACTGCGGAAACACCTCCGAACGACGCCGGTCCTGACCCCGGCCTTTTTCACTTGAGCAATGGCCCTGGCATCAATCGATCGTCGACTTTTACTCCATCCGTCCAGAGCCTCCGCGGATTTTTGGAAATGAGAGAATCCCGCTTGTTACAGAATTTACTCCACGACTGCCGCCGCTCCTACTACGTAGTATCTTTCTCCATCTTTTGTTTCTTTCATTCGACATTCCCAGTCGTTAAATCAGCTGGTTATTGACCTGAGCGACAATCACCTTACCTACAAGATGCAGTGATCACCGAGGGTTCACACATCTAAACCGACCCATTCGGGGAACCCAATCGCCATCACCAACTCGCCCATCACCGTCACCTCGGCCGTCTCGCCATCCAATAGGGTGCACTTCTTCATGGCCCAAGCGCCAGTACAACCAAGGTGAGCCGCGCCTTGTATCACCAGTTGACCAGCAGCAGCACCGAGAAAGCCCTTCTCGGCCGTTGGTTCCCATCATGAATGACCCTCATCACTCTCGCCTCATGTGATAGATAGCCTGTCTCTCCCATCTCACCGGTCCCTTTGTCTCTCCGTCCCGCCCTTCGCAACGGTTCCAACATCTTTTTTCCGCCTCCATGCCCCTGGACCTGGACCTGGGGAAGGGGGTGAGGAGTTGGGACAAGCTCCGATGCTACTGTAGCTTGCTCTTAAACAGCTTAGTCCCGTAGGCCAAGTCCCAGGGCCCAGGGATCCAGGGTCCTGTTGAACGCCGTCTCTCTTTCTCTTGTGTCTCCGAGTTCCACCCTAGGATTGATTTGAAGTTGGTGGGCGAGACTCGACTTGGCATCCCCAGGCTGCTGATAACGTCTTTGCGTCGTTATCGTACGTGCCTGGGAGGTATGCTTATACCCGCGGTATGTAACAGATACCAGTTACTGTGCACTATCATGACCACGCAGTTGATGGCTCAGTTGTCATTACGTCTCAACTCTCAAGGTGCGACGCAATTGCATGACCAAAAGCAACCTGCCTTTACGATAGGTACTAGCTAGTCGAAGACGCAACCCCCTCAACCACTTTATGCATCAACTGCCTCAACCGCATACTACGTAGAGACAGGGCCAACCATTGCCGAGGCCCATAAGGACCTGCATCTCTTGTCCCGGCTTCCCCATTCACCGGTTCATCTCGTTGAAAGAGAACAAAGAGCTCAGCACAGAAACAAAGTCTCACCACTTCTGCGGCATCCGTCATTGTCATCCCCAGACAGACAGACACATGCCCACCCATCCTCTCGGAGAGCTTCCCCCCTGCCGGCATGCTCCCTGGCTGCTACACGACTCCACACCCCACGACGGCCAGCACCATCGCATCGCATCGCCCATGCAGGGCTACAGCGTCACAGTGGCCGCCGCCCTAGGTGCCGGCGCACATCCACCACGTTGTGCCATTGGCGCCGGCGCGTTTGAGGCTGTTGAAGATGCGAGGATGTGCTCAAAAGGTGCCGGGTGGGGGTTAGGGCGAATGGATGGCGACAGATGCACGGGTGACGGGGATGGGTGAGCCAGATCTCATCACCAAAAATGCAACAGAGATCGCACCCATCACAGGATATCACCGTCATTGCGTCTTGATACGAGTGACAAGGCTAACGATGCAGATGCAGGAGGCGTTTCTGGGGGTCCTGATTTGACGGAATGCCCGTTTGGGTTGCTTCAGCTGGTGTGAGGCCCGGTACACCCAAGGTGGGATCTGGTTGATCTGTGACAAGACTATGATATTGTTATCTCTTGAAGACAACTGGATTATCAAGTCCAGACAACTTATCGAACGGTCTGATATTCATAGATTACAGTGATTATGCATTTGTTCTGTCATAGCAATTATTGCTAAGAAATTGGGTTTGTACGGCATAGTAAGAGTTGACTCTTGACTTTTGAGGCACCGTAACATTCAACGTCTACACGGAACCACAGATTTGCAGAACTCCAGTAGCCAATGCAATCGCCAATCACAGAGTCTCTTCACAACACATGATAAGCGAATGATGGACCCTGCTCAACTACAGCACCACGAAAACAAGCATTGACTTGGACTGCCGGTACGATGCGCTTTCTCGGTCAGTGAAGATGGCTAGGGCGATCTTCGCCGAGAACCACCAGAGGCGGTTGGCTGAAACATCGCCTTCGTTTTACCGAAACTCAAGATGGTTGTCAAAAGTCATGTAACGAGGCCACGAGTCGAGTAAACTAGCTGTGGTTTGTTGCTTGGCTGTGGAGGTAGTGCATCAAATCGTGGTATTCTACTGTCTGGTGTGCTGACAGGCCCGGCACTCGACTGTCAGTAGTATCCATCGCTCAAATAGAACAAGTCACTACAACCAACCATGAGAGAAAGTTGAAGCATCGCCCCCCAACAAAGCATTCAGAATCGAACCATGGCTTCTGGTCACACATTGCACTCAGATGTCAGGACGTAACGTCCATATGGCTTTCTAGAGGAATCCTGGCAACGGCAAACCAAAATCGCAACACCCTTGTTTCTCATGCTTGATATGAAGGTCGTCTGGCGGCACCAAACCCTCACGGGTAGGTAGGTAGATACGTCCACTTGCGGAAAATAAGCAACTGCTGTACTGGCCCTGAAGGACTGGTTGTCTTGAAAATGCTTCAGATTTTCCATGTACTGTTTGTAGTCTTTTACTACGCAAGGGAACTGTACTGTTCTGCTTCTGGAGATATATGGTTCCTCATGAAACAATGCTTGTTCCAACTGGCGGCCTGAATGCGAGTTCTAGAAATGGGCACGTGCTCACGTGACATGGAAAACAAGCTCTACTTGAGCTCTCAAAGCTCCAATTTGGTCGTTTCAGGAAACAGCTTGCAAGACTGAACAGATAGCGTCATCAATAATCGAACAGAAACGCAATATCCATGTTTATGCTTCGACTTGCTCCCGGCCTTTCAGCTCCCAGCCGACTGCCGCATGCCTCCCAGGCACCACAAACTACGCCTCGAAACTAAACTAGACACTGACACCCAAGCTCTCAAGCCTCTCGTCAAGCCTTCTAGAACATGACGTCCTATGGGGCATTCCCGTCTCCACCATTCTAGGCTCCTTTCTGGACTGGTAGCGATACCCACGATGCCACACCTTCAAGAGCCCCTTTTTTTTCTCGGTATTTAGATTGCCCTCGCGTCTAGCTCTACACGCCAAGGCGCTCGTCATGTCATGTTTCAATCTCCCTCAGGTCCGGTTTGAGCTCTAACCTTTTGACCTCGGCGCTGATCATGTCACGAGCTTTACCACCACCTCCGTGATTTGCTCTGCTCTGCCCAAAGTCCCCACCTCCGCCTTGTCCACTGCCACCCCTGGTCGATAACGCACCCCAGGTTCGTTCTAGCCCTTTTGCAACTTGAAGAGAGCTCGAGTCAGTCTTGAACCCAAGACGTGCCATTCCATGCTGCTCGAGCCAGCCCCTAGCTTCCCGCGCCGATGCGTCTCGGATTCAATGCTCCTCACTCGGGGGATCTGCAATGCAAGAAAGTCGACCAGCCCCTCTTCTGCTGCTTCAAATCGTATGATGGATTGTGTGCTTTGCCGGAAGCAGGCTTGTCCAGGTCGCTCGCTCGCTCGCTCGCTACCACGTTCCGGCCCTGGGAAATGAGACTCACATCCGCTTCCATGTCTTATCTCGGTTGCTCAGGTGTGCAGATCGGCCTCAACGTCGCCTAGACTGGGCGAGTCCTTTCGGCCTTGCTCCGGTCATGTCAGAATAATGTGCGTGGGTGCAGATGCTGACTGTCGGGGGGACTTTGTTTTATTACATTGACTATATTAACAGGCTGTCAACTGGTACCTGCAAAGGTCGGCTGAGACACGACCATTAACAGTCTTGCTTTTCCTTTGAAAACCCCTCACTAGCTGCGGCCCGCAGGCGCGATGCAGCTCAGACATATCAAAATCGTCAAGATCGACGCCCAGTAAGCTGCTCCCATGGCCATAGCTATCAGAGGACCAGGTTCTAGGATATTCCTACAACAGCTAGGGTAACTAAGCGGACATCCAAATCAACCCTGGAGACAGGGGCGTATGAACAGACGTGGGAGTAGATGAATATCATCTCTAACCCATATTATTCAAGATATGTAAATACTACATGATCTATCCAATGGCAACAAGCTGCCGTCCTCCTATATTGACACAATTGCAACCAAGAGCAACGATTACTTGTCGACCAGTGTATCCATTATGGTGTGATTATACAAACCGTCTCATGGCTCCTTTGGAGGCTCTGCAGTGTCCTTGGTCGCATCTCCGGTTGCCTTCGCGGACTCTTCATCGCTATTTTCCCCCTCGGCGGTAATCCGTAAACCCTTGATGCCGGCCTCGACTTCGGCAACCAGACTCTCAAGATAATCCTGGTCCCTGTTTCTTGTCAGCATGGCCCGGCACGAGTTCGCTTGGACACTCACCTTCCAACAAGAGTGACCGTGTTGTGCTTCTTGCCCCAGCGAGGATAACTTCCGACCTTGATACCCTTTGGCTCAACCTTGGCGGCCAGTGTCGTGAGGAAATCAGCCACACCACTCTCAGGAAGAGGGGTTGAGAATAGAATTCTATGTGTTCCTGTGCCCTCAGGATCCACGAGCCTTGGCAGAATATATGGCTTCAATCCCTCGAGAAGCTTTTGGACTGTTTCTGGTTAGTATACAGAATGGGGTATTGGTGATGCATGAAAAAGGCATCACTAGTGACACATGTGTTGTCACAGCCACACCACCAAAGAAAAGCACTTTCTTTCCAATTGACGGCCTCATCCCCGCGTGTGACCATTGATGCCCAAATTTACATCATCGGGTTACTCACAAAGCTTTGGAATACCAGGTAATATGTGGACATTGCCGTTAACGACGGCAACGGGAACCCACATGTCCTCATGAGGGAAAAGAGCTTGCTTCTTCAGATCTCGTGACTCGTCAGTTGGAAGTTCAGCCATGCGAAGCTTTGCCTTTCGAGCAGGCGAGTCGACGTTCCAGTCAAAGTTGGGCTGGTTGGGGTGAGCCTTGGAGAGCAGCTTCATCTTCTCGAACGTCTCCTGGTGGAGCTTTAAGGGCAAGTTAAAGGCCTTGGCGATAGACTGGTAGGTGATGTCGTCGTGACTAGATAGTTAGTGAGTAACCACGACTGGGGGTTGTTGTCTTACGTAGGACCGATTCCGCCACTATACACGTTAGCTATTCATCATAACATTTATGGACGTGAGTACTACCTTGTGACGATAAAGTCATAACGATCGCTCATTCTTCGAACGGCCTCCATGATCTCACTCTCATCGTCCTCAATGACCTCGATTCGCTTGAGGCTCTGTAACAGTTTAGCTCCAGGTTGTATCACGCAGCCGTGTGACTTACAATGCCGAGCCCGAAACACCATTTTGCAAAATAGGCAGAGTTGGTCTACTCAGTCAATCCCTGTATTTCAAGGTTGAGGCCGTGTCAGTCACTCACATCAACAGTCTATCTTGTATTAGCACAGCACATATAACAGCAGCAGACAGATTGTCTACCTTTCCACCGAGAACCTCATCGCCAATAATCAGGCACGCCGCCGTCTGAATGGTGCGCGCATTGCGCTCATCCGCCGATATAGGAGCCATGACGCTTCCAAATGCAAATCGTCTAGTGTGAGCAGCAGTAACAGCAACGGGAGAGGAGAGGTGCCTTGCAACCTGGGAGATGCGTGAGAACATGAAGGATGAGAAATGCGCGAGTTCTTATGTTCCAATGCAGGAGCCTCTACCCTCGTGATCCTTGTTGGATGTCGTCCGTTTGGGGATGGGATGGAGCTTGCAGATGACGTTACTCGCTGGTTCATTGCGGGACATGGACGGAGAGTGGGGGCGGTTTTCTCTCGGAGTTCGCTCGTGGCGGGGCTGCCCAACTTGCGACTCTCAACTGACTGCCCTAGTCCATCTCGTGATAGCTACCAGAGCTTCGTCTTAGCTTAGAGCTCCAAGATAGCGGAAGTTATAGCTTCAGTTCCTTGTTCCTTGTTTGTTTGATCACATACAGTCACCATGGTATGTCCCCTACGCCTTCATCCCGATCCCCCACCAGCTCACATGTCCAGGCGTCCGAATCGCGACTGTACACCTTCTCCGGGGAGACCAAGGATCACCTCCGCAAGTTCCGACTGACTACTTCACGGGCCAAGGATCCTCAGGCTGTTATTTGTATGTATGTCTCCTTGTCCGCGCCAGTCCCTCTGCCGCCTCGCCATGGCATGCCCAAGCTCACCGACTCGCCAGACATGATTGACAAGCACACATACGAGATCCGCCAAGATGAAGACAAGATCGTTTACAAGTCCCTTGAGGAAGTTGGCGATGACCTTCCCGATCACGCCCCGCGATTCGTCCTCCTGAGCTACCCCCTCACCATGGTACGCCCGATCAAACCTACGCCAACCTATACAATGCTGACAGACCTAGGGTGACGGACGGTTGTCGGTCCCATATGTCCTTCTCTTTTACCTCCCCGTTACATGCAACGCCGAGATGAGGATGCTCTACGCCGGAGCCAAGGAGCTGTTCCGAAACACGAGCGAGGCCGGACGAATCATTGATATCGAATCCGTCGAAGATTTGGAAGAGATCCCCGACAAGCTCAAGTCGGGTTGATATGCCAAGAGAACAAGAGATGGAAAATCAGCGATATCATAATCTACGTAACTATATAAGAGCCGTCGCCTACTCGTCCGGCAACACGCTCTGGGTATCCAATCCCAACTGCATCGCAACATTCTTAACCACCCCTTGGAACGCGATACAAGCTGGGCTGTCTGGGAACGAGTCGAAATAACTCTCGCCGTAATCACACGCCATCCTAATCCTTGGGTCCAGAGGTACTGATCCCAGGAAGGGAATGCCCATCTCCTCTGCCAGTGCCCGTCCACCTCCTGTGCTCGCCTTGAAGATCTCGCTCGGGTTGGAACACTTTGGGCAGACAAAGCCGCTCATGTTCTCTGCGAGTCCCAATACCCTGATTCCAGCCTTTCGACAAAAGTCAATCTCCTTGCGCACATCCAGTAGTGACACCTCTTGGGGTGTGGTGACCATGACAGCTCCGTCGATGCCGCTCTCTTTAAGGAATGAATTAACACTGAGGTGCTCGTCGCTTGTACCCGGTGGTGTATCCACGAGTAGGAAATCGAGGTCGCCCCATTCCACGTCCTTAAGAAACTGCTTAATGAGACCGTTCTTCTTGGGGCCTCGCCAGATGACGGCGTCGTCCCGGTTCGGTAGCAAGAACTGAATGCTCATGACGGAAAGGTTATCCATGACCCAGATCGGTGACCATCCCGTACCACTGACATGGACCGTCTCTCCCTCGACGCCCATCATCTTGGGGATGCTGGGCCCGCAGATATCCGTATCCATGATGCCCACCGTGCTGTCCGGGTTTGTCGCAAAGGCGTGTGCCAGCAGCGACGTAAAAGTACTCTTCCCCACGCCGCCCTTGCCGCTCAGCACGAGAATCTTGTGCTTGACATTCTCAAGACGCGCTGAGATAATAGGAATGTCCGGGTCGGGGCCCTTTGGTGCTGAAGCGCAGATGGCCTGGTTCGGGCACCCGGCACACGAGTCCGCTGTGCCGGCCTGCTCTGACTCGGGACCTACGCAGTGCTGGGGCTCCGGAGCGACGAGCTGCGGCTTCTGCTTTATGGGGTTTGCGAAGACATCCTCCACCGGCTCCGGCGCCTCGAGTGAGGGTGCCATTTTTGTGCTGAAGTTGTGTTTGGTGAGGAGTCGAGTGACGAGAGAGGGTGGCGATATGAGCGCCGAAGCTTATTAATGCACTGCGCAGACAAAAAGGGTGCGACAGGTGTGCTCGGAATACCCGCGTGAAAGAACTGAACAAAGAATATTCTAGGTGGAAGATATAGAGAGATGGGTGTATGGGAGATCGAGAGACGGTTGAGTCGAGGCTCATAACGTAGGGTAAGTAAGCGTCCACGCTGATTCGCTGCTTAGCAAGCGTCGAATGATGGTTTGCGCTACTATCGCCGCGGAGTGACAGGCTTCAATGACAAAATACCCACCAAGGAATTAGACTGTTGAATAAATGCAGGGAAAGGACTGAGATCAATAAGAGAATAAAGACGAGTTTGAAAATTCTCTAATTGATTCTTTCGGGCTTACAAAGGTATTATTTCAAGCAATCTTTTGCAGCTTAACCAGCGTTATGTATCCTACCTAACCTAAAGGTCCCAATCGCCGACAACGGAGCCTAACATAAAGGATAAATAACGGTATATTTCCATGCAGTAAAAAATATAAGAAAAATATGACACGTATAGAAACACTTCAATCATAGACCAGCGCCGCCTTTCTGGTGTTTGCTTGGTAATACCCCACACCTCAGGATATGTAGAGTTCGCGATGGCTTCACAGTCAAAGATTCGATCATTGCCATGGACAAAAAGGAAAGGTCTCGGAGGGAGTCGAACCCTCGCTGGCGGAATCAGAATCCGCAGTCATAGCCGTTAGACCACGAAACCAATGAATTCTAAACGATTCGAATTGAGTGGGATCTGCGCGATTTGCTTCAACTTATAGATCCGTTTCGTGGGTCAGATTGTGGTTCCACTTTTCTTTTTCGGCTCCGTACTCGGTCAACTTTGGGTTATGAGCACTCCTCTTTCGACTGCAATCATCCTTGGTTGATAAAGATACATGGAGCTGTCAACCTTTACAATGACTGTTTCGACCTCAGACACTTGTACGGCATGCCAAGCTCGAACCTGTCATGAAAATGCACCCGTCTGACGCGGCGACCACACCAATTCGCTCAACCACATCTTATAGGTCCCATCTCCGAGCCGCTCTGGCCGCCACCGCTTCAGCTGCATGCGGAGATGGATGATGCCGCGTCGAACCATCTCGGAATACCATCGCTGCCTATAGGCAATGTCAATTCTTACAACTCGGAGATATCGAGAGGGGGAGGTCTTCCCCTCAGTTGAGTCGAGCAATCCCACACAGCAAAGCACCAGAGACCCCCAAACCTCTCCTGATTTCATACCACATCGCCACGGAATCAGTCGACCCTCCTTGCAAATTGACTTGTTAGGCGCCCCGTTAGGCCCGAAATTGGACCCTGATTGATAAAACTTTGCTTTTTGCGCAGCGATTTTTCGCGTTGCATCCATCCAATGTCCACGGCCAAACCCCACCCCACACACCCCGCCAGATAAGATAAGACGAGTGCCCCGCGGCTGGAAATTTCAAATTTCTGAAGAGAGCCGCAGCCTAAACCGACGCCGCGATCGCCATCACCGCAGACGCTCGTTGAAAAAAGAGGAAGAAGAAAAATGTCGTCCGACGCCGAGAAGCCCACCTCCATGGAGACGGTCCTCAAGCTGAGGGAGTCCCTCTGCTCTGAGGATACCCCTCTCCCCATCCGTTTCCGTGCTCTCTTCTCTCTCAAGCACGTGGCAGTGACCCAGATCAACCCTGAGGACGTCAAGGTTGCCGCTATCGAGGCCATCGCGGCTGGTTTCACCTCACCATCTGCCCTTCTGAAGCACGAGCTTGCCTACTGTCTCGGCCAGACATGCAACACTGCTGCCGTCAAGCCTCTCCGTGAGGTTCTCGCCGATCTCAAGGAGGATCCCATGTGCCGTCATGAGGCTGCCGAGGCCCTGGGTGCTCTGGGCTGGGCTGACAACCTGGACATCCTCCGAGAGTACCGCGACCGCAAGGGGGAGGATATTAGCATTGTTGAGACGTGCGAGATCGCCATTGAGCGCGTTGAGTGGGAGAACTCGGAGGAACGACAAAAGGAGAAGCTGCGCCCAAGGTTTGTAAATTCAATTCTGAGGTTACCCTCCCACTGACATCTTGTTCTAGTGCCTTTTCTTCTATCGACCCTGCGCCCCCAATGCCCGAAACCGACAAGAAGGCCGAGGTCGCGGAGCTCGGCCGAAAGCTCATGGACACGAAGGCGCCTCTGTTCATCCGATACCGTGCCATGTTTGCCCTTCGCGATCTTGCCTCCCCTCCCGATCTGCCTACAGCAGTTCCTGCCGTGCTTGAGCTTGCCAAGGGCTTCGCCGATTCGTCGGCGTTGTTCCGTCATGAGATTGCCTTTGTTTTTGGCCAGCTGTCGCACCCTGCTTCCATCCCCTCCCTCACTGCTGCGCTGAGCGATGTCAACGAGGCTAGCATGGTTCGGCACGAGGCGGCTGAGGCGCTGGGTAGCCTTGGTGACGAGGAGGGCGTCGAGGATACCCTGAGGCGGTTCCTCCACGACAAGGAAAAGGTGGTTCGAGAGAGTGTCATCGTCGCGCTCGATATCGCCGATTACGAAAAGGGTGGAGAGACGGAGTATGCTTTGATTCCCGAGGTCGGAGGAGCTGCTGCATGATTTATGAATTTGCTCGATCGAGTATGGTGTCTAGTTGTTTTCATGCCACCTAAAACGCTGTTAAAATAAAGCCAATAGAAAAAAGTTTGGGTTCTTCATACGAGTTTCCGCATTCGCAGTTGTAGATGACCGTGGAACCTTCATCTGCACTGCGCAGCTGCACGGTGGTGTACTTGACCTCCTCGCGGCCACACTTGGGGCATTTCTCATGCGCTGTGCTCTCCGTTTGCAGATTGTGCTTCTCGACGGCCTGCACGCTCGACTGCAGCTTCTGTCTCAGAAAAGATGGGAAATCTGAGGGCTTTGTTTGCGTGACAGTGACTTTGGAGCCGGTATCTGCGAGTACGCGTGAGAAATGCCGCCAAAAAGACAATCAATCTGCAGCTTGGGAAGCAAACTTACCCTTATTCTCGGCACCGCAGCACTCGCAGCGCAACACGTTTCTCTGCGTGCCCTTGGTCGCGGGCAGGAGATTACCGCAGTCGGTACAGAAGACAAGGGTTCCGATCGCCGCCATTGTGCTTTGTTGGGTCGAGTTTGCTCAAACGGATTTCGGGGAGCGCAAGATGGACGAAGAAGGGCGGACAAATTTAGAGACAAAAATTGGCTTGGCCATCATAGGCTCAAACGGAGCTGGGAGGGTCTCTCGGAAAAACTGATAACGACAAGGCGACGGATGGCGCGCAACGGAACAAACGCCGACTGGTCCCGTGCCTGGCGCACGGGCCACTATCTGTCAATCAACATCTAAGGAAAGCTCGCGAGGCTGTTGCTTCCCAGGCTTCAACCTCGCCGGCTACTTTTATTCAACGGGTCAACAATGCTTTGACCGACATTCATTTGTACAAACCACGACCCGAGGCAGCACCTCACTCGAATGAACAATACTGAAGGCTGCTTCAACCTTCACGCGCCCTGCAGCGCATATCTCCAATTCACCCCGACCTACCTATCGATGCAGCGTCATCCGTTTGCTTCTTCCCTGCGAACTATGTGATGATTCGCCTTCCCGAGCCGTGCGAGGATGAACAATATGCAGCCAAATAGCCATGGCGGCCCCCAAAATGGGCTGTTTGCCCACCAGGGGACTACGAACCCCAATCCCTCCATCTCGCGCCCGTTCACGCTACAGGAGTCGCTTCCTTATTCACCACAGACCTCGACTATCCCATTCATTTCCGGTTAGCCACGACAGCATCATCATTGGACGAATTCCTTCTCACCTGATACAGATATAATACCCGATCCGACTCTGGGCTCAGGCTCTGTCTCGTTGCCCTTATCCGACTTGTTCCAAGCCCAAGAGTTCAACACCCTGAACAGAGAAATCGCCGGGCAGCCCCATATGCCACGAAACGTCAAGCAAGTCGTCGACCATGTTCTGCAGGACATCAAGCCAGGCCAGAGAACTCGCTAGTAAGGGAACTACTACCGCGCATTTTGATATCCATGCTGATCATGAGTAGCAAGTTTTGCGCCGTCTCGAGAACGTCCTCAGCTCCGCCAACTGGCAAGGGTCTGATCGATGACCTGTCGCCGATTTCGAAAACGATCGTTGAGAAAGTAGGCATAGGATCCTATTACAAAGCGTCAAAGTCGACCGTACCTGAATCGAAGCAACCGAACGGACATCCGAAAGGCCATCCGACCCCCAAACTGCCTCATACCTCACTTAACGCGCCGACTACTCCCCAATCCTCGCACCCGGCTCAAAACTCTCAGGCCCATAGGTCCAACTCCGTTAGGATCGAGGTTGCCATACCGTCTAAGAGACAGTTCGATCCATCCGCGTACGTTGATGTCAGCAGCCTCACCCAGCAAGAGGTTCTCGCTCCTGTTCAGTCGCAACATCTGCATCAAGCACAACAGTATCCGCAGCAGATGCAAACGCAACCACAGCTGCTGGCCAAACCACTTCAGCCCACCCCTGAGGCTGGCCAGAACCCAGCCTTCCGTATCGAACTTCCCGTCGCGAATATCAACCGTGATGAGTATCTCGAAGTGGAGGAGCGACCGGACGATCCGCATCATCTATCGGTGCGGAAGGGAAACCAACAAGAGTACTCGGACAGCCAAGATCTGATTGGCGAGAGTCTTGACCAGCGTCAACGGAGCGATGCGGCATTGGACACGCTTGACAAGCTTGTCCGTTCAGTCTACACCTCGGTGCATAGAGTGCTTTCGATGGAACCCGGCTATGATCATATCGTCTCGGTGTCTCAAGATCAAGAGGTCGCTATGACCGCCTCTACGCAACAGAAGATGCATGGTGCAATTCAAAAGACCATCTCTTTGAGGTGCTTTGACCGCGTTCCGGTTGAGCATTTGATGCAGATCATGAAGCTGAGTGAAGCGAGCTTGAAGCAGGTCGAAGACTGGGAAATGCGAGTTGATGATAGTTGGTCTGAGGAAGAGGTCAACACCTGGGTGCAACAGCTTGCGGACGTGGAGACGATGTTGAAGTCAGCTCGAACATGCCTTCGAATCCTCTCGGGAGGCAGAGACGACAAGCAACTCTACTCAGAGACTGTCATTCAACGAAGTGTCGACATTTTCAGAAAGGTCACAGAAGACATTGTAATGCCGTTGGTGGAGCTCCGTCCATCTGGCTCTGCTGCAACTGCCTTCAAGGCCTTTTCCAAGAACAAGAAACCCATTTTGACAATCTTCTTGGGTTGCCAGAAGCTCTTCGCCTTGCTGGCAGAGCTGGTCACAAAGATTGAGCTTTCAGACACCGTCATCAATTCGCTCGAGTTCACCGCGTCCCGACTTATCTTTATGGACAACGCCTATTTCGAAAAGGACTCGGTTGTTGGTGTTCAGAAATTCGACGGACTACGCTCCGTGGCGATGGACATGCTCTGTCAAATCTTTCTGATCAAGCCCCAACAACGCCAAGGCATCATTGACGAGATTCTTACATCTCTCGAGAAGTTGCCAGTCGGCAAGCAGAGTGCTCGGCAGTTCAAGCTTTCCGATGGAGGCAGCATTCAGCCCGTCTCGGCTCTGATCATGAGATTGGTTCAAGCCAGCTCGGGGCGAGTGAACAACAGCAGCGAGCGCAATCGCAACAAGTTGATGCGAAACATCAATGGCCAGGAAGAGGAAGAGGACGATGACGAGAATCTTCCCCCTGAAAGCAAACGCTTCGTGTCCTCGATTAAAAGTGAGGAGCAAGGCGCGGTTCAGCATGCGGTCTCTATTAAAGATCTCGAGACTTCGGTTGCTCCGCTCCTGGACACTGCGCAGCGCAACGCAAGCTACGTTATCAACTTTATGGTTTCGCGTGCCATTAGCTCCACCAAGTCAGGCGATTCCCCCTATCGAAACTTGCTTGATCTCTTTGTCGAGGACTTCACCACCTGCCTCGACCTGCCTGATTGGCCGTCAGCTGAGCTTCTTCTTCGTCTTTTGGTATTCATGATGGTGCAGCAATTTGAAGGCCCAAAAACGGCAGCCCCAGCAAAGAATATGGCTTTGGAGTTGTTGGGTGGCTGCAGTGCTGCAATCTCTCGCCTTAGATCTCACGTCAAGAGATTGGAAAGCTCTTCCGAAGGCAATGACGCGGATGACCTCTCTCGCTACCTTGCAGATCTTGCTACTCAAGCCAGGGAGCAGAGGACCCGGGTGGAGCAAATTGTCGCTTGGGCCGGTCCCTACCGAGCAACCCTCGAATTCCTTCAGGGTCGGTGTCATGACGACCCTCACCTGCTGAGTGCCATCTCGTTTTTGGTCACAGGTTGGGCATCCCAGGTTCACAATGGCTACGACTCATACCAAGAGGGCGACGATGAGCGAGACGAGGAGCTTGGGCGCCTGGGATACCGACTGAGAATGATGATCGAAGATCGTCGCTGGCTTGTCAACGAGTACACCTTCAAGTCTGTCTCAGCGAACCAAGCCAAGCTTGCCTACTCAATCATTTTGCTACGATCACCATTCTGCGAGGCCTATGACAAGATCCTCAACATTCTACTCCGTTCAATGGGAACCGATCAAGCCACAGTGCGGAGCAAGAGTTTGAAGAGTGTCAACCAGGTGCTCGAGACAGATCCGTCCATCCTGGACGTCAATTCAAATGTCCTCAACAAGATCCTGGAGTGTGCTGGCGACACGTCAACACAAGTTCGAGATTCTGCCCTCGGTTTACTTGGCAACTGCATGACTATGCGACCTGCCCTTGAAGACGCACTGACAGAGGTAGTTGTCAACCGCTTTCAAGACTCTGGTGTCGGTGTGAGGAAGCGCGCCATGAAGCTTGCCCGTGACATCTACCTTCGCAATCACAGCAAGGCTCTGCGAAGCCTCATTGCAAACGGCCTGCTCCGCCGAGTGCACGATCCTGATGAAAGCGTGTGCGATCTTGCCCGTCAAGTTATCGAAGAGGTTTGGTTTGCCCCCTTTTATCGAGACGATGGGACCGCTGTCTACCAGACCTCGCTCACCGAGCACGTGTCCCTCGTGATACAGACAGTCAACTCGGGAATGCTGTCCGAGACACTCGACAAGGTCTTTAGATCCATTCTCAGACCAAAGGACAAATCTCTACAGGGACCATTCTCTGTCTGCTCCAAGCTCGTGGCCAACATGTTCGGACTCATCGACAACCTCGACTCGGACGATTCCACCGTCCCCTCTGGACGTGATGCGCTGAACGTGCTTACGATCTTTGCTAATGCGGACCCTAAGCTCTTCAACTTTGAACAAATCCGCCTCCTGAAGCCACATCTGGCAAGCTTCACCAAGCCCGAGGAGTTGACCGCTTTCCGAAGTGTTACAGTTATCTATCGGCGAGTTCTTCCCACACTCTCGACTGTCCATTCCGACTTTCTCCTGGAAGTTCGAAAGTTGCTACTGGGTGCGGTCGGCAAACTCAACTTGCGGGCACCCCTGGATGATCTAATTGCTTGCACCTTGGTCGTCTGCGAGTTGCTCAATGTGTTCGAGCCCTTGGCAAATGCCATGGCATCTAGTCTTGCGGGACTGCAGCGTCTGCGCAGCATGGGCAAGTTGGATGAAAAAACCAGCCTATATCTCGGCGCCTACTGCCTCGTCATCGGCATGATTGCAAAGCACTGTGACCTGGACAACTGCCCGGGACCGTTCAAGAAGAAATTCCCGAAATGGCCGGGGGGTTCAGTCGCAAGACTGGCTATCGACACATTGGCGCCGTTCACCGCCCCTTCGCAGCCTCTGGACAGCCGCAGACCAGCCCTCGACGCCATCGGGCTGGCTTGTCAGTCCTGGCCCCGCAACTATGTCATCCCCAAGGTCTATACGGCGTTCCAGCAGGTCTTTGACGAACAGGTACCCAGCCTTGAGAATGCGATCCTGAGATCATTCAGAGAATTCCTCATTATCGAGGAGAAGCGGTCCGAGACGGCAGGACAAGCCCCGTCAGGCAAGAAGAAGGAGTTGACAGTCATGGGAGGAACCAGCTATGATGATGTGGCCAGTGCTACAACGCAGAGATTCTTGAAGGACATTACGCGCATTGCGCTCTCAAGCCAGGATGAACATGCGTTTCTCGCCATGGAGGTCCTGGGAAGCATCAACCGACAGGGTTTGACTCATCCTAAGGAAACCGGCGTGACTCTGATAACACTCGAAACGTCTTCAAACCGCAAGATTGCCGAGTTGGCGTGGGAAGAGCACCGATCTCTGCACGAGAAACACGAGACGGTGCTGGAACGAGAATATGTCAAGGCAGTGCAGTCCGCCTTTGCTTACCAGCGAGATGTTGTTGGAGAGCCGCATGGGGCTACCACGAATCCATTCCAGTCCAAGTTGCACTACTTGATGGAAACGCTCAAGATAAGCAAGATGAAGAACCGCCAGCGCTTCTTGGACAAGCTCTGCGGACAGGTGGACTTTGAATTGGCCAAACTGGACATGTCAGGCGACATCCCAACGCAGATGGTCTATGCACGGTTCATCATTGAGAATCTGGCATACTTTGAGTACCAAACGGTGGGAGAGCTGCAGACTACGGTTAACGCGATGGAGAAGATCCTGACCAGCACGGGTTCCCCAGTGGCTCAAGCCATCGAGTCGGAAGTGTTCAACGTCCGGATGGATATCGACCAGCCGGTGGCGGCTCCAGATGGACCGCCTGGGTTTCATACAGCAGATTCCATTTCGGTATCGGCACCTGTTGACGGCCACCCATCGGTTGCACCGGCGCCAGCATTTGCGTTAACAGTCGAGCCAGCCCGTCTTCGACAGCTTTCAACGGCGGCAATTATCCTGTTGTCCATGTGGGAGGTGCGGACATTTATTCGTCGTCTTTTCGGCATGGGTCTCAAGCGACAGGACACCAAGGTCAAGGCACTGGCTAAAGATCTGAACAAGTCTCCAGTCAAGGTGCAAGGTGTGCATGGAGACAAGGTCTGGGACGAGATCGAGTCTCTGATGAAAGGCCTCCAGGACCAAGAGCACATGATCAAAGCATGCTCGGCGTTTGTGGAGCTCCTTAACGTTGACAAAGACCTCAAAGTGGTAGAAGACGCTGGCGAGATGGACCTGGAGCCGGCGACTCCCAGCGCGGACGAGGACGAGGAGGGCGATGTAATGGCGGAGAGAGGACGTAAGCGGAAGGGCGGGTCGACACCAGGAGGACGCAAGAAACGGGCGCGGTCGGACTCACAGCCTCGAAAACGGGGCCGACCTCGCAAGAACCGGGAGAGCGTCGAGCACGATGCTGAGGCGGACCTTGACGGGGACTGGTTTTAAAGAACGAGGCGCAAGGCATTCGGCATGGGATACTAGGGCATGGCATTATTTGGGCTGATTTTTTGAGCGGTGCATCGGACGGAGATGTGATGGAGAGGCGTTTTTACAGCGGCCTGGACTGACTCTGCAGCAGGCGAGAGAATTTAGCAAGCATGGACGGCACTGTGGCTTTGGTGGGATGACGAGGTCGGAAATACACCATTGGGGGGTCTGGAGGGATGGATCTTGAACTGGAATCAAGCAGTCAAGTCGAGTCAAGGGAGAATGGGCGTTTTCGGAGCTCAACAGGGATTTGCGATTTGATGATACCTGAGCTCATATCCACGGATCATGTAGCTCACCTTTTTGAGGCCAAGTTAACGGGAAGCGATGAAAAGTGTGTACCATGTATTTAGTTAAGCTTAAGAGGTACACGACCAAAGACGGTTTAGACTGAGTGAAGCTTGAATTCAGCGTGAGGTCATGATTTCTTTGTTGGAGTCTTGGAGAAGACGGGGAAGGGGGGAGACGAGGTTGGACATGGGAATAAGACACGGGCGTTGGATGGGCATAAGCAGGATAAGATGGATAAAATGCATAAAAGTGACGTTCTAGAGCCCAAAGGAGATCGCCAAGAAATGAGCATCAGATCTCTCGGCATTTCTTGGCCGTCTTGGCATCCACACTTGCAGGGATCAGGCATGTCAAGAGTCAGGGCCCCAGCAACGACTGCAAATCACTTGATGGGCTTTAGTTGAGACGATGATGGGCTTTCCCCTAGGCGCTCTCGCTTCGCTTACCTACTGCAGCGAGAGCGAGAGACCAGCTGGCAGTGCATCATGGCCGTCGCGTCGTCAGCAGTTCTCGAGTGATTCCAGCAAAGAACCATGGCGCAGTGGTCGATAGAAGCCGCGAAGCGCCCCTAGACCAGACCAGGCTCGATTCAAAAGGCTCAAGGTAGAGGAGGCCTCTGGGGACTCGTGGCATCCAATGAAGGGGAGGCAACCTGTTACATCCTTGACGTGTTAATTAGCCACTCGCCAGGGAAGTGAAGGGAGGGGACCCGGTTGTTGGGTGGTGGGTGACCTCATTTATATGTACCTACTATTGTATCAACAAAAAACCTGGCTTGAAAGGCGTCGAAAAGAATTCAAAAAGGGTGCCCCAGTTCTTGGCTCTTGGCTTCTCGACTCTTGGCATTGGAACCGAAAGCAACATATCCTCTTTTTTTCGGGCCAGAATCCCCAAGAACTTGAACAAGTCTTGGCGATGTCTTCATGTAAGGACCCTGAATCCATTGGTTCCAGTTTTCCCAGTAGCAGTAGCAGTAGCAGTAGCACTGCACTTTCATCCTTTTTACACTTGCACCTTCCATCCTTTCTTCGATCGACACCCACTCGCTCCTTCTCTTCTTCCCTCCTTCTTCGTCACCCATTCACCACCTACCGTTTGTTTCTTTAACTAATCTCTCGCCCTTCGCGTCAATGGTCACAGTCAATCACTTCAACATTAAGCGCCAGGCGCACACGCTCAGCCGTAGCAGCACCGACCAATCTTGGAATCCTTTCCGTCACGTCGCCTGGGATCGTCGAGAACGCGCTCTCTCGGACGCCGGCCGTCTCGAACAACAACAAAACAATGACAATCTAGGAGAGAAGCTGGCGCACGCCAGTACAGAGCCTGGACGCAGCGGGCCTGCGAGGGAATGGTCTACAGCAGAGACCATGGCCGAGACGAAGAGGAGCAGAGAAGGAGACGAGGCTGACAGGGAGAGGCTAAGCGGAGGCTCTCCTGTTGATGACATTCCCGTCTCTCAGCGCTCCCTTGTAGGGGACGGCAGCCTGCGAAACAGAAAGCCCGAAGACTCTCGGGGGGTCATTGACGACAACGCCAACAACAATGCTGACTACCAGGAGAGGAAAAAGAAGCTCCAGAAGCAAGAGTCTACCAAGCTCTTTCGCAATGTCCAACCTAAGGAGCCCTTTACCGTCGCGAACCAGCTCCAGCGAACCTTTCTCAACTCATGGATCAACATCCTCCTCGTCGCTGCCCCCGTCGGTATCGCCCTCAACTACATCCACAGCGTCAACCGCATCGCCGTCTTCGTCGTCAACTTTATCGCTATTGTCCCCCTTGCCGCTATCCTCAGCTTCGCTACCGAAGAGATTGCTCTGCGAACCGGTGAGGTTCTGGGTGGTCTGATCAATGCCACATTTGGCAACGCCGTCGAGCTCATCGTTGCTATCCTCGCGCTTGTGGATGGAAAGGTCATCATTGTCCAAACCTCGCTCGTCGGCTCCATCCTCTCGAACCTGCTGCTTGTCATGGGCTTCTGCTTCTTCTTTGGTGGTTTGAGAAGACAACAGCAATACTTCAACGTGACGGTGGCCCAGACAGCGGCTTCGCTGCTTGCCCTCGCTGTCGCGTCTGTCATTGTCCCTACCGTCTTTGACTGGGCCAGCGAGACCCCCGTGAAGGCCGTTGCTGATCTCTCCCGCGGCACTGCCGTCATTCTGCTTATTGTCTACGGCGCCTATCTCATCTTCCAGCTCAAGACGCACCAGAGTGTTTTTGCTGAGGAGAGCCAAAAGGTTGCTGCGAAGCCCTGGTCTCGCAGCGGTCCTGCCTCAAGCGGTATCCGTCAGGGGCTTATGGTCCCCGGCGCCTTGGTCGGTGGCGGCATGGCTGGTCGCGATGAGAATGAGCGCCTGACCGAGATGATCATGAATCCTGAGAGACTGGAGGAGGAAGACGAGGAAGAGGAGCCGCAATTGCACTTCTGGGTCGCTGTGGGTACGCTTACCTTTGCTACCGTCCTGATCGCCCTGTGCGCTGAATTCATGGTGGACTCGATCGACGCCGTGACAAAGGATGGCGGTGTCTCGGAGGAGTTTGTCGGTCTGATCCTTCTTCCCATTGTTGGAAACGCTGCCGAGCACGCCACGGCCGTGACGGTGGCCATCAAGGACAAGATGGACTTGGCTATTGGTGTTGCTGTTGGTTCGAGCATGCAAGTTGCCCTGTTCCTGATCCCACTGTTGGTCATCATTGGATGGGGCATGGGTGAGGAGAGCATGAACCTCAGCTTTGACCTGTTCCAGGTCGCTGTCATGTTTGTGGCTGTGCTACTCACCAACTATCTCATTGCCGATGGCAAGAGTCATTGGTTAGAGGGTTGGTTGTTGATCTGCCTTTACGCCATTATCGCAACTTGTTCATGGTGTAAGTCTTAACCCATCAAGTTTGAGTTGTCCCGATTACTGACAAGAATCTAGGGTATCCCACCCACTCTGATGAATAGAGCTCTTGCATTTTATTACACCTTCTCGAAGAGCCGATAAACATGCACATACACATACATACCCCTTGGCATTAACCAAGTTCATCAACATATACGTTCAGAATAGTCTCTTTTAGTAAGAATTTGGAGCAGTCCTTACACGGCGTCATTTGTATATATAGTATATCAAGAGTCTGGGAATCGGAGTTGGAAGGTTCAATAAATTACATCAACTTGGTTTACGCATGCTTCGAGACCATTGACACCAAGTGACAAGAATGAAGATTCTATGTATCCTGAGTACACTACCTAGACAAAAAGTTCATGCTGATATCTACATGACGGCTTCATCTACATGGAAAGCAAAGGACCCTGCCCTCTCAAGCCAAGCCACTCATAAACATTATCGCAAGGTCCAACTGACATACAAACGTCGCTAATTTTTCATGATTATATCCTGCCGAGCAGGCTTATCGCCCGCTTAGGCTCGAGCCGCCGTCATACTGCACGCTGCTCCTTCGCAAAAAGGACATGGGACTGTTGAGCCGCTTGGTGGGTGCGCCATCATTGCCTCCGAGCACACCGGGCGGCAGGCCAAGGGTCGGGATGCTGGCTTCAGGCACAGCTTCGAGCACGGTGGGCACGGCAGCAGTGGCGGGTGTGCCCTGGACTGCTTGGTTCTTCTCCATAGCCTCACGGTAAAATGCCTCAAGGGCGACGACGTCGTGACAAAACTCCTCGATCTCAATCTTGATGAGCTCCGGATCCGGGGACGAGACCGGGACCGCCTTGGCCGGCTGGTCCACGGGCTTGAGCGCCGGAGAGTGGTAGTAGTGAGTCGGCTTGAGCAGGGGCGAGGCCATGGTTGTCGACTCAGGGATACCGTAGGCGCTGTAAGGGCCAAATGCCGACATGCGGCCTCCTCCACGTTCAACCAGGGGGTCAGCGGCCCGAATCTCCTTGTCTCGCGGGTTCGCAGGTCGGTTGCTGTATAGACGATTCGCCAAGAATAGCAAGTCACCCTCATCGGTGATCTCAGCCAGGAGTGTGCCGCTCCGGTGGATGTACTGACTGTACTTGAAATCGGGCTTGCCCCAAGAGTAGCTCACATCGACGTTGCCGGGGAAGTTGGATCCCGCCTCCATGTCGAGGACAAAGTCAAACTTCTTGAGGATGGCTGTCTGGTAAAAGTGCCTAGTCGGAGAGGTTGTCGGGCCCAGAGAGTTGGGGTCAAAGTACGTCTCGGGCTTCTGGTCAGGAGGATGCGCTGCCAGCTTGAGACGGAAGGGTCTCCGGAAAGGATTAGTTTCCGTGATGGTGCATGCCTCCTTGATGGGCACCTCGACAAGACGTAGGCCGTATTGACTAGCCTCTCGAGCCCAACTCTCGACTGCGTCTTCAACTAGCTTTGTAGTCACATTCATCCAGTCTATCCGGATGTGGTAGCAACTGTCTGGGTTGTGAAGACGGTCATAGTGCAGGTCGATCCTCTCAGGTCTGAATGATCGCTTGCGATGATCCACGTCGTACTTGATGACCTTGCTCAGCACCACTTTAGGCCGTTTTCCGTTGTGAGACAGAGGCAGAGTTGGCGTGGTTGATGTTGACGCAGGGGAGCCCTCTTCGTGAAGTGAGGTTGGACGAGCCGACATCAAAGCCCGAGGTGAATCTCGGTTCGTAGGCTCAAGGATCGGCGTGGGAGGAACTCCAGCCCTTCTCGTGTTGAACCATCCCGTATGGGCCTTGGCAAACTCGCTGGCGATCTGGTAAAAGTAGTTGCCATCACGGAACTGGTGTCTCTTCTCGACGTGGACGAAGATGCCCTTGTCCTTCTCGCTCTTCGGTGTGCCAGCCTTGGCCTCGTCCGTCACCATCAGGGCGTTGCCCAGAGCCTCGGCATCTTCTCGAGTCTCAAGATCCTCAAAGTTGTCGAGTAGCCACGTCACCATGTCGGAGCCGATGAAGCAGGCATAGTGAAGACGGAGATGCCACCTTCGATTCTGCAACCTGACGCCTCCATTCTCGACCGGCTGCTGCATGGCCTCCGCAAGCGCAGACAAGTTCAAGTTGGACTTCTTAAAACGCTCTTTGCTCGATACAAGCTGCCCCTTGCGGCCGATGCCGTCGAGACCTTCAAGGATAGGAAGAGTCTCGAGCTCAGCGGCAATGACAACCGAGGGATCTTCAGTCTTGTAGACAATGTCCAGGGGATTGGGGTCCCGCTTACGACGATGACCAAGTGAATGATACCGCCGCTCTGATGGAGGAATGTAACGATACTTCTGCCAAGACTGTGCGAGACGCTTGATTCCCTCGATACGGACCTCCTCGGCATTGTCTCCTCCTTGTGTCTTGGGCAATGGGACGTCCTTGCGCGACACAGGAATGAGGACGAACCTTGCACGCCAGAAGCGCAAGCTATCCATCATCTCATCATGATGGCCAGCAATGTACGAATCAATCATGTTCCAGTTGCGCTCTGGCCGGGGCGTGAGAATGTCAATCTCTCGTGCTTCGTAGGAATCGTCCAGCAGAGTTCGGATGGCGGGCTTGTAGATTGGCGAGAAGCCCTGACAGGTGATGGATGTGTCTATTGGCTTCCGCATAAATATGTTGACCTCCACCTCTGTGCCATTCACGCATGAGAGTTGGTGAATGGTGTTGCCAACCGACATGAAGATGCTGGTGCCATCCTCTAGGCGCTGATCCCGTGAGAAGATGTCGCCAATCTTGATGAGGTTCTGTCCGAAAGCCCGTGCAACTGCTGGGCCAACCACGATCTGAAAGCCTTGAGTGAATCGCAGACTAATGAGCTCCTGGATAAACTCCTGACGCGTCTTGGGCTCCTCAGCCAGGTCATCATCTGCATTTTGGTCGAGAGTGTACGGATGTCGATGATACTCCGTGTCAAACTGAGCCTTTGAGGGAAAGTATTCAGTCGTCAACGGCACAGAGGCAGGACAGCAGAGGGCCTTCCATTTCTGGACCTTCATCTGGCTGATCTGAGGATACACGTGCTGCCATCTGCTGTACAAGATGCTATCGTCAATCAGGAGACTGTCTGGGTTGGATGGGTTCAACAGCGTTAACCAAGGGGTGATGGCCGTGGTAGGAGACAGAGTAGTCGGCAGATCCAAGACAGCACCAGCGCGCAGCTTGTTGGTATAGACCTTCTGAGCATCATCCGCTCGAAGGGCGTCTGAAAACCTCAGATCGCGATCATCTTCCCGCTTCTGGTGCCGGTTGTTGAAAGGTGAGGAGATCATCATGGAGGAGGCAGTCCTCAGTTGTGTTGCAGCAGTGTCGAGGATACCAGAGTTGTTCCTCTTAAGAATAGGAATACTCGGCGTCATTGGCACTCCCTCAATGATGGTATCAGGTGTATCCAGCCGATACTTTTGTGTAGACAATGTCGAAGACTGGCTTGTGATAGTCTGAGGCGAGCTGGGACGCAGCTCTGGGCGCATACGAGGTGTTGATGGCTGCCTCGTCTCTGCGGATGAGGTACCAGAGGCATTGACAGTTTCAGCTTTGATCTCTGCAATCACAGCTTTGGGGGCAGCGATACCAAATCCCCGTTGACCAAGGCTGATCTGCCGCATCAACTTTGGTTGCTTCGCCACCGTTGTTGGCTTGGAAGCTTTGGGGGTTGACTCGGCTTTCTTGATGGCTGCAGGAGATGGTTTGTCGGCGTCCATCATATTCATCGACAGCTTTCTTGTTGAGGAACCTAGTATGGCTGGTTTCTTCTCAGGTAAGGAGGTCCCATAGAGCCCCGAGTCCTCGGCCAGCTGCCTCCGTGTTATCTCCTCCAAGTCTTTGGCGTGTCGTGACGAATGATGGTGCCTTCGGCTGCTCGAGATCTTGGCTCTGTAATCATCAAATTCTTGAAGCTGCTTCCACAGAGACTTCTCACCAGGCCTTGCCAGTCGGTCTGGGACAAACCGTTGGAAGCCGTATACATAGTCAAACAGGGCCTCGGGAGCACGCTTGTTGGGGATGTAGACGGTATCGTTGATGCCGGTCTGGCGGAACTTTTGCGCTGATGGTGGCTCCGTGATGTTGGCAGGGAAATGAGTGTCAACTTGTAGAGGTGTCGTCTCGATCTCATTAGTCTCGAGGATGCTTCTCATTTGCAAAGCATACATGCGGCACCGGATATTGAACTCGTCTTCATCATCTTGTTCAACTTTGTTGGACACTGATAGAGCGATGCCCTCGTAGGACAAGGCTTCATCAGACGCTCCGGTCCAGAAAGAAACATGAAGCCATTGAGGTAGGGCATAGCACCATTCATCGCTCGTCGCCATGGACATGAGAGGATCAGGACGGCGGGAAAGGCTCATGCTCTTAGAAGGGGAGAAGGATTCTGCCAAGGACTGATAACTGCCGATGACGGGCGTAGGGTGGTTTGGCGTACTGTCACGGCTATGAAACGATCTTGAGAGGCCAGAATGGGGGTGATGACCGTGCTCCTCAGAATACTGCGGGTTACGATACTTGAAGAGAGGTACCGAGTGCAAAGGCATCTTGGGCATACAGATCAAATCGATACCGATACCGTTACCAACCAATGCCTCAGTCGTTCTTCGAAGAGTTTCATAGTCGACTTCAAAAACACCAGGGCCAGGACTGATGATTACAATAGAAATGCCTGTCCTGGTGAGGTCTCTGTCGATGTGGTCGTGCGCGAACTGGGATGAGGCCAAGTTGATTGCTTCCAAGAGGTTGCCATACATCGAAAAGGTCGACTCTGCCTTGACTCTTGTCGAGGGAGTGTCTCTCGGGATCGTGTGTGACCCCTCAGTCTCTGCTTGCGTGACGAGCTTGTGGTGATGTAGACTAATGTCTCGACGGAAAAAGTTGAACTCCATCTTCAACTGGTGCAGAATCTTTGTCCACTCTCCGCTGCTCATCTCGCTCACAACCACGCGATAGAAGTCCTTGTACGGCCGACGGGGTCCCGAGGGTTGAATGCCCGTGTAGTAATCCCCTTCGAGGTTGTCGAACTCGGCCGTCAATCCGGTATCGTACTCTACGCGCGCGAAGAGCACGATGCTGACCAGATGCTTTGCTTTTAGCATCGCCCACCTCTTGAACAGCGCGGGTAGAAAGCCGTTGACAACCTTGTTGAACATGATGGCACCAGAGCTTTCCGAGTCAAACTCCCACATTTCCCTGGCCATCTGGATGAAGAGCACGTATCTGGCTGATTCACTCCGGAAGATTGGCCGTGTGTCACGAGTGAAGAAGGCAGAATGCGTTCTCCGACCGTCGACATAAATAGCGGTAATCTGAGCCTTGATAGTGCCCATGAACAAGATGGATTGGCCTTTGTAGACGGTTCTCCCCGTCAACTCCCCGACTGTCATTCTCCAAATGTCCGATCTCGACAAGTATTGGTCCTTGAACGATAGTTCAACGTGAGAAGCCTCGGTAGCTGGGTTCTTGGCGTCAACCTTTCGCTTCTAGTTAGCACTGTGCAGTCAATCAGGAGATGTGCTTCGTACCACCGTTAGGAGAACCTGGGAGCCCTTCTTCATCCCAAACGCATCCGCAATGTGCTTCAAGACATAGACCTCCACGTCGTGCTGCCGTGCCTTCATATCTTTGGGCATATCTTTTGCGACAAAGACGTATTTGAAGCCAGCGCTATCTCCGTTCTGGCATGTCGATCCTCCTTTGGCGCCGGAATTCTGGTCCTGGCTCTGCTTGCTGCTAGAGCCATGCCCAGTAGAGGGCTTCCGCGTGTCATCCTTAACCGTCGAGATGCACATCAACGTGCCAGGTCTGATATCGCCGCCCACGAGGTCGAAGTTGAGCAGGACTTCATCCTTGGCGTACCCCTCATTCACCGTGACCGTGCATCGACGTTCTAGCCTCGTGCGCTTCTCTTCCTTGATGGTGGAATGGGTCGAAACGCTTGTGGGCGAGGTCAAGGGCTCGGTATGGGTGCGGTCTAAGCTGGACCTGCTGAATTGTCGAAGATGACTCCAATGCGGTCCCTTGCGCGGGACCGGATTCCTCGTGCTGCCATTTCGGGACATGGGATCGGGTGGTCGGTTTCTACTTGGGTGGGTTCGACAGGAAGGGGTACGATCCCGTTGCTCGCATGTTGGTCGCGGAAGATTGGCTCGGTCGACGAAGCCGATCGCGGGGTTGATAGATAATGCAGAGTCGTCCAAGTCGCAAGTGGATATCGTCGGCACTGCATCTGCATGAGAGGCGATCGCGAGCTGAGGTCGCCTGTCGCGGCAGAATCGAGCTTGGAGGATGGGGCATCTTCACCGCCTTCCAAATTTGGTAGCTACCTTGTGGCGCCATCATCAGCAAGCCATCGCTGTGAAAGATGATTGGTGCGTCGAGTTGACCTTGGATAGCTGAATATCAAGTCGGAGTCAAAGGTTCCTGGGGAGCCATGTGAGTGATGTGAGTCGGATTGAGGTTATCGCCAGTCTTGTTTGTCTGTGCCTTTATGCCTGAGGTCACCTGACTCCGACCCGACGCGGTCAGACGTGCTTTGCTTGTGCAGACAGCCAACTCATCAGGTCCTCAAAGTGGCGTCTTCCGAGCTGTTCTCCTTACAAGGTCTTGGTCAGAGACTCCTAGGAAAGGTGACCAGCCAGACTTAAGTGGTTGGCGACTAGGGAAATATTGTTGTCGTCTTCCTGTATCCGGACCTGCTTGCGGGAATTGGCCCAAAATGATCCGACTGTCGAGCTGGGCAGGCTCTCACTTTCGAAATTCGGGCACTCAAAGGACCGGTCAAACTCCTCGATGTCGAAATCGAGAAATCTGTGTGTGAAGGCTACCGATTGAGTGTCCTCATGTCTCATTCAGTGAGGCAAGACTGAGTTTGCTGTGGACGAGTGTGGATGAAGATGGGAAGTCAACGTAATCGGTGCCTGTCAAGACACATGGGGCGGGTTCTAGCAAATTAACCTCACTGAGTGACAGACAAATCAGACTACCCTTAGCAAATCCTCTTCTGTAGATAGTACCATTATGATGAGACTTTAACCTTAAGCTGGACTAAAAGGGGCATAAAGAAGAGTAGAGATTTTACCAAGTCCCCTCTAAGATGATTCATCCCCCCTTCTTATCGTGGCACCAGTATTTCGTTTGTTGATGTACCTATGGATATCAAATATCCATCAAGTCTGTATGCAGGCATCCGCCCTCTGAAAGTACATCAGAAGCTTTAGCTACTTATCTGCTGAAGCATTTACGCTTTGTGTATTGTGACTTCCATCATTCTTGTAGTGAGAGTTAGCAAGGCCATAACGGTCGACATGACAACATGGCTATGTCCCTTGTTAAATGGGTTGCTAGGCCATAAAGTTTTAATGCTAGTGCTCGAGGTGTATGTTGGTTGGATTGCGGCTTCCCAGGCTGTTCAAGGTTGATAATTAACTCCCAATGCTCAAGCATCAGTCACACTCTTCTCCCGCATCCCTCACAATCGCAGAGCCCATCCCCCGCCTCTCTCACAATACCATTGCTACAAGTCAAAATGGATCCATTCGAAAAGTTACACCAAGATCTTCGCTTCATGCTCCTCGTCTCGCTGGACAGCCTTGCAGAAGTTGTGATAGCTGCCCAGGCATCCCCAGCTCTTCTCCAGCAACTTCAGGTGTCCAGGGGGGAAATTGTACGCCATTACGTGCTCAGAGATGGCGATCTCATTGGAGACGTCTTGCAAGACGCCTTGGCCATTCTAAAATTCCCAAGGCCAGATGCTACAGCGGCTAATGTCGATGCACAACAAAGACTAGCTGCCATTCATGGCCACCTTCGCAAATGGGGCGATAAAGAATTTTCGGATCCTTTTGATCCCAGCACACGCGATATTCCTACAATGCTCGACTTGCACGCTTTGTGTCGTCAGATGTGGCTCTACATTGGAGATTATCTCTCCAAAGCGACCAGTCATTATCTTCCACGAGCCTACCGTCGACTCCCATCATGGTCTCACGCTCACTTCTCTTGCCATCCAGCTCAAATATGGCTGCAACAATATGTTAACCAATTTGACACGACTTCTCTTGGACGTGTTGATCGCCGGAAAATACTTCAGGCGTTCCTCAGATACGAACTTCTATGCAAGACTTATGGTCCGGTCGCTGGCAAGACGGACACCCAAGGGGAGAGTCATCGGACTGGGAGAGATCCGTTTGACGGGTTTCTACTTGATCAGAGTGACCCCTTTCTCTACTGGAACTGGTACATCCTATACATGTACGAGAGAAGACTGCCGGGAGAAATCGAGCTCCAATTGCTCCCATGTGTTCGCGAATACGTCCTCGCCATGTATGGCGCTCTCATTGCGCATCAGGTAGGGGCTCCCATTCCTGTCCCTGGAGAGCATCCAGATTACGAGAATGCGCCCCTGAAGGGGGGAGTAGGAAATTTCCCCGACCGCAGTCCCAGCAACGAACCTGAGGGCCTCCACTATCTTGGTGGTCCTAGCTGGAGCGATGTTCCAGTGTCTCTGATGGCGACAGTCGGCTTTGATCTTCTCACCACGACTCTTACATCCAGTAGCCACGAGTTTTTCAGGTTTACTTTCAAGTTCAGTATGGATATACGTCAGAGACCCCCTCTCGTCGACAAGACCAACGTCAACCTTCCCATCACCACCCGCGACCGCAGGGCACTTACCTCATGGTACTGCAACGACTACCTTCGTCTTAACCGTCAGCGTGCATGGCCTCTTTTTTGTAACGCGCACCAGTATCCTCAGATTCCTTCACTTGACGAGTACGAAAGGGTTTACGGCCCTGGGCAGGGCCCTGGGCCTATGGAGGGTTTGATCGGTTGGGAATTGGGAGTGGACCGCTCCAGGACTGAATTGATAGCCCACGGCCAAGGTAGAATGGCATATTCTTCGCTTATACCCAAGCTGAAGCCGTTTTGGGAGTAATGTGTTTCACGAGAAGCTGTTTAATATCGTACGCCAAGATGGAATAGGGTAGGTGTGACACCAAGCCTCGTAGTTAGGAAGGGGGGAAAACCTGATATAGCTTCACAGAGAAGGATTCACGAGTATCTCAGTTTCTCAATCAGTCAAAAAGACCCCATTAGTCTCTTAATACAGATCCTGCGCCAAAATGCTGTGTAACGTAGTCCACGTTAGACCAGAGCCCTACATCTGGACCTTGATGTTACATGGCAATTAGACACTGACCTACATCTGCCGGTTGTTACTTGGCCATTGCCACTGAACCGTAGTCATGGAGCACCCTTCAAACCATCACAAAGAGATCTAGCTGTCACGTCTCCTCGCCAGTCAGTGAGTGACCAGTTCGCTTCCTTATATACGGAGTCACCGTCGTGGTGAACATGTTTCAACATCCCCAATACACGGACGAACCGCCACCTTGATGGCCTGGGGATTGGGAAACACTAAACTCCAGGGTTCCTGCACGGCATGCCAGATTCGGACAGAAATAGGTGTCACCGTCACCGTCACCGTCGCTCGGTTCGGCAAATGCGACGGCATCGTCCCGGCCGGCTAGCTACATGCTCTGCCCGACAACAACCCTGATAAACATATTTGTCCCTTCGCCCTCTGACTCTGCTGCTCATGAAAGAGGTTCAATATGATTCTACAAAGTCCTTTGCCCATATTCACTCTGCCATTGCTTCCGCTCTATACCAAATCACCGTCGTTTGCGATCTCGAGCCGATGGGGGATGTTTCGCTTGGATTCCATGACTCCTCGCGCAAGACTCAGTCCTCGTACGCGCACCGGTCAGGCCATCAGACTCATTCTGAGGCTGTGGTTGCTTAAAAGGCCAAGAGCGAGGCTTTCTCCAGGAGCGATTCTCGTGAGGCAGAAGCAGCCCCTTACCAGTTGTTACTTCCATACGGATATTCCCAATATCAAAAGTAATCAACACCGAAATCGACATATCAGAACTTAATATATCACAACTAAATCAACCTACCTACCAACTGGCTATACTATCACTAAGACCTCACGGGTTGGTCATGAAAGTCTCTCGAAAGCATCGGCTTATGGCCACGATATGCATCGCTTTCTCATTCTTTGTCGCAGAACTGGCTGGTCCGTTGAACCAACACGTTCCGTGACCCCTGACTGACAAACCTGGCAGTCGGCTTTTATACACGCTCTCTCGCCCTAGTCGCCGATGCCTTCCACTATGTAAGTAACTCAACAGACGAAGCAGAGACACAGATACTGATGACCCTAGCTTTCCGACTTGATAGGCATCATAGTTGCCCTGGTTGCATTGCTGGTTCGTTGATGTCCACTACCAACCCGAATGGAAACATACAACTAAGGCAAGTATAGATACAAGAGCGACCTGAGCCAGCACCGCAAGAGTACACATATGGATGGCAGCGGGCTACTCTACTGGGCGCCTTCTTCAACGGCGTCTTCCTCGTGGCGCTGAGCGTCAGTATCCTGGTGCAGGCCGTTGAGCGATTCATCGATCTCACCCGTGAGTCACCCCTTATCAAGCATGCATGAATGGCACGAGGCAAAGATGAGGCTGACGACACCAGACGTGCAGAACCCTCAGCTCATCCTGATAGTCGGAAGCGTCGGGTTGGCTCTCAACATGTTGGTTTTGAGTTTCCTCCACGGTGAGAGAACAACGCCCCGCCCCCATCTTGAGAGATGCGCTTGAGTTGCTGACCTTGAGGTTTCAGAACATGACCATGAGCACGGCGGACAGGGACATGGGCACGAAGAACAGCACTGTCCTCCTCATGTGCGACTCCATGAGGTTGCTGGAACGCTGGCTAACGATGCAGCTAGCAAGACTGAGGCGCGCTTGACGCCGGTGCGTATTCTCTTGACACACTTTATGAGTTGTCAACTGCTAACTAGAGTAGAGCACAAGTAGCCATCACGAGCACAAGCACACATCCGTGGCAGTAATGTCGCCAGGCAGAGACCTTGGCATGATGGGGGTCTTTATCCACATCCTGGGAGACGCCGTCAACAACCTTGGCGTCATCATAGCAGCCCTCATCATCTGGAAGGTCGAGGGGGAGGGCCGATACTACGCCGATCCTGCAGTCGGGGTCTTTATCGCAGTCATGATCTTCCTCTCGGCGATTCCATTGGTCAGGAACAGCGGCGCCATTCTGCTGCAGATTGCACCTGGTGGAATCAGCCTCGAAGATGTCAAGCATGACATTGAAAAGGTAGGTCGACGGGAAGAGTTGCTAGGTCAGAACTGACAGAGTTTAGATCCCAGGGATCGAGTCGGTTCACGAGTTGCACATCTGGCGACTAGATCAGCACAAATCCATCGCATCTGCCCATATAGTCGTTGACGGTAGAACCGTCAAGAGCTTCTCGGACAAGGCGAGGATCATCATGGAGTGTCTCCACGCGTACGGCATTCACTCGGCAACCCTGCAGCCAGAGGTACTGGCTGGCCCCCCCGTGACCATGACCGACGGCGCAACAGATACTCAGGCAACAGTGATCGACGCAAGCATGGATACCTTGAGGCGTCGACAGCAACGAGGCGAGGAGGAGTGCCAGCTGATTTGTGGCGAGCTGTGCGAGGGGTTGAGGTGCTGTGCGCCGGTACAGCTGCAGTGATCGACGGTTTCGTCGTTGTTCGCTCTTGACCCTTCGCCCTCGGACGAAGAGCTGAGACGAGGGCGAGAGGGGTTTGAGGGTCACCGGAGAGGGGCACAAGCTCTGAGTCGCCGGATCCTGAGCTGTATTCTTGGCTCTGGCGTTGCTATTCGACCATGGCGCCGTATGTCCGCGCTAAAGGAACAGGAGGATCCCTGAACATGTTGCGAGACTGGTGAACGCGGATCTTTTTGCCATCGAGCAGAATGGGGTATGATGATTTCGATTCAGCGAGCATGGGTTTCTTAGCATTGCAGTGGGTGGCTGAGGTCAGGAGGGATGAGTGTTCATAGAGCTATAGCGATATACACTAATACGGGGTATACCGGCATGGACGCAGATAGGTAGTAGCACACTGTACCTGGCCAAGGGCTGGGTGACAATAAAAAGGATGCGCGTCTCTGTTTCGTAAGCTGACTGCGAGCTCCGATGTCTCTCTCCCACAGCCCTCGGCGGCCGTGGTCAAGATGAAGCCCGGCGCCAGAGGGATGCGCCTTTAGATCCTTGGCGCTTGAGCCAGAGAGCCAGCCTCACGATGGCATATGCGGAAATCGCACCACTCTGCTGGAATCCTTGAAGATGCGGCGACATGCTAACCTCAAGAGGGCAAGTCGGTGAGCCACGCATCCAGAGATCTCGAGGCCAGCCATCATCAGAGCATGCTCATGCTCATGCTGGGCGAGGAACATGGTTGTCGGCATTGAGGGCAAGTCTCCCCATCAGCGAGGTGCTGGCGTTACATTGCTCAGGCTCCCACAGTCTCGAGTGTAGCGGGAACCCATCCCAGAGGTCCAGCTGGACATGAGGGGACGGTCGAGACCCTTTGATGGGTGCTGTCAGAGGGAGACTGGTCGGGTTGGAGCCGAAAGATGGAGGTCAGCTGGTCAAACGACGAGTCGGCCAAGGGACGGGCCGCGCACAACTACGTTAGTTGGTCCAATGATGAGGAGCATGAAACAAGACCAACTGGACGAGTGAGAGCAATGAGCACTATGTCAATACTATGCCACACATGCTCGTGACACTGTCAAGGTGAGGTGCTTTTGAGTTGCAACATGGGCTCATCAGAGGAGCTCTGATGAAGCTTCACCATCCACAGGCAGTTATCGCACCAAATGGAATAAATGGAACCAATATTTGCCCTGGAATAATTCTCCAAGCCGCAGTAATCCTTCCCTTGCTTCGAGATACGAATAGCTCCTTGCGGATAGGTAGCATGGGTGTAATTATTAGGCCGCACCAAACCAGCCTGGTGCTTCAAGTTCTGCGAGGGATTGATGAAGATGAAGTGCCCGATCGTAGCGTAGCGGACCCAGCAAATCCGAGACGATGAGCCGAGCGCAATCTGGGTTCCAAGCAGCCGGAGGACGCAGCAGGGGTTCTGGTTGGCAAATGTCTCGACAGCAATGTGACCTGTAACAAGCCCAGGCATGGAGGAGCTCATGCGGCCGCTCCACGCGCGCGCGCCCGTTGACTGGGGCACCTCATTTCCAGTGAGCATCGCCGAGGGGCCAAGGTGAGAGAAAGAGCCAGTCCAATTTGTTCAGCGAGGGGCCGCCATGCTCAGAGCTGAGGACGAACGAACGAGGGGCAAATGCCGCAGGGCGCATTCAGGCTGAGGCGGCCTTGGCTGTGGCTGGGACTGGTCCTTGGGACGCATTCTCGCTGCAGCTCACGGTGGCTCGCATTGGGCGGTGAGATATTGGAGATGGGAGACAGGCGTGCAGGTGGAGAGCAGAGGAGACATCCATCCGTGATGGAGTTGTGTGTGGAGGTGGAGGCTCAGAGAAATACGACACGTGACGGACGCCATACTGCGATCAGTGCAACATTAGCTCTGGAACCGGCAACCGGAACAAGCGGGGAGTTTTTCTTGGAAACTCAGGGATCAAGCCTTGGAAGAGAAAGGATCTCTGGGATAACGGGCCGGAATGTTGTGAATAGATCAACTGGCTGTGATGAGATGTTGCGGTTAAAGTACCCGCGCGTCAGGGCTTGGTAGGAGAAGTACTAAAGTGGCAGCTCATAGGCATTGACGCAACTACAGTATCCATCCATCAATAACAACAGAGTTGTAGTTGAACCACTGGATTAGCCGCTGAGCTATTCGCCGGACCGGCACTTGTCTCAAGAGCGTTGGTAGGCAACAGACATCAGGCTCATCAGACAGACGTGGACCCGCATGCAACTGCAACGTTGTAGCCATTGAGAATCAGAGAAGAAGACGAGCGACTCCCAAAAGGGATTGATGGGATTTGTGGATGCAGCTTGGCGGGATTGTCGATAGCCTAACTTGGCCGCTGAAGAGGGGAGGGCTTATCACCGCCATCGTCATATTCATGCATCTCCATCATCATGCCTCAGGGCCATCATGAGGGGAGCTGCAGTAGGCTGCGCCTCGACAGGACTACAGGCAGAATGGCTCAGGCCAGCTCCCCCCAACAGCCCTGTGACCAACAGCCCGGGACTGCCGCGCTCCTTGATAAGTCATGACCAACACCATGGAACACGAGACACGGTGACAGAAGCCCGTGCCGGTCCCTACGTGGGATGAAGATCGGCAAATACTGCATCGCCAGCCGGTCAGGGCAGGGGAAGAATGCTCTTCCCGCGCGAGTGCCGCGGCGGCAGCCCAGGTCTCTTTCTGAGAGCTCCTAGCTCGGAGGCCCCCCAAAGGTTGCCCCTAGACGCCCACCATGTGTGTCTCACGGGAAGGCGCTAAAAGGCAGAGGTCGTTGAGAAATGCGCGTGGTCTCAACTGACATGACCGTTGTCTGCGTGCCTGCAGGTCACTGAGGGGAAGAGGGCGAGCTCGGCGGTGCTTATCGCGGGGCACAATTGTTCAGTGGACGATGACGAAGGAAATGCAACCCCACAGGGGATCACCAAGACATTGGATCCATGGATGAGAAGCGTTGCTGTTTAGCCTCGATTGCATCCCTTGACGACCGCAGCAGCCTCCAGTAGGGCCGACGTCTTCAGTATGTCATGCCCTCATGGATGGCACTGCCCTAAGACCGGTGAACCGAGGGACAGGAGAGCAGTAACCCCGGGAAACAGAGTTTTCAGGCTTGGACTGAAATGGTCGAAACCCGAGAAAACTCCCTGTTGAACTACCTAACCAACGCTGGACCCTGCTCGCTCGGCAGAAGGTTAGAGATCGAACCCGGCGACACGGTGATGGCTCAACTTGGGGCGGGCAGGGGGGCCATTGCCATGACTTAGGGACCAGGGGTTGACAGGAAGCCATCTCGATCGCAAGACGGACCTTCTGGGTCCCAAGAGAAGAAGGAGAAGAAGCAAGTATCTGTGATGGCGTCTAGACGAGGCTGGACAAGGGGAAGGGGCCTGACGTCGTCTCCGGGCGCCGCCCCCGGGGAGGGCTTGAGGTTTAATTGGCAACGCCGCAGACCGGCTGGGCTTGTCATGTACAGTAATGTCAGGGCTCTGGTTTGACCGATGGCAGGGAGGGACAATTGGTCTTGGCAACCTAGCAAAAACAGTTTCGTTCCGGACACATCCCAAGGCAATTTCTTCGAGTCCTACCGGAAGAGGCTCTCACAGCCGGTCTTGAGCGAGTCAAGTCGAGTCCGGCGAGTCGAGTCTGAAGTCTACTAATTACGTACCATATGCCCCAACATTGAAGCCTGTTCCCATTGAAGAGCCCACTCACCCGAAAGCTCTGACGGGATTTTCGGGGAATTTATCATCTCGGTGCGGCAGTTGAAGAGAGCCACCCACTCACGACGACTCGCATCTCTTTTGGGAACCCTACTTCCGCCAAGATGCGAGCGCACAAGAAGGATGCCATTAGAAAATTACATTGGCCTTGAACTTGAACTGCGGTCCTCGCACATGTACAGTAGCGTCATGTGTACGTCCACCTTGACCAGTTAGAAGAGAAACCGCCCGGTAGGTAGCGAGCCGACGGCGGGCTTCCAAGGGGGCTGGCCGACTACGACGTACACAGAAGCAAGTTGTCGGAGGTAGTAGTAGGTCATGGATGTCATGGCCAAAAGGAGGCCATCAAAACGCGGTGGGCAGATGGCATATCTCGGCGACTGGGATCGCCGATAGTCAAAGGGTTGGGCTTCAAAAGTCGTACATTCAGCTTGACTCACCGGTTGATGCCCTATCGAGGGGCGTCTCGTCGAGTCGGATGGAATCCTCAGCTTTGCTCTGCTTACCGACATCTTGTTTTCCTTTCATAAGAAAGGCAAGCACAAGGCAGCGCCGGCCGACGGAGGACAAGGGGACGTGACCGCGGCACCGTTACCCATGGCGTCCTCTAGCCGGCTTTTGCTGCGGCTTCATGCCTGGGCTCGGCACGTCTAGGCTGGCACTGGCCTGCCATCGGCACTAGCGTGTACGACTTGGCTTTTGGGCTCTTGGAGATGTGGTTTGTGCAACGCAGGTTTACATCAGAGAGCAGTGCGGTGCGTATTCGGACATTTCATTTCATCTGGCCTGTGCTGTGCTGTGCTGTGTGTTGTTGATGAGGCTGCACTCCACCATAGCCTGGACCATGCTCACGGAGAGTTTGGTAATGGGTGATGGATCCGCGGCCTTGCGCCCACGCCGGACGACCCCAGCAAAAGGAGACCTGCACGAGCCATCAATGAGCCAGGGCACGCGACGAAAAGTCCCCACTATCATGACCCGTCGCCATGGGAATTTCATGGAGCAGAAGGTTAGAGGGTATTCGCTCGCTTTTGTGCCTCGTTCCGGGGAAAGGTCGTGGCCGATGACATAATTTGTGCAAAAGAACCCGAACGACACACACTTGGCTTCCGTGCTTGGGATGGCTCACCCGGGCCTTGGGGGCCTTGGCCACACCGGGAAGGGAAGACCCCTGGTCGAGCCGACGACACAAATCTGGTTGCTTTCACCGCATTTTTGGGGGGCTCAGTAGCCTTGGGGATGGAGCAATGGGCTTTTCTCATACATACTGGACGGGGGTTCCTTTTTCTTGTTCTCATGTGTGCTTTTTATTCCTCTCTGTCAATTTCTGCTTGACAGAAGCAGTAGCAGCAGCCGGGCTCCAGACCTTTGGATGGAGCAGCTCTTGGGGGCAGCAGTTGAATGATCCATCACTGCTCGTCTTGTCACATCTCCAACGTCTTTTGACTTGACAAACGAGTCGATTCTTTGGGCCTCGACCGACGACCCAGCCCTCTTTTTTTTTTAACTCATATTTTTACTCATCGTCTTTTACTCTTCTACTAACACACGTTACCCGCGCAAACAACGAGAATACCAGAGCCTCTCGCGTTGCTGTGCTGGGCCCGCCGTTGTTTTCCCCTAACCTCCCTCGGAACAGCCGCTGTGGAATGAGATCGCGCACACCGACGATTTTTTTACTCCCATTATTAATTCCCGTATTAGCTCGCGCCCTCCATAGTCGCCTCCTGGGATCCGATATTACCTAAATATCGCCTCTCCCGAAAGACCTAGTCATTGAACTTGCGTGTTAGAGAGAGAGAGAGAGAACCCACACACCAATGACTATGGCCTCGACTCGAGCCCGTGCTTGAACTCGACACAACCAATCAACCGACCGACAATCTGCTTCTAAAGGAAGAGAAAGAACGAAAGGGGCGCTTGTCTTGACTTTGATCCAAAGGTCTCGGCCCCCCGGGTTTCAGTGCCAGCCACTTACGGGATACCTTTCCCTTGTTCATGTCTCGACGTTTTCTGTCTCGTCTCGACGTACGTCTTGTTATCTGTCTGTCTGGCAGCCAATCCAAACATTGTCGTCATCCCGGCATCAGCATTTCCATCACTCAGACTTCTGAGACTCTGGGGAAGGCAAGCAAGCATAACATTGGAAACAAACATGCACCCCCATTCCACGACTTGAACCCCTCCTGGATCTTTCTCCTCTTTTACCTCCAGCTCCATCTCTGCTCCGTTCCCCTCTCCGTCTCCTCTCGGCCAAAGGTAAGGTAATCCACATTTCTTGTCCTGTCCTGTTGATGGTTGTCTCTACTCTGTTCCCTCGTCCCGCCCCTCCGATCAATATCCACCCGTCCGTCTCCATCAGACCCAAGTCCCCATCGAGCCCGGGTCTCCAGTATCCATCCAATCCAATCCAATCTCCACCGGGCCTACAAGCCCATCCCACCTTGCCCGCCTGGGCCCTGCTGACGACGATCTAAAGCTCGAGCTAGGAGGTACCGGGCGCCTTGTACCGCGTGGTTGAGCCGCCACCAGCGCCAACCCCCAACCGCCACTAACGAGTACTTACACTGCGGTACCGCAGCCGCCTTGCTCCCGCTGGAGTTGCACCTTGGTTGCTTTACTCTCTAGTGGGCGCTGGCTTGCTGCCACACACACCAAAACTCGCTGCCACCCGCCCGAGCTGGCGGCGTCCCGGCCATCTGGATCAACCACCAAACATCGAGCTCTCACCTCAACCTGGACGCCTTTTACACCCTCACAAGTTGATTATTGTTTGCTTCGAGAGGCAGCAGTAGCAACAACACCAGCAGAATCGCCCCCGAGTAACACGGCAGGATCAACAACTATCACCCCCACACGTAACCTGGGTCTTCCAGCTCCAGTTTCTCCTGTTGATCACCCGCCCGCGAAACCACCTCCCACCCGCGCATATCGTCGCCTCCACACACGATCAACCCCTCACGCTTCGCTTCGCTTCGCTTCTCTACTCACAGAACTCGCGCAACTCTGACAACAAAATCCCTTGTCTCCTCCAGCTCAAGCTAGAGCCCGTGCCCGATCCTACTTCAGCTTTGAATGTCCTAACCAGCATCATCGTCACCTGCACCGTACCTTCAGCTCATCCTTGCTGTTTCTTCCACCTCTCACATCTCTTCCAGGCAGCTTGCCACGCCTTGCCTCCCTGTGTGTGGACGCACGCGCCACAGCAATCAAGCTCCCTGACGCCGCCACCCTCATTGCTCTCGCGACGCCGTGAGCTCAGGTTCATTCATTGATTGCTTGCATTTAGCAAACAAACAAAGCTCATAAAGCATCTTCATCCCCGGATCTGTCGCACTCTAGGACCTGCCCTGGGCTTTGCCCGCCACCTTGCGCCCGCTTGTTCCGCTAGCTGGGCAACTCTACTGGAAGCTTGTTCGTTCCATCACCTTCACATGCCACGCGCCGTGGTTACTATGCGATTACGCCCAGCTCAGAATATTTGGTCCTTCTCCCTGATGATGGCTCGCCGTCGTAATTAATTTCGACGGCCGCCCTCTTCACCAACCCCAACGCTGCCGCCCGTTTCCCTTGGTGCCGCCCCCGACATGCTCGGCCGGCTCTTGCACCTGGGCACCGGCGGTCCTTCGGTCACGCCCTCTCAGGCGGCGGCCAAGACGTCGAGGCCAGTATCCTCACTTGAATCTGTTCAGGAGGATATTCATACTCGCAATCTTCTTTTCCCGGATGCTCAAGCTTTATATCAACACCGCAATGACCAGGTGTTTCCTCTATCTACAACTCCAGCTACCCCGGCAACATCCACAGCCAACGCTTTCGACTACAGCGGCGATGTCGACCTCGATGTGCGCGACGTCCGGGTCATTATCATGCAGGATGCTTTAGGTCCTACCAACGCCTCTCTCCTCTTTGACAGTCATCCAGCTCCTCCAGTGTCTCCGATAGAAAGGCCCGTTGTTCCTCAAGAACTTCGCCGTACTCCAACCTCGCCGCGCAAGAGCAGTCTTAGTCAACTCTCGCGCCCCCTCGTCATCCAGCCCGAGGGTCCTCAACCGCCTCCGCGGCAAGGCGCTTTTGACCGTCGAGCTTCTTTGCAGGGACGCAGCCAGGTCCATATTGAGACGGACGGTCAGAAAGCTGCGCGTGAGTATCGGGAGGAACTGGCAACCTTTTCTAGCTGCATTTTTGGAAACTCCGAGTTGATGTCCTACAAGGGGACCTCAACAAAGGTACATGTAGTACCAGGCGACTCCCGACCTGTCGATCCCTCCGGCGGTATTCTAGGTGATGGTAGGAGCTCCATTGGCCGCTCAAGTGCTCGCTCCAGCCGTCTTTCGCAGTCGTTCTCCTCGACGACCTTCTCACCAACCAACGTCTCTAGTGCAGCGCATGCTCATGCTCATACACCACGCCAGAGTGAGAAGAAGAAGGTCCTCATCACTCGCCTCTTCCCCGTGAATCTAGCTGCAGATGACACCGACACCAACGTCTCGCCTCCGAGCCGCTACACAGACGAAAGCTCCGGCTTCCCGTTCCCTTCGCCAAATGACGAATCTGGGCAAAAGAAGAAGAAGCCGCAGCCCAAGCAACGACGCACACCAATGTATGCCGTGGTTCTAGTTGTCCAGCTCCCCGCTGCTCCTCCTTCGACCCGTACGCCTGCTGCATCCCAGCCAAAACAGCGCGAATCAAGTTCCTACGACCAGGAGTTCTTCTCTTCATCATTTAGCTCAGCTCGACCTTCAGGATGGGCCATGGTTGGCTCCGGTAACTACGGCGATGGAACCGAGTCAAACTTCTCAGTCGATATGGAGGACCGAATCGATTCCCTAACCCGGCACTGGGACATTATCATGAGGACCTTGACGCATCTCCAATCGGTAGTTGCAACTATTCTAGGAACGATGCTCAGGCATGTCGATCTTTCTTCCCCTGGAGCCTTTTCGACATCAGTCACCTCGAACAAAACCGGCAGGACGCCATCTTTCTCGGACCGACGCCCTGAGATGCCTCGGGTTAAGCCCCCGAAGAGCACTACAAAACTGGTATCATTGTGGCCCAACTGTCTTGCGGATGATGCCAACGTTGCGGGTGAGGTGGATGCGGCGAGACATAGAATTGTCATGGGCCTAAGCGCGGCCAGAGTCGTTACTGGTCAGGGGCGATGGGGAATATGGCGAGATGAAGCTCGATGGACGTGCAAGTGGACTTCTGGAATCGACCATCACAACCAATTCTTCTACAATCTCCTGACCGGGTTTCTCGCCACTCACACCGACTGGCTTCAGGCTCTTTGCCCCCCTTCGTACCGAAGACGTCTCTTTTTGCAGCAGAAGAACCGAAACGAGGAGGACCTGTCACTCCCGGCACGGACAATCATTGTCTCAGAGGATAAGATGGCGGCTCGACGCATGATCTTTCTTCTCTCGGCCTTCCTCCCCGCGAATTCCCAGTTTCCTACGACCCGGGCCCATCGTCCTAGCACATCGACTTCAGTCGGCACGTTCTCGAACTCTCCTCCGACCTTTGTGATCCCCGTTCTTCGAGAGGAGTCTCTCCGCCGCAAGATTAATCGTCGCACTGGACTTCGTCGAGCTTCACACTCTCGGACAACCAGTCAGAGCGCAAGGGCTTCTGCTGTGCCCATGCAGCTAGCTCACCTTACCATGGATCGTAATCACGAACGGCGCGTTTCGGATGCTGCCTCGATCCGACCATCTAACTTTGGCATGTTTGGTAACGACATGGTTAGCAGGAAGAGCAGTGCCGCAACTACCACGACCGTTCTACCCGAAACCACGGTGCCACACTTTTCCACTATTCAACGTGTCGATACGCATAGGAGGCCTCGACCGAGCAGCAGTGGAAGCGTGGCCACGGATGACCTGAAGCGCTCCCTCAAGCGAGGAGAGAGCACGGGCGGGATGAGCAATGCCAGCAGCGACTCGAGGAGCCAGAGCTCGCGCTGGGGCAGTGTCATCAGCGGTCTTTGGAGCACTCGCCGCAGAGATTCCACCACAATGAGCAGCTACGGACAGATAGATCCGAAATCCCCCACCAAGCAGGCTTTCCCCAGGGCAGACAAACTATCTCAGATGGTGGAGGAAGTGACTCTTGGCGATGACCTCCACGCCCCTTCGTCGTCGGCTGCTCGTCCTTCGATGGAGGCTCGTGAGACGGGCACACCACGAGAATGCAAGGGTCACAGCAGGGAACCATCGATCCGACCAGAACGAACACCAGATCCCAATGGTGCTTTCGAGTCACCGGTCAAGACATCCATCAATGCCGATGACGGGGTCATTGACGTGGACATTTCTTTCCCGGACTACATGACATCTTTTGAGTCTGCAATCAGCTCTCCCTCCAGCAGTGGCTATCTTTCCACCCCAGGATTCCAAGGAGGATTAGATTCTTTTGAACAAGCTTCCCGCCTGTGTGTCGATGGAGACCTCCCGCTCAATGCTGCGGGCTGGCTCAATCGCTATCACCCCGACTTTGCGGTTCAAGCAATCCCCCCCCAGGAGGACCTCATGGAGCAGGTCAAGGCGTCCCTTCGGGCCGAGCCAACCCCTGCTCCAGCTTTTCCTCTGCTCGACCTCTCGGAGCGTTGGGTAGAGGTGAGCTGTGTCATGATTGCTGACACTACAACTAACTCGATCACACGTCTTCGTTATCGCCGACTGGTGAAGCCACGGGCACCAGTTGATCGGCCAGCTTCCGGACCTGCAGCGTTCTCCACATCATATGGAGGGGTTTTGACTCCCTCGATTCTCCCCTATGAGACCCAGCTGGAAGAGGAGTGGATCGAGGAGCCTGTGCTACACTCGGACGAGACCCTGACTGACGCTGTTGAGAGGGTCATCAGCCTCAACCAGGATACCAGCAAGGACCACTCACTGGCCTCATCACAGACACATAGCGAGGTCCGCATGAGCACCGAAGCTGAGGAGCCCGTCTCCATCACAGCACCCGAGACACCGGCATTGCCCAATGCACCTCTGGAGATCCCCCGTGTCCAGTGCAAGACTGTGGTGCTCTCTGCGCTGGAAGACTGCATTCGCGAAGTCATCGATGTGCGCGAGAAGAGGCACCTCGAGACAAATGGCAATGCGAGAAACACACCATCACGAAACCTACTTCATGACGCCATCAACATATGGCTGGACAACTTGGATATTACCAATGGATGAGGCTGATTAAGGAGCCTACCTATTTAACGACTTTATGACTTGTTTTTCTTTGCGTTCGTTATCCGCCTGTCTCTTTATTATGCGCGGATGTACCATCACCACCATTTCCTACCAGAGACGTCGAATGATACCCCCATGGAGGTGCGTCTTGAGCACGCACGAGATTTGGAAGAGGCTGCGGCCCTGCCTCGAGAGGGAAGTGGATACACACAGACCTCGTTTCTCTTTTTTCGTTTTTGTTTTTTTCATTGTTCATGATTTAAAGATTTCGAGTTGATTTCATGCATTTTGGCATGTTTGGTTGGGTTCATATGGATGGAAATGGGAGCGTTCGACTAGCGATGGAAGGATTTTGCTTGCTTGTTCTTTTTGCACCTGAGGCTTGCTTCCTGGCGAAGCTGACCTGGATGGGGGTTGGGTTGGCGTTTCGCAGAGGGAAGGGATAGCCTAGGAGTCAGGCGAGCGATTCAACATGGAAGGATGGCTATTACAGGGAGTAATAATAGACTTGGCCTTTTTTTCTCTGAAATTGTTCTCTCCGTGACTTGATCGGTTGTTGGCTTGGGTTGGACTCAAGATGGATGTCTGTTGTATACCTTGTGATTGAAGTTGGCTCTCGGATAGTGACATGGAACTCGCTGCCCTCGGGGTGTTGAGGACTGTTCCGATAAGATGAAAGAGCAAGAAGATGATACTCAGGCCATAGCAAGCAACCTTGGAATACTATAAGATACGCCATATCTCCTCGGGGGTTCACTGTATTAAAAATACGGGTCAGGGGTCAGCTTGGAAAACTCATAACTTCAACACATTAGCCTTTGTTTCACTAATAGGTATCATGTAAGGACACAATAACAGGCAATACAAACACGTGCTTGAACAAGAATGCTTGAGCCTGGCCTGCCCTAGGACTCATCGTGAGCAACCTCACAACATACCTATCTAGCTACTCTGCATTGCCACATGGGGTGGCGATCATCAGCATACGCAACCCATAAGGAAAGCAAGCATCGTCAAAGCCATACAGATATGGCTCGATTTCTATTCTACACTGTCAGTTGTCAAGTCCTTTAGACCCGATGCTTGGTAAACCTGACAAAAATATACAAGATGAAAGATATGCAGCAAAGGGGGAAAAAAGAACAAAGGAAACCAAGATCATTGGGGTATATCAACCAGTTATTCCCGACGCCCATCCATCCATACGACCACTCAAGCGTGGCTCGTCATTACCCATATCCCATCATCCGTTATATCTTCCCTAGATCCAGTCACTCCCGTCCGTACATGCCTGGGACTGGTGTCGGAGGGGGTAGTATCTCGTTACTTCCCACCGAACCCGCTACGCTGCTTCTTCTCCCGGATCGTCCCGACTTGCGAGTTGAGAATCGGGACAAGACGCCGCCTGTGGGCTTGTTCTTCTCGCTGCTAATGACGCTTGCTCGGTCGGAGCCAACGCCAAAGTCTCTTAGTGTACCGATATCGATAAAGGCTTGTGGGAATATTCCCCATTTGCCTTTCTGGTTCGTTCCAGACCAGCACCAAAACTCTTGATATGGATCTGTGTTGAGGTTAGTGGTTGTCATGAGATACATGTGCGGTACCCCGGACCCGGACTCGGACCCGACTGTGGTGGGGCCGGTCACGGAGCCTAGATGCGGGGATCGGTCTTGGGGCGGGAAACTTACAGCTGATATTGGTGATGACCTCGTCCTTTTCAAACTTGAGCCAATCACCCTTTGTCTTATCCTTGACGTTGAACCTCCACCTCGCCGTGACTTGGGTTGGACTAGTCCCGTCCATCCTGATATTCTCAGGAGACGGAGGATCGAGCCTCATAATCTCAAACGGCACAGAGGCGTGAACAGCATCATGGTAGCCCATACACCACTCACCCAAGTATTTTGCCGGCCACTCGATGCCGGTGATCCTCGCCCCTTGCACCATCTCAAGAGCAGGCGTCCGATCATACAAGAGTCTCTGACCGTACATCCGACGTGCAGCCTCCTTAGACGTAGCCGTAGGCATGTTGCAGATCTCGTTTGACTTTTCCACCACGGGATGTGTCTCGGCAGGGCTCTTGAAGTGAAGGTCATAGTCATTTCGATATCGATCTGGCACTTCGGCCTCTTCAATGACTGTGAATCCGGGAACGGCTGGTAGAGGTCTTGGGTGACGAGCCAAGTGGGCAAACAGGGCCTTTTGGGAGACAAAGACTGTTGCGTCACTGGCATGAAGAGTTCTGCCTTGGTGAATGCAAAAGATGCATCCATACATGACATCGTCAGAGCGTCGTGTCGGCAGATGGCTCTTCTGGAGGAACCTGATACGGTAACCAATGCCATTCTTGATAAAGTTGCCGCGTGCTGTGAAAAAGTCAGTATTTGAGCAATGTTGAATCATTGTTCAGTAACATACCTGCTTTGTTGACGTCCAAGTCAATTTCGTTAAAGTCAAGTTCAAAGTGACACTTGACACACTTTGCAATCGAAGCAGCAGAAGCGAAGCCCTACATTGGTCAGTATGTGATATCAGAGAAAAGGGGAAGCAAACATACAGCCTTAACCGTCTTCTTAACACCCGCCCCTCCATTCAGAATCTCTTTTGCCCCATCGCAGAACCCCTTGTGAGTATAGAATGAACTCTGGGGGCTGAGCTTGCAATCAACGGCAAATGGGTTTGGAGGGTGCTCGGGCGTGGGTATCTCAGTCTCGACAGGGATAGGAAGATTGTCGATTTCAGGCATCCGCACAACCTGAGGCAGCTCAACCATGCCTTGGTAGTTGTTTACCGGAGGAGCTTTGAGCGGGAGAGAGCTTAGTTCAGAAGAACCGAGAGTTGGACTCGAGTCGGCAGCCGAAACAGCAGACCCGCGGTGATCTGTAAGGGGTGTGTTTACTCCGTCAGTTCTGGCAGGATCAAAAACGGAGCTCTGGTTAGTCTCGACCGACTCTGGACGAGACTTTGGTAACGAGTGAGTTCGAGGTGGGGGGAGCCTTGATGATAGTTGAGCGATGTAGCCTGCGCTGGATCTATCCGACGCAACATCCTCAGGAATGGAGGTAGACATGATGGAGTTTCCGTTTGAATATCGGCCTCGAGGAGTAGGGAAGATGCTATAAGTCCTCTCATACGACGAGGGCTCAGCGCCTGTTGGACTGAGTCTCGAATCGTTGCTGATTTGAGATGAACGGTCTGAACCCATGTATAGAGGTCGTGGTCGAGACGTCGGGGACTCTCTAGCCCGCTGCGGACTGAGAGGCGGCGAAATTGGCTCGATTGGGGATTCGACCGGTGCCACAGGTGCCCTCCTCTCGAAGGAAAAGTCGTCTGGGAAGCGCTGCTCTCGCTGTTGTGGCGAAGTCTTGACGTCCCATGGGTTCGTCGAGGGAGGTCTTGGAGGCGGCTCCATAGGAGGCGGCCCTTGTGGAGGCCCAGGCTTGAGTGAGTCTGGAATATTGGCATATAGGCCCTCGTCCGGACCGGATTGCGTCTGCATCAGATGCCGTAGCTGGGCTGTAGCTGCTTCGACGGTTGGGGGATCATGTACGGAGCGGGAGTCGGCAACAGACTCGGGAGCGCTACGTTGAACGCTAGCGGGAGAAGCTGAATCCTTTCTCATGTCTGAGAATGGAAACAGTGGTGGGATCGGAGGAGCGTCTGGGGAGATTGGACGTGATTGCGGACCGGAAAGGCGTGTCATGATGGAGCGGGTATCATGGTCGATAGGCACCTCAAGCTTCATGCGCATTAAGATGTCGTAGATCTTGGGAGCCGCCTTTCGCGAAAGACCTTGCAGCTCGGCAAACTTTTCGGGTTCAAAGTCTTCGAGCTCGATATAATCGTCAAACTCCCATAGCAAATCGGTCAATTCTGAACGAAAGTTGGCAATATCGTCTACCATGGTCAGTTACCCCAATAGCAAACACAAACTAGGGATACTCACCATTCTCCTTGAGGGCGTCGAGGAAATTGGAGCCATATTCGTCAAGATGCTTACGGCAGAGAGGCTCGATTCTCTTGAGGGCTCGCTCGCCTTCTTTGACGAGGCTCTGAGCGGCCTTGAGCATGACCTTGTCGTCGCCGGCATTCTCAACAGCTGTACGGCCCTTGTCGACAATGTCACGAAAAGGCGTGACGACGAGGTCAGCGACGTCATCCATGGCGAGCCTGAAGAGAGCAAGACTCGTTATGGTTGAGAAAGAGGATGTGGTGTTGAAAGGATCACGGTCGCAAAACGGGGTGTGTGCGGGCGTGTAAGTCAATAAGAGGACAGAGGATGAGGGGCGGCCAGACAGGGAACAAGAAAGACTAAGAGGGGGCAACCATCACACGACAAAGATGTGAAAAAGGGAAATAAACGAGGCGTCAAGGGTGCCTGGGTAGGACGTGAAGGTAGCGGGCCCGGAAGCCAACGGTATGGGATGGGCTTCTGCAGGACTACTCACGACTAGTCTAGGATCGAGAAGAAGGAAAGGAAGAGCTCTAGCAAGGGGGGAGGCAAAAGCCATGGGTTCTACCCATCTTGTTGGAGTTCAACCCCACCGAACGACAACTACGCCAGGGCACTCGCCGGGGCTCTCACCAGGGCAAACCAGCCCATGGGCAAGCTGAGCAAGAGGCAGATGTCAGTCCAAACCCCGCGCCTGTGCCATCCTCGCTCTCTCTCTCATGGGATGGGGGGCGTGTGTCATGTCGCATGAGGGTGCGTGTGCGAAGACGAAGGACGATTGGCCAGCCTGTCTCCGACCTCTAGAGCTTTGACACCAAGTTCCCACTTTCATGGAGAATGGAATTGCCTGCTAGAGATTCGGATGTAGACGTGAACTGATTAGCTAGCGGATCATGACCCCAGTAACAATCACGACAAGGCGGAACGGCTGAATCGTTGGTTGCCCCACTTGCCGCCGGGCACGTGTGGTAGATGTGCGCAACGGATTGGACTTTGGTCGACGGGGATCTCAACACTATTTCACTTTCTTCGAGACGAAACGAACCAACGGACCATGTGGGCAACTCGCACCGTTTTATCGACTCCTAAGCTCGGTCGATGATCTGGGCAATCGACTTCTGACCGAGGCCTCTTTCTGGTCAAGCCCACCGTTCAGTTCATTACCACTCCCCCATCTACGGATGCAACTTTGAACTGGACCCTGCGAAACACTTTGCCCCTGACATGGCGTTTTGAACCCGGTGGGGGGTTCATTCTTGTTGCCACGGCATTCATTTGTCTTGCCTGACGAGAGCAGAGTCTGCGGGATGTGAGATTTGGGAAGTACAAGATGCATGTAGTAAGAGTCTCGAGTCAGCCAGCAACAGCAAAAGATTCGTATCAAAAGGGCCAAGATATCTCACATCATAAAAAACAAAACAGACCTTCAAGACGAGTTCCACCGCTTGTCAAGTTAGGGTCCATGTCATCGGGTTTTCTGCAAACCAGGCAAGGCCCTCTTGACGATCCATCCATCCAGTGGACCAAAATCATGGGGTAAAAAAAAACAAGCTGTAGGGCAGGAAAAGCAACCTCGCGAATCGGGTCTTGACAGCGCAGATCATTTAAGGCGGGCGCTTGAAGATAGTCTTTATAACCAGGCAGCAGCAGTCTAATTGATCAATGGAGACCGACGATCCTTCTGTCGCCTAGAAGAGTTTCAACCTCTAGAAATGTTCATCTCTTCATGTCCCTATCACGATCAGCTAAAAGACGACCAAATCAAATCGTAGAATCCTTTACTACGACCAGGAACACGAAACATTTACTATCAGGGGGAGCCTGGTAAACGTAACCCAAGACGTCGATCGCAGAAATTCCAACTGCCTTTTTTACACATCGCCCACCGTTTATCTCTCTCTCTCTCTCTCTCTGATCTACAACGCTTTTGCAGCCGCTACTTGAAATTCTGCCCTCCCACCTCCACATGCAAAGCGGGCGACACAGCCTCCGCCCTGCTGCAGCGGCAATCTTTCAACGACTGCATATTCACCTAACCAACAGCGGCCAGAACATTGACGTGTCACCCACCCACGCAACGGCAATATCAACGAATGCCTTGGCTGCTGGCACGCCTTCCTCCGACGGCTGTGGCCTTGTCGGGCGGGAGGGTGTCCCCGTGAGCCAAGCAAGCCAAGCAAGCCCCCAAGGCCAGATCGCGAGGCACTCTTAGCACGCACTCTTCTTGATTGGGGTCGACGGGGCGTTCTAGAAGGTTACCCATGACGCATGAGGCTGTTGTATGTCTGCCGACGAAACAAGATACGTATCTCCAGCCTTTTCTCTCTTGTTGACCGAGATCAAGCACCATCTTTTCAAATATTGGTCGATAATATCCTGTCTTTCAAGGGGTTTCAATCTCGAACCTCACGAAACTCAATCCCACCCAAGTACCCAAAGCTCAAGCCAATCATAACCTCGTAACCATCCATATGCCACCAAGTCACCATCCCAACCCCGTCACTCATCAACCAATGTCGACCCTTACTCAACATCGTGTCAACTCCTGCTCCATTGCCTCACATCAAACGTTTCACGAGGCCTTTTCGCTTGGAACGGCGGGAGCGCTCTTCTTTCCGTTTTTCCCGGCAGCAAGCTATTACCACCATCGTTAGCCTTTGTAACCCATGTACTGAGCATGGGTAGATACTTACTTGCTGCTCAATCATCCTTCGCCCAATCTCAATTGTCTCCTGCATACCCCGTTGGCGCTGCCAGAACCTGCACCTTCCTGTCAGTACACCGAAAGACTTGAACCTAGAGTCAAACCTACATCTCCTCAGGAGTTCCATGGCCCCGGATCGACGCCTGTCGGGCCTCCTCCTCAAGGGCTTCACGAGTGATCTTCTCGCTATGCTCAATGCCAGGTGCCGCAGCCTCTTCAGCGGCGTCTTGCCCCAGGTTCTCTTGGAGCAGTCGCTTCTTCGTCTGGAATCGTTCCTTGCGCTCCTTCTGCAGCCCGGGGCTGTCAAGTTTGCTGAGCACAAAGCGGACCGCCAGCTGGACAACCAGGTAGAAGTGCTCCGCAAACAGAATGCTCAGTAGCAGACCCCACGCCTTCAGGGGAGACGCCTCGCCTTGGGTACCGTTCTTGGAGTTGCTGCAGAGGTACACAATAGCCGAGCTTGTGATACTGCCTAACCAGGAGAGGAAGCTCAAGGCCGTCAACCAGGGGCCAATCGAGTCGGTCCGCCAGGGGATGGGACGCCGGCTGCTGATGGCGATCTTGAGTGCGTCTGATCGCAACTCAACCCAGTTATTGACAAGGAAGCAGCATGCCGCCAATGGCCAAGCAACCGAAAACATGGCGACGTATCCTTTACGCAAGTCAGAACAGCGGCATCACGCATCCTCAATAACGTAAGCTTACCAAACTGCATTACCATCTCACGGTAATCTCCTGAGACGTCGTACTCCTCCAAAGTACACTCTTCACGGACACGCTGAAGAAATTCGGCCTCCTCCTCGTGGTCCTCCTGCACCTTTGACCCGGACTTGAGCTGCTTGGCCTTTTGGAATGCTTGTTGCTTGATGTAGGGCACGACAACCTCGGTCGCAAAGTTGACGATCTGAGCTGTCACGGTGAAGTAGAACATCTGGTTACTAATTCGAGCAGGGTTGATCTGAAACTCCCGTGTTGGCAACTCCTTCTCGCTAAAGGTGAGGGTCTGAGCGGTCGCTCTCCAGAAGTTGAGGAAGGGATGCAGGATATGTCCAAACGGAATGTAGACAAAGGCCGTGAAGAACAAGGCCATGTAAGAAGTCATAAAGTTGAGCACAAACTGCTTCTGGATGAGAGCAGCATCGTGGGCTAGCATTGGTCAGCTCAACTGCGTATCCAGAGACAAGGCGAGTTCCTACCATCTACGGTTGCATAGTTTTCCATGGCATTTAACTTTTCAGCAGCTCCCATGAGGACGCCCGAGATAGTTGGTGTTCCGATAACGAGGAAGATAGTGGGCAGAAATCCCTAAAAGAGTCAGTGGTGCTCTCGGCAGTGTAATAATAGTACTTACGAGATACTGCTTGCCTGGACCACTATAAACCTCATTGATAAATACCTCGAGAGAGTTGCAGGTCACGATGAGGGCACCCAGGGCAACGACACAGGCCAGAGCGAAGGGGATCTGGAGCAGCTGGGTCTTGACTCGCTTCATAGGCGGGTAGACCTTGACAGGCTCACCAGTGATAGGGTCCTCGGCCTCATGCTCCCACTCAAATTCGGGTCTGGACTGCTGAATGCTGGAGACTCCTCGGACGCCCCACTGGACGGCAAGGTCGACTTCCTGCTTCTTCCAGTACTCGAAGAAGACGACAGACCAAAGGCCGCATAGAAGGGCATAGAGGTATGAGAATTGGCCCAGAAGCAACCAAGCACCAAACCCAAAAGCGGACGGGATGACGAGGAATCGGAAGTAGGACCGTAGGAAGGCAAAGTAAAAGGCGACGCTCTCGCCAAACTTGTCTCGGATGTTGTCGATATCGGTCTGTTCCAGAGTGTACTTGCTACTCCATTTCTTGATCCATTCCTTATTGAAGGAATGGCTGTGAAGAGGAAAGATGGACTCGACGTGCTTCCACTTGGCATTGGTGGGCGTGACTCCGGCGCCGCCCTCGTTATGAGGCTTGGTGATCATGAGGTAGATCAAGCGCAGACGCTCGGCCTCGACCACAGGTTCATCTTGCAGTGCCTGTGCTATATCATTGTGGGGAGCCGAGACGCGGACGCCGTGAAGCCAGTCGCCGAGGCGAGCACGGTAGACCTGCTTCGCGAAGAGGTCGGGAGATGCGACTTTGACAAAGACGAGGAGGGATTCGTTTTCTCCATGGCGAACTTCGGTAGCTAGTCCGACGGTGGTGAGGGCTCGGATGAGTTGTACAAAGCCTGCTTCAGCTTCGTCGCGCTCTGTGGAGGGGTAATTGGTTATCGGAGGGGTCTTTGGCAAGGGAGAATGGCGGGATAGGAATTACCTGCGGCAGGGACCTTGTAATGAATTACAAAGTCGACGCTGGAGTTGTCAGCTGGGATTGATATGATGTTGACTCTCGTGGACAAACCCAAAGTTGCTTTCTTGGCCGCTGCCGGGCTGGCTAAAGTCCTTTAGATTGGACATGGTTCGTAGGAGATGCTCATGCGAGGGAGATGTTGAAGCTGAGCTATTCGCAGGAGAAAGAAGAGGAAGAGGAGGTTATCGACAGAGGGGAAAGGAAAAGGAAAAAACAGGATATGGTCGATGACGCTCCAGCAGGATCCAGGATTTGGAGAAACAAGCTTCAAGGCAGCTCAAGAGCAAGAGCTTGGCTCTTGGAGTCTTGAAGTAGCAGAGGGGAACATGAAAGTGGGAAGATTGGCGCGGGAGGCGACGTCACCATCCGATCTTAGGGCAAGAGCTAGGGAGGGTCCGTGCTTTCAGCTGGACATGGGTTCTGGTGAGAGGTCATGATGTATCAGAATTAATGCAGATATTCAGCTGTTATATAAAATGATTATATAAGATGAAGCCTCTTTCTTATTCAGACTGTCGATAAATAGTTGTTATTCATATCTACGCTGGCCGTTACAGTTGCAGGCGAGTGCAGCTTATTATAGAGCTAGGCTGCTGACCAGTGACAGTGGCATTCAAACCATCTCATGCCAACAGACGCAACATGTGATATCCACATACTCAAGATGAAAGACTCACTCTTGTTCTATCCTCTCATCATGGCTCTCATATTTACATAAAGTACTACATCCTCGTCTCAACTCGCCTCTCACTCTGTGAATTCCTCGCTAAATACTCCGTAATACGGCGTATTCCAATGGATCGCTTGGCCCCCTAAATGTCACCCTGGGACCGCCCCGCAGTGACGCTAGAGGCTCAGTACCCCGTCGTCACCACCAGGACCAAGCTCCATCATTCCCTGAAGCTCCATCTCACTCAGCATCACCTCTATTCTTTACACCTGCCGACTCGCGATTAGACGCTCGCTCAATTGACGCAGCTCCCGCACATTCCCTCCTCGGAGGCTCATCATCAATCCTACGATATCTCCATCATGGGTCTCCTCACTTGTCTTCGCCTCAGGCGACGGAACCAGTGGGAGCCCATGACGCTCATTGACCACCTTCTCTCGTCACCTCTTACATACCTCTCTTTTCTCTTCTATCAGCTGGTCCTCCTTCTCCGTGGCCGCCCTTTCCATCCACCCAGAGACAAACCCGCCATCCGTGTTGTATGCATCTCAGACACGCATGACCTCACCGTCGATATTCCCAGGGGCGATGTCCTCATCCACGCTGGCGACCTCACCAATGCCGGCACCGTCGCCGACATCCAGAAGCAGCTCAATTGGCTCCGCTCGCAGCCGCATCCCGTCAAGGTCGTCGTCGCAGGTAACCACGATAGCTGGTTCGATCCCAAGAGCCGACCCGAAGAGGATGTTCGCTCTGGCGCCAAGCCTGACATGGATGGATTGATTTATCTTGAGAGCGCATTGACTGTGCAAAAGATCAAGGGCCGCACTATTTCCATCTTTGGAGTCCCAGACATTCCAAATATCGGCCCCAAGGAGTTTGCGTGAGTCCATCAGCCACTGTACTTGTGATTTTACACTCAGACGCTGACTCCCCTAGTTTTCAATACACCGATGAAGCTCAACCTTGGCTCAGCAAAGTTCCCCCTCAAACGGATATTCTCATCACCCACTGTCCTCCAGTAAGTTATCTCCCCATCTCTCTCATGACAACTCTCCCCGTCGAATTCAACTTACACCATTCTCAGAAACATCACCGTGACCTTGGTCTCGGCGACAGCCATCTCCTCCGCGAGGTATGGCGCGTAAAGCCCCGTCTTCACGTTTTTGGCCACGTCCACTGGGGCTATGGTAAAGAGTCTGTCTACTTTGATGATCTCCAGGAGACATATGAGCGCCTCATGTCACGTCCCCGCCGTGGTCTCATCCGAGACTTTATCCCCAACGAAGCATGGCTTGATATCCTCCACCTTGTGATTCACGGCATTCACAGTGTAGCTTGGAAATGGCTCATGTCTGGACCCGGGAGCAACAATGGCAGCCTGATGGTCAACGCAGCTCAGATGTATGGAAGCTCGGGCAAGGTAAAGAACCGAGCCGTTGTTGTTGACATTTGAAAACCAAGGCGAGTTCGTGTATTTGTATAGAAAGTCCCATCATGGCCACATCATGACATGATCACCAAGCATCATGGTAGAAAAAGCGTCAATAACTCGTCTTTGCATTAAGATTTATATGTAGTGTTCCAATACTTCGTAACGTAACCCAGACAAAGGAAAGAAAATGTTTGCAAAGGGTATACCCGCCTTATCAATGCCCGCCTCTCAACATTTCATCCATTACATGTCGCGTTGAGACATCAAAGAAAACCAAACAAAAGAAATGGAATGGTTTGACAAACAATCATAACAGCTCCTCCATCACAACAACAGTGCGAATGTCAGGGCCACAACAACAGACAGCACGATGCTCATCTTGAGGCCCTTGGTCGCGCTCCACGCCTCACCAACAGCTACGGGCTGATCCGGCGCTCCCGGCGTTCTTGCAGCACTAGGTGTTGCAACAGTCGCGTTAGCAGGTCCCGTGGGGACAATACGTTGATCGGGTGTTGTGGGCTGCGCAGGAACAACATCCGGGATGGCATTGGCGTTTCCGGGAGAGTCGATCTGTGAGTCGGCACTATCCGAGGGCCGAACAACAACAACTATGGTCTGCTTTTTCGTCCTCGTCACCACAAGATTGTTGTCCAGGGTTTCTTCTGTTACCACCTGGATGGTCTGGTATGAGGTCAGGACGGTGGTGATCTCAGGTGCTTGAGCCTGATTAGGCTGGGTCGGCTGGGGTTGCTGTTGATCAGACTGTCCTTGACCAGACTGTCCTTGATTGGATTGGATCTGGGGAAATTCTCCTTGACCAGATTCTCCCTGGCTCTCCTGTCCATTTCCAGGCTGATCTTGTTGAGACTCGCCACCGTTTGGCTGGACCTGACCGGTACCGCTTCCCCTCGCCGGTACAGTAACAGAAACCGTGATAGGAACAGTCAAGGTAACAGCGCTCTCACCATTGACACCGCAACCATCGCACTCAACAACCTTGGTCTCCATGGGCGGCGCCATCAACTTGGGTGTCTCGCAATCGCAGTCCTCATACAGCAAGGTCACGACACTCTCTTGCGGGACAAGCGCGGCAGGATCCGAGGGGAAGACTGTAAAGTACGTGACTGTGGTTCTGACACCGGGGCGGTCTAGGTCGGCCATGACGGGAGACACGGCGATCGTCCGGGTCAGGGTCGTTGCTCCGGAATCATCAGGCTCGACAATGACTTGAACTCTGGTATTGACGTTGGGTTGAGCCAAGTTTTCGACAGCTTGAGTGACTGTCGTCACTTCAGAGGGACCGAGTTGAGTGATGACACGAGTGATGGTAGAGTCAGCGAGGGTATTCGTAACCACCACGATCTCCGTCACGTCATCAGTGACAACCGCAGTAGGCTGGTTATCAGAATCGTTCGGATCAACTTGGCCACTGGGCGCAGATGGGCGAGACGCTCCCATGCCGGGCGGTGGCTCAGGCGACTCCGTGTCGGCGAGAGAGGCGTAGACGGTGAGGAGAACACTACTAGGAGCATCCCGACGGGCGAGCATCCAACGACGGGGGTTGCTAGTGGGTTTAGCAGCGAGACCACCACAGAGTTGCTTGTCGTTTCCAGGACATGGCACATCACAATCGCTCTCGTCGGCGACAGCACGGGTGTTGGCGTCGAGCCTTTCAGCACAGTAGCAAGTTCTACTATTGTTAGTATTGATGTTCACCTATAGGAGGTTGAAGACTCACTCTTCGTAGACGCCGATATATGTTGAGCCACCACAGGCGTCAATACAACTCTGAATAGTCATATCAGCGCTCTGGGAGGTTTCTTCAAAGGTTAAGAAACCAGTTCGAGAGCCAAAGCAGCCAATATATGAATAGTTGCCGATACGGTCAGGGTTGACTGAGCTGCCGCCGCCTACCACAGGGAGAGGGCTGACAGTCGGGCTGTTGGTGCCTTGTCCGGGGATAGTGACCATGATAGTTGAGTGGATCGTCATAGTCTTGGTCATGGTAGAAGTTGATTCATCTGATGTTGTCTGGTTCGAGAACATGGTCCGGCGAGTTGAACTAGAAGAATCGACTGGGCCGGGCGTATCGGGACCGCTGGAGTTGGGTCCATTGGGTTCGCTGGGGTTGGGTTCATTGGATTCGTTAGGTTCCTTGGGATTGCTAGGAGCGGCGACAGGTGTAGTTGGCAAGATTACATCCGATGACGGCTCTTGGCTGGAGGGAAGAACTGGTGGGATGGTCTCATCGCGTGAGTACACATCGATGTAGGCAACATCCCAGTACCTAGGGTTGTCAGCATCATAAACCACAAATCAGAGAGTCCAACTCACGTATTCTCAAAAGCCTCGGGGTTGTTGGCGACATATTCTCTGCATGTAGGTGCCAGGGCTTTACACGTCTCAAAGCTCTGCCATGTTCCCTCGCCATAGTCACCACAGAAGTTCTAACAGAGTTAGTTCAGCCATATCAACTCTTCCAAGTAGAAACTCACAATGTTGAGAACAATGTTCATATCTTCGTAAAAATCATCAACATTGCACTTGTTCCCTCCAAAGAGAGCTTGTGGAAGTCCCCATTTCTTGGGATCAGGTGTCTTGGCTTCGATATCGGCAGGGATGGCACCACGTGGGAAATGCCAGATTTTGATGTAGTCAGAGTCCCACTCCATAGCGTAGACTCCTCCGTTGGCAGCATTGAAGCCATCTCCATAGGACGAAGTATCACTCGAGGGTGGGTTGAAGCCACATCCAATGTTGTCCGTACCGACAAAGCAGTCCAGATTTCGTCGTTCGCCTGAAAAGAGGTCCGAGTCTGCAGGGTCTAGTTGACAGTTCTCGGCAGTATGGCCGGACATTGTGTTGGTGTAAGCAAGGTTGGCGCCTTCAATGATGTCGATCTCGCCGCCCGAAGGCCAGTTGGGGCCATAAGCCCAGTCTGTTGATGTTAGTGTGCAGACAAGTAGAGTTGACTTGAGTACATACAGGCTGGCCAGGTACCACATTCTGAAGGTGGCATGTGTAGAAAGTCGGCGATGAAGAGACCATGATGAAAGGCCTGCTTGCTCTCGAGTCGAATACTCGGTCTTCCCTCATCAAGTCCGTACGTTTCGGTATTGTCAACCCCTAGGCGGACAACTTGCGAGAAAGGTTCGACCGAATAGAGACTAAGATCAAGGGCATCTTCCTGGCTTTGGTACCTATCCTCACGTTAGCTTGTTACGTCTTCTCCTGTCAGCGAGTACTTACTGAACAAATCCATTGGAAAGATCCACGCCATTTTGCCAGTTGAACCCAGACAACAGTTCCTCCCCAATATAGGAGGTATTCAGAGAGTAAGCCATATCAGGCACACACAAAATGAAACAAACAAAAGAAACCTGAAGAACAGACCAAAAGGAAAGTAGGAGACTTCAGAAACTTGTTTGGTAGATGGATAGGATCAACATTTGCAAACAACAACGGGCATCAACGCCTTCTTTTAACCTGTTCAGTCTTCCTTGCCTGGGAGCGGCGAGTCCACAATGACCGCATGAGGAATTCGATGGCCTGGCTGGAAAAAACGTCTGAATGCATACGTCCTCGAGGCTGACGACGATGAGCCCGTGATGAGACACCACGAGATCCGAACCAAGACTCAGTGACAATGGCCAGGTTATGGGGAAGAGAATGCTATGTGAGTAGACCGACCTCTTTGTTTGCCATCCCATACATTCCACCTCGGGCTGCTCCGTCTCATAATTGCATTCAAGTTTCTTGGGTCACTTGCCAAGAATAGGTAACTAGAACCGTACATCTTTCGAGGGAAGGACATTGGTGAGACATTTTAACTGATAGTTCGGGGTGCGAGTCGGATGTTAAGTGAGACATGGCATTCCAGGCATGTGGATGAGCAGGTTGGTAAATAGATGAGACACTAAAGGGCAGCACATAACTCGGTTGAAGTGTTACTTGGCAGTATAGAAACATGCAAATAGGTAACATGAGATAATACAAAACGATATTCGTATTAGAAGCCAATGCTATAAATGCCTTGTTGTCACATCATGATTCTCATGATAGCTTCATCATTGTGTGGAGATAGAATGATGCTATGATGCATCTGTAATGGTGTCTCATTTTAATTAGATTCCAACATCAACCCGAATTGAGACTTTGATCAAGCCTCCTCAATTAAGGGTGAAACATCCATCCCCAAGACGCCCGGGTATTGAAAATTGCACGCTTTTTTTCTTTCCCACCAAAAATTCGCGTCCTCCGACGCATGCAGTAAAACGCTCTCTATACCATGATCCGTCTCAAGCCCTCAGTTCCGCCTAGTACACGCTTCCCAGTGACGGCGCATCTCCCTGCTCCGCTCTCCCACTTTCCTTCGTGGGCCTCCATGAAATCCTCCTGTTTCGGGTGTTGTCCTTCCAGCCACTTGTGGATGCATGTGTAGCAGTAGACGACTCCAGTCTGGCAGGCCGTTGGCGTGACAATCTCGTCAACGCAGATTGGGCACAATGCCGAGTCCTCGGGGAATGGGACTGTGAAAACTGGGAGCAATGATGGTGTGGCAATGGGGGCATCCTCAGCTGAAGGTGTCGTCTCGCCCTCGGTGGCTGTGTCTTCGCTCTTCTTCTTATCTGATCCTCCCTTGCGACCCAGCCCGGATATCACGGGCGGAGGGAGATCAACACTCTCTGTAGCCTTTCTTGATAGTTGCTTTGCAAAATCAGATTGATACCACCACTCTAGAAACTTCAACGCAAAGATGCTGGTCGGCAATAGAAGAGCCAGCCCAGACAGTAGCCGAGGTCCCATCTCACGAGGGTTCAACAACGAGCGCAACCCAGGTCTATGTCCCCTCTCGGGTGTCTGGGTCAAAGCCTCGATGGCCTTGTAGTCGGCACCCGTCATCCTCCGCACACGGGTGCCTATCAGCCACATGAGCGGGCTATGGTACTTGCTACCGTCGAACAGGTAGGCAAGGTTGAATGCCAACATGGCAAAGTAGTAGCCAGCATTGACGCTCGGGTATATGTTCCGCAAGAACCATCGGTAGTAATACAGGAAGCGGTCCCGAAGGGTCGGATTATCGGGCATTCGCGTGTACGCCGCACCGAGCAAGGCTCTAGGCGCATTCACCTCGTAGCTCTCGTCAAGCTTCCGCTTAAGATAAGGGATACCAACAAGTACGAGCAGATTCTTCCACACGTCCTTTGTAGACAGCTTCAAAGTCTCGCGCACGAGGTCAGGAGCCGACATGCTCGCACGGGGGACCTCGGCATGCAAACCCTTCTCGCGCTTGAGCCCGTAAAAGTGTTCTGTAAAGGAGCCGCCGCGGGTTCGCAGGTAGTGGCGCTCGACGAGCAGCATGGCAGCAGCGTAGATCTCATCGAAAGAGTTTAGTATTCGCAGGAGGTATCGCGGGTGTCGATGGGTCGCGATGGTGAGGAGGTATCGGAGGGTGGGAGGGAGGAGAGCGTTGAGCTGCTGCTCAGAGAGAACTTCGAAGAGGGACGGCTTCTGCTCGTCAAAGGTGCCCCGAAGGGCTGTGACGAACTCCATGAGGTTGCTATAGATGCGCGACTTGATGAATTGGGGTGATGAGAGTCGGAGAGGAGAGTTGCACGAGGTGGATTCGCAAATGATGGTTGATGATGGTGGAGTTGGGAGGTGGATTGATTGACCCCCGAGAAACCCCAGATTCCGACCGCGATCTATTCCCTTTCGGCGCGCGTTGCCGCTGGTGGAGACCGGGGGCGCCTGTGACGTTGGCCGACGTGCCTCGGCAACTTCTGGCGGTCTTTCCTAGAAGGGGTAATCATCAGCATTTGGGAATTAGTTATCAAGCGTAGTTTTCAGCTTTTATTGCTAGTATTTGCTGTGTATTTCTCTTGGTTCCTAGGTAAAAGGCTTCTCCTGTTCATCTACCTCGGTCGTTCCCAATTCGGCAATAATACGGAGCACTCTCGATATCAACCACACTCTCCCATCATCCCTCACTCCCACAATAATCACATTATCACTCATTCACTATAATGTCTGACACTCGGGAAAAGAACCTCAAGGCGGCAGCCGAGTCTATGAAAGGCCACCGAGATACAATCCTAGGAGGCAGCCCCGAAGACAAAGTCAAGGCATGGCTTCAGCTCACTAAAGATGAGAGCGGTCATCTCAAAGCCGGAGTAAGCAATGACCTGCATCTCATAAAGTACATCCTCTAACATGCATCCCCAGGACTGGATGCACTCCCTCATCCCTCATCTCTCCCTGGTATCCGTCAACGCCGAAGGACCTCATCCGTCATGTGTATTTTCTTACACAGTGCAACCTGACAACTGTAACCGCCTCAGGAACTTGCACGGAGGATGCGCGGCTACTCTGTTCGACTGGTGCACCACGTTGCCGCTCGCCCTGGTGAACCGGCCTGGATTCTGGCTGGGCATGGGCGTGAGCCGCACTCTCAACGTCACCTACATGAGACCAGTACCTGTCGGTGAGGAGGTGCTCATTGATTGCGAGATCATTCAGGTCGGCAAGAAGCTGGCAACTCTGAGGGGAACGATGAGAAAGAAGAGCGATAACTCGCTGCTGGCTGTTTGTGAGCATGGAAAAGTGAATATCGATCCCGAGCCAAAGGCCAAGATATAGATTTCATACGTCAAGCATCCCAAGGGTCATCCAAAGGTCAATGTTGGGGAGGTTGCGTAAGGAGTGAGACGGTGCCTCAATCAGCAAAAGACAAGGTGTTTATTTTCAATAAGGCTGCTTAATGCGCGTCATGAAAATATCAATAATATTACATTAAAGAAGAAAAAACATGTCTCTGATGAACTGTTAGGCTTAAATATCAAGCCTCTATAGTAGTCATTGTTGAAATTGTCGTTGAAATACAGGTTTGATGCCAGATTCCTTTTTTGGGCAACCCAGATAGAGTCGAAATATTACCCACGAATAGCACTATGACGCGTACACTGCAAAACATTCACGTGTACCAGTCCAACTCTATTTAAACATAATTCACGAATAACTTGTCTACATTGTAACCGTTGTTAAAGACATCCACTACCAAATTCAACGATTCTCGTGTCAATCTAGGGTAGCACTGCCATCATCTCACAACCCCCACCTGCATGGACGTTCACCGGCTCCGGACGAACCGCTCTAACGTTAACCTCCGTAAACCAAACAGTGGAGGCGTAGGTCCGCTATCGAACAAAGACCCCTCCATCCGTTAAGTCCGAAGAAACTCTCGAGTACAACAGAAACCCCGTCGATATCGTCATCTTTACCTTTGTTCACCTCTTCTTCACTCACCTCTAAAATGGACGACGCTTTCTTGCCTGGCGCTGGTGAATCCAAGCTCCTCACTCTGCTCCCCGCAGAGGTGTTGCATCATATACTGCAGTTTCTCCCCCCCGCTGATCTGGTGTTGAGAGTGCCCTGCGTGTGCTCGGCCCTGCACGCTTTCATCAAAGGGAACCGTAACTTGTTCCGCCAGGTCTACCTGGATGTGCTTGTGCGTGAAACCCCAAGCTGCCCTTCTAGAGATGATGATGGCTAATGAGATAAAGGATGAACCCACTGATAATACCGGTCTGAACTGGGAGCAAGAGGTTCGAGATCTTGTCCGACTCGAGACGATATGTAATCGCCAAGCTGCGGCGGACAAGGTGAGATTCAAGCGCACCACCATCTTGACCACCAAAGAACATATACTCAAACTCATTAGAGTCAAGAACTGGACTTTGTTCACGACATCGTCACTCATCTCCTCAAAAACGCCTCCCCCTCGGATGAATCCGTCAACCCCTCCCGCACACACGCAACCTCACGCAACGCCGCCCTGCTGCAGCGCATCTTCCGCGATGGAACCACGTCAGAGGCCTTTCTCCAGCGCTCTTCTCTATTTGAGCGTGTTCGTGACCATCACCACCACTCAGCATCTGCAGCAGCTCCTCAGTCAGTAAATGCGGACCGTAGGGCCATTCAGCAGAAGAGCGCTCATCTTCACTGTCTCCATGGGCGACCGATTTTGAATGCGGGCCGTCTGCGGTCTCACAGGACTTATCCATTTGCGTGCTCCAAGGTGTATGACATGCGCGAGTACACTATGAACTCTAGATGGGGCCCCTTTCTGGCTGACGGCTCCGATGGTGTTGACTGGGAAAAGGTTGAGGCCATCCTCGTGGTCCTGAGCAACAACGTCGGCCCCAGACGCAAGGTTCCTCAGATATTTGGTGAGATCTGGGATAAGCCATTCTCAGGCTCCTGGTCAGACAGCTTCAAAGTTCCTCCGCCACGCGATCTGACCTCGCTCGAGGCCCGCGATCCTTACGGCGTCACAGGCACATGGTACCGCGTTTGTTACCCCCCTCATCCCTCATCTCCTCATTCTTTTTCTGTCTCATGATCTGGGCGAGACTGACCAACAAGGCGTCAGATTGTTTGCTTCCTCGACTACAGCGACTTCTTCGCCTTCAACTTTCCTGATCACGATTTTGTCGCTCCTGATGCGCCACGACCTGCCCTTGACGTCGGCGAGGCTACTCGTTTGATAATGCTTCGTCTCCAGGTCACATCTATTCAGAACCCCGGACCGGACGATGGGCAAGACCTGCCAGTTGTGCACTTCAAAGGCGTCTCGCGGTCCCTGGATGACTCGTTCGACCACAACGCCAACTCAAACATCCGAGGTAAGTCTCTAGTTTCCAGTCTTGGCCAGCTTTCCATCATGACTAGCAGCATGAGAGCTAACAAGTGAGCATTCGCCTCCAAAGGTACCGTCCGTCTAACCAGGGAGGGAGAAGTCCGCTGGACAACCTTTTCCATCTTCCATGGCGTCGAACGCTGGCGCAGCGAAGGCGTTCAGATCGGTGGCGTGCGCTCAGCTCGCGGCATAGTGGGTAACTGGTTTGATAGGTATGTCTTGATTATCCCATCCAGTCTTCAACAGCTACTTACCCCGTCGCAGGGACTATGATGGCCATGGCCCCGCTGGCCCTACAGCGTTCTGGAAGGTCGGAACTGCTGATCAGGTTGCTAATATGGAGGATGATCTCCTGCCGAACGCCCTCTTCCTCCCGTATGCAGCTCTCATTGACATGGATGCCGAGATTGATCTCGAGGCCGACATGTCCTACAACTCTGACGACGAGGACGAAGAGGATGATGACGATGACGAGATGGACGGAGAAGAACTGTCAGAGTTGCTGCACGATGCAGAGCTACCTCTTACAGATGTTGGTGTTTCTGACTTGATAATTGTTCATCACCAACAACTATGAATGAATGAGCATTGTTGATTTAGAATAATCGAAGGCATCATGGACACGGGCAACACATCACAAGCTAGACTGGAAAAAGCAGAACGAGTGAGGATGGCAAACGCCCATCAGTTGTGTACTTCTCCTGCAACACCGAGGAGCTAGAAAGGAAACGCGCTGTCGTAAAGACATTGGGGGTATTCTAAAATACAAAAGCAGCCCATCATATGAAGCCTCCCACCCCTTCTAATCGCGACATGCACGTCGCTTTCATCAAACGTCTCGTCTCAAATCCATCATGCCTTCCCTTCCATTGTGCCTTATATATTCATGTTCCATGTCTTAATTCCATACGCCAATTTCCGTATATCCCAGTATATGTGTCCACACGCCTTCAAATCATACCCAACCCCCTTTTAATGTATTGTCCCGCCCTGGTTGAGGATGATGCAGTTGTTCAACAGAGTCGCCGCTTCGTGCAAGAGCTCCCATCGTGTCCCCTCGAAAGTGTCCTTGAGGATCATCAGGAGTGCAGTGTTCGCGTTGATTCCTGTCCTGCCCTGCAAGTTGCCTGGGTTCTCGATGGTACCGAACTTGACAAAGTAGTTCCTCATGTGTTGGAGCTTCTCCTGTCGATTCGTTGGTAGCGGCACCTCCGGACAAGCTCCCTCAAGCGCAAAACCGTAGCTCCAGACCACCAGCGCCGCAAAGTACAGCACCCAAGGTCGGTTCAGGAGAACGTCATCACGGGCATCGTACGGCTCATCCAGATGGTAACCTCCTGCATGTGCGGGTGTCACCTGATCAGGGGCCAGTACAGAGCACAAGAACTTCAGTGCATAAAAGGCTGCATCTCTCGCTCGAGCCGAATGAGCCCAGTGGTCCTTTATACGCCTCTGAGCGCTGTTGAACTCTTGCGGGCCAATAGCACGGCCAAGAAGACGCTTCGCTCGCGCAAACATCTGGCAATCCACAATGTCCGCATGCATGGCCATGTGTGCCAAGTGGTGCAGAACCGTGCGGCTCTCAAACACAACGTTGAACTCGTTTCGCTTCAGGGCGTCATCTCGATAGGGATCCGAAGATTCGCTGCGATCCAGATGCTTGTCAAAGTCAACCTTCCACGTGTCGTACGCGCGAGTAAGTGTGGCACGCCATCGATCTCGGCCACCAAGAGCCTGGATAATACCACCGCCTAGCACATTGACCTGAAGATCCCGCTGATGCATGTGCCACGACACGCTCAAGAGACCTGCCATCAACACGGTTCTCCCGAACGAGGTTGTGTGCACCTCCTGAGCGCTCAGCGTTCGCTTAAGACCCTCCAAGAACGAGGTCGGCTTGATTCCATTTGACATCAGGTTTGACTCGATCCGCCAGACCTCAGAGCTACTTCCAGCCCGCCACATGGATTCGTCACAGGGAAGGGGAAGTCTCATCTCGTGAGCGACCATTACCGCCGAGTGGCCAAACATAGTAGCGTGAATCGAGTCGACAATAAAAGCGGCAAAGGCTGCGCGCCTGGTCGCTTCGTTCGTAACCCAATGCTCCCACCACTTGTCGGCAGTTCCAGTCGAGCTCGAGGTGGACGACTGTCGTGATCCGTTGGACCCATCTCGAGGGTTCGGTGGTGAGTCCAAGGCCGATTTTCCAATCAGAGAACGGCCTCGCCGCATTAAAGTGATGGTGGTAGCATGGTGGATATGAGCTCTCTCGTGCAGTTCTCTTGATGAGTACATCTTTTCGTATAGCTCGAGAAGAATGAGAGCCTGGAACACCCACAGCTTCGCAGGAGGCCGGAAGCTGACGTCCATGAAAATGTCCCAGCGCAAGTGCCAAGCAAGGAAATTCGAGAGCTGAGCGCCAGCCTTTGTAACCTTGTGCCCATGCGTTCGATCTAGACACGCAGCTCCGATAGCCATCATGGAGAGCAAAAGGAGGTTTGGTGTCTTGTCAGGAGAGAACGTTGGCTTGTGAAGGATAGGCATCTGGTCGCTGAAGTGATACCAGTAAGAGCCAATGTATGCCTGCATCATCCTCTTGCTGAGCATATGGTCGTTGTTCATGCGGTCGCCCTCAAGAATATCATCCCACTGGCGTTCAGACGGAGAGTGCTTGTTGTCATGGAAGCGCTCCCTAATAAAATCGAATAGCTCCTGACTCTTCTCCTCGGATATTGTCGCTTCTGGTACTTGTTGATCCAAAAGATTGTTGACGGCCATCACTTGTTGAGGAGCAGTCGGGAAATACCCCATCGAAGCACTGTCGGTGCCCAGAAGAGACATATTGAACTGGTTACCTTGCAATTCACTGTAGCTGAAATCATGTCAGTCCAAGAATCCCAGATATTCGTGTTGCGTGATACTAACTTTGTGTAGCTTGGGCCAACTACAGGGGTCATGGCCTGGCCGGGCGAATTGAAGAGATATGCCATAAAGTCCTCGGGCATTCCGACATAAGGTGACTTGTTGAGATCGCCAGCTTCTCCAAAGACAGGGACAGTTGCGGGCATAGCCATCTGATCCAACATCATCAACTCACTCGCCTGGGTTGTTCCAGGCTCCGTGTACTCTGCCGAGGTGCCGACAACCGAGTTCTGGGGGTTCGAGTATTGTGCTGGAGGCAGGTTCATGGGCATCACATTCTGCTGACTGACAAATGTGCTGGCCTGGGCCATATTGTTTTGCTGGTTTGGAAAGGCCTGCTGGTTTGCGATCGGCGACATGACGTTGAATGGTGTGTTACTGGCCGACATTGACTGTCTCTGTGCCACCGAAGGGGACTGTGGCTGGCTAAGTTGGGGTGTACGGCTATCATAACCAGGGTTTGGGGACATGTAGCTTCCCAGGCCGTCGGGTAGTTGCCCATTTGGATACATTCCGGTGGGAGTATTCATCATGGGCGAGTAAGGGTTCCCGTTCGCGTCTAGGGCTGTTTGATATGGCATGTTGGAGGGGTGAGCCTTTGAATAATCGACCGGGCGATTAAACTCGGGTGAGTTTGCACCAACTCCTACTCCAACACCGGCACCATTGCCAGGAGCAATCACTGGGGCGATATTCCCTGCTACAGAGTCCCTCTGGTTGAGCTGAGAGCCTTTTGCGGCATGTCTGTCCATATGCCGCTTCAGCAAATCTCCTCTCACGAAAGTTCGCGTGCAGTTGGGGAAGTTGCAGTGATAGGTCTGCTTCGAGTTGTGATTTAGCTGGTGGCGGTACCTGCGTATCGTTTGTCAGCATACAAGTCGAAGTGTTGCACTGGGACAAGACATACAGATGCTCTGCTCTTGAGTAGCTCTTCCCGCATCCCTCAGCAGAGCACTCAAATCTTTTGTCGAGACCCTTCCGACTTCGTCTCCGTTTCCTGGCCGGTCCAGGGCCATCCGAGTTGGAGGACGCGCCGTTATGGCCGTCGGCCTTCACATCCTGCTCGGCGCCCTCATTCTCAAGTGAGCGACTTCTTTGCCGACCACGGCCGGAAGGATTCGATGCGTCGATGGGTGAGGGGTTCTGGGCGTTCCCCATTGCGCCGGAGCTAACCGGAGATATGGGGAGGATCTGTTTCAGGTCGTTTGGATGTGAGGCTAGAATCGATGCCATGACCTGAGGTGAGGATGGAGGGAATCGAGGTCGAGAGCGGCGCGGGACGGGTGTCGAGAGAAAGGGTCAGATGGCCCAAGGTTGTGAGCTATAGACAAGACTCCACCGAGGCAGGCAGTCATAAGCTAGAAACGACGGGGGCGCGAAGGAGCAAGCTCTAACAGTTGAGGCTGCACAGTCGCAAAGTGTCGCGGCGGCGTTGCCGCAGAGGATGGCGGGGTTGTGACAGCCGAGGGGCCGCGAGAGTGGGACAGGGCGGAAATAAATCGATAATTGCTTCGTTTAGACCCCTACGGATTGATGATTGGATATTGCGCGCGAAGCATGACAGCCCGAGGGGATCAACGCCGTCGAGCTGGGCGGATGCGTGAAGAAGAACAGCAGCGCCGCAACGGAAGGTCGGCGTGCGGCGTCGAGGTCTTGGACTCGGGGTGGCCCAAGCGGATGGGTCGAATGGGAGCTGGACTGGTTCCTTAATGTCAGCAGGCGAAGTCAAGAAGAGGTGTCGCGTGTTTTTGCGGGTAAAATGCTATGCGAAGTGGATCGAGTAACGACAGGCCAGCTTTGGGGAGACCGGGATGTGGGCCGCAACTGGAGACTGGGTGATGCCGAAACGGCGCGGAGACCACTTTTTAGTCATGGACGCCGTGATTCGCCGTCTTGCCTGCGTCTTCAGCTTGTGACGTACGGAGGCTGTTGGGAGAGGCGTTGTCGAGGCTTGAGTGAGGCTTGAGTGAGGCTTCGGTTGTCTTTGCGGTCTTGCCTGGGCCATGGAAAAGTCCAAGATTTGGGTGTAACAGTCGGCTAGCATGCGGAGACTCCAGAGACGTAGTGGAGAGGAGAACCCTGGGAGGAAAAAAGTACCCTTGTCCGGCCGGCAGGCAAGCAAGCAGGGTCGAACGATACACAGCAGGGACTCGGGCGGCTGCAGAGAGACACAGAGATATATCCAGCGCGACGGTTGAGGGTATTCGACGTTGACGGGTAGTGTATAACGGCCCGTTGTTGATGAATGTCCAGGCAACGGCAAGCTGCATTGGCGCTGCGCATGCAATGGACGGCGGACGGATACGGCCGCTCATGTGGAGTCGGGAGATGGCCGAACGAAGAGAGGAGGGACAGATGTGAAATGCGACAGAGGCCGAGGTGATACAAGATATGAAAGCACACGAATAGTTACCTTGGATGTATGTATGCGATGATGTGCAGAGGATGCAACACTGAACAAGTCAAGGCTGAGGCAGATTCAAAGATGAATGGCTGATGAAATGTGATGGTTCACATGAAAGTGTGAGGACTCGAAGATCGAAGGGCGGCAGGACGTGACAGGTGAGATGAGGAGGCGAGCGAGCGAGGACCGAAGGCGTCCTTGACCGAGATGAGATGAGATGAGATAATGATGGATGAGATAATCAGGAACCACGGCTGCGTAAAATGAAACGGGCCGTCCCCCAAATAATAATAGCTCAGGCACACGCAGCAGATGCAACAACAAAAGCCGCCCAGAAACCAAAAGAAGCAACACAGACTCTCCGAGGCTTCGAAAAAAAGGTGGGATGGATCAAGAAGTTGCTCTGGGGAAGTGGCAGCAAGCGGAAACGCGTGGACGCGGGTAGGGTGGGGGGTTCAAGAGGTTCTTTATGGCAGGGCAGAGACAGACCCCTTGGACGACAGAGTCTCACCAACCGTCCAACCTTTAAACCCATCACCATCACCATCACCCCCAATCCACACCCAAGGGTCCCAATGTCCAATCCGAGTCTCGACAATCGACAAGCCTCTACCCTTTTCGTACCAAGGCCTTGCCCTCCTGGTAAAGCGCCCGTCCGCCCTCCACTTGCTCCTCCACCCTCGCCTCTCCATTGCTCCACCTTCGCCTCTCCACCCTAACTCCTTTTGCGCCGACAATGTGCTTCGTCTTGCGCGCGCACGCTCGCTCACGCCTCTGGCTGGCTACCACCTCCAACCATCAACCCTCCATTCCGTCTCCGCTCGAGACTAGCGTCGCCTCGTTCACGCCCTGGATGCCCGGCCTCGGATCGTCGTCGCCTTGATCTTGATCTTGACGATTTGGCCCATATTCCCGAAGCAGGCAACCTCGACATTGCCATCTGTCGACAGAGCAGCATCTCGAGTACGACAAAGCTGAACAGAAAAGGGCCGTCCAAACTCGGTAGTCGGCCGGGGGCTGCGGACCCATGACCGGGGAGGGGACGCCGGCAGGGGTGTAGCGCTTTGTCAAAGACTCTTTTGCTCGCCGTGGCCGGGCATCCATGATCCTTCCCTGACGATTTGGTTGCGCACTCATGGCTCGACGCCTGGACCTCCCACGGTCGACGGTTCCATGTTGCTGCATGGCGACCAGCAGGGAAACCCCGATGCCGGGTTCTTCCTCAAGGCACCTAGGCACCATGGAGCCCTGAAGCTGCGCTGCGCCCAAGAGGACTCCGTACTTGATCCGTAATGCTCATGGTCCCGTTGGTGGCTGATGGTAGTTGGTATGTTCGCTCTGAGACATTCGCATGGGGGTCAGCCAACTGTTGGTTCCTCGCGATGTGGGCTGTGGTGTTGACCAAGTCCTAGTCGTCAGAGCTGCCTGGCATCTTTCAGCTCTATGCGCCTTGTCCTTGATATACACAACACGACAGGATGGATCATCTACAAGCACACCAGTCTGTGCTCGCTCCCGCCGTCGCGTGCAACCGTTGTTGATGGATGACGCCTCGAGCTTCTTCTTGACCGGCTGGTCAGGCTACGATGGGGCTAATGTTCGTTCCCTCGCTCACGGGCCACTTCGACCTGGCGCTGTCACGTCGCCGCACAGCACTGGCCCTTGCGTGATGGGCTGCTAGTCAGCGGCCCGCTCTAGGCTGGCTGCTGGCTCTTCATCAGCATCAGCAGCTCGTTGTCCGTGGCACGAGTAGTGGCGTGCCCATCTGTACCCTCCTCCCGGGTCCTCGGGGTGGAGTCGCGGCATACGGACGGACCACATACGGACTCCTGGGACTGTCGATGACGCCGGCGCCTGCACGGAGACGGACGCATCTAGTAATACCTTCGGGACTGATCCAAGGCGTCCATCCCCTTGAAATGTCATATGGCATGAACCGGGTTCGTCGGCAATCTGGCGCTTGGTCGTGTGCCTAAGTGCCCGAAGAGAGAGCCCTGGACAAAGCAAGCAAATCAAACATGGATCTATCAAAGCAACTGTAAATGACCACCACCATGGGCACGCCGGTACCGGTACTGGGGGACTGAGACATCCACCACATGAGCGGCTCGCCATGCGTGATGATGCTCAATGACAGCGAGCCGCCACCGTACCTCGAGGTCTTTGCGCTCAACAAACAGAATACGGCTTGTTGCAGCCATTAGGTATCATGCAAATGCGTGATCCATATGTCGGCACCGCAACCCCAGGTCAAGGCCCTGCATTTATTAACAAGGTGTGGTAGCATGCCATGCCTCCCAGCGTCTCCTCGGTCATCGGTGTGGGTTTGTCGATCGCTGATCTGCACCAAGATTTAGAAAGGGTATGTCTGGCGATGCTTCGCGAGCAAGGCTGGAAGCAATGCTCCATCCCAGGTTAGCTAAAGTGGCTTGCGGTGAACGACATCGGAACCGCCGTGGTCTTCGAGAAAATCTTGCGATGGCACACCCTGGCCCGGCTTACTTCGGACTGTTCAAAGTTGGACGCACTTGCTGAGGACCTGTCATTGCGCTCCGAAGGATCTCGATAGGCGTCAGCGCAGCACACAATGGAGCCAAGCCAATATCGAGATCTTGGACGAACGAATCGCATCCCCGATTGACAACTGGGCAGTCGCTAATTGGATCCAGGCTTGCCATAAGCCTCTGATATGGTCCTCGAGCTTTCTGTTACGAGAGGGATTCGAAAGAATGAGGCTGTCGTCCATCAAGCTGGAACTGGAGCAACCACCACGAAAGCCAAGTCTCCAGGCGGCTGAGTTAGTGGGGTGCTGGCTGAAGCTTGGGCGGCCAGGGTGCGCCATTTTCTCCAACGCCCAACGCTCACGCGGTTTGCCAAGGCCCAGCGGCATGGTTAACGAGAGGAGACTGCAAGGGATTGGCACTTCTGACGAGCATGTTCCCCTGGACCCTGCAATAGAGAGTTTCAACTGACATGGGGCACAGTACTGACCTCCACGATGATCTGATGGTCCGGCTGGCAACCAGAGAGCTGGAACACCAACTTGTCAACCAAGTTAGATGACAGGCTGCCGGAGTCTGCCCGTCGAGACCGAGATCGGTCGACCTTCTGCTCGGTAACTATTATGGCTGCACTAACTAACATAGTCAGGCCAGCCCAATCAACCTCATTTGCTGCTAGTCTTGTTTCGAGACAGCCCATTAAACCGCTGACCCAGCGGTTCCATCAAAGGCCAAGAGAAACCAGGCATGAGTGGATGCAGAGATGGTGGGATTTGAGAGCTCGCTACCCTTTCATTGCCTTAGCGCTAGCAGGTCGCCTGCTAGAGTGGCCCCCCCCAGATTCTCGCTTCTCCACAGCGGCCGGCACGTTTGGCTGGGAATGTTGAATTTCAATGTACCCAGACAGCCTTGCTGGAGGCTGCGTCTCTCGCGTCTGCAGCTATTTCTTAGGCACGCAGGTCCATTATAATCCGAAGAACCCTGATTTGTTGCCTCCTGGGGCCAGCAGTTGGGTCGTAGCACCCCTTTCGACTGATCCTTATCTGCTGGAGATTGATTGGGCCCCTGATATCATATACACACAAACTGAGATTTTGTCGGCTCATCGAATTAGTTATACCGACGTAATGAACCCAAGTCTTGGATTCTGGGGTCTGGGGTCTGGGGAAGATGGCAATCAGTCACTCGCTACCGCCTCTTTCGCATGCACGTTGCGTGTCTGCCCGCGGCAAAGCACATGGTGCCATGACCCCCGTGACGAATTTCCCACTTGGACGTTGGACATGTTTCGAGTGGAGGATCGCCGTGTTCTTCGTTGACGAGGGACAATGTTATCCCTGCATGAACCGGTGGTATGCTAAAATCTCCGTCAGCAGTGGCCCACCGGTTGACTTGTATCACATCGAGATGAGGTTGGAGAAAGCCTCATCGCCGAGTTGAGATTACGAGGACACTTGTGAGCCGTTGCCCAATCGGCGTAGGAGATGCCCTCGCAATGTGCCGAATGTCGACTGATGGGCCGGCGGGCATCTATGCATCGAGCGAGTTGCAGTAGCGTGTTAGTATCCCAGCATGCAGAGGCTTGACCAGACTCCTCGGTAGCCCGGATAGTAAGGTGTTTTAGGCAAGGTTGGCGACCCAACCATCGGGTGGAAATGCGGCACTGGAGGATTAGGGCGTTACCGGAGAGGCCAGCGAAGGACGAACTTGACTCTCAAACGCCGGGAAAGTAATCAACGGCGTGCTACGGTTCATGATTTGCCAAAGCATGGCCTTGAAGAAGCAATTCTCCAAAGCCACATGGTTTGGATAAGATGCAGGTCGACGAAAAGGAAATGCGCTTTGGGGCGCCCCGTCCCGTCGGATCAGTAGTGGAGAATCGGGCCCTGGATCTTCAACCAAGTGCTGGGCGCAGCTGAGATTGGCGGCGATCGTGAGGAGGCTAAGATGACGAAGGCGCGTGGGAAAAGCTCAAGGCCGCGCTTTGCGAGCAAGTTAACAAAAGATGGATCGGAGATATCACCTAGGGTTTCCTTGGCCTCGACTTCCGACCCACACGGCAATGAAGCTTTGCAGCGTGGGGATCGTGGGGGTTATTGTTGGAGGAGATCCACCAGAGCGTGGGAGGCCATGATGGGATGAAACTTGGAGCGCGTGTTGTCAGTCACGAGGTCTCGTGATGGGAGTTGGAGGCAATATCCATGCGTTGATGAAGAGTGCTTATTCATCAGTGCCTTCTTTTTCTTGATTCCATGTCGGAATTTCGAGTCCCCACGATTCCTTGTTCTCCCGCTCCGAAAGCTCCGAGCTTTGCTGTCTCTTTGTTGCCTGCATCATCTCGGACGCAAAGTCCCTGGACCCTGGAAAACAAGTGACCACGGTAGCTTGCCTTGGAGAGCATGAACAGCTAGCGATGAACCAACGAAGATCTTTGCACCTCACGAGCCTCTTCAGATTCAGGGCGCATGGCAAATACGAGATGGAATTCTTGGCTCACAATTTCATGACTCATCTCATGGAGCAGCATGGATTGAAATCTTGAACAGATATTCAAGAATGCCTCACTTCGACAGTGTTCAAGAGGGGCAGAAAGAAAAGCCGTTCAGGTGATGGAAGTGGCTGGGAACAGATGGTGCAGACAGTCCCTGGCAGCGGCAGCGGCAGTACAGACGCCGTCGCTCCGTATTCCCGCCCGGGCGGCCACATGACGAAGATAGTTTCTCCATCTACTTATTTTTCGACATCGCCTGTTCGGTTCTTGACGCCTCCTAATAAGAACGAGAAAAGGAACCGTCCCCCCCCCTTTCCACGCCTCCCCAAGGCTAGATGGATGCAAGACTCTTTCATCTAGCCCTGCAGAATGGCTTTCACTGTCGACAAAGGCCGGAATAGGGGCGATCTGCGCCAGAAAGCAAAGAGAAGTGCTTCCACGGGCTTGTCCGACGGTTGAACCACCGGGCCGGACCCTTCTTTTTTTTTCTGGTGCCGCTTCTGGACCCCAAATTCCTTCTGTCCTCTTAACCGTTTCTGGGTCTCTTTGATGGACGAAGGGGAAGATGGCACGAGGGAGCGTGGGAACAAAAGTGGCCCCACTCATGCTCTTAACTCTGGTCTCTGGCTGGTGAGATTTTTCTCTTCCAGATGCTGTGACGTCGGAGCTTGGTGCGGGCGGTGGGCGGTAGGCGATCAATCCAGCACGCGCCCCAGATCCCCGAAAATTGCCCATACCCACGCCCTCGCTCACGGTCACGCCCCCCCGACGCCGGCCACTTCTCCTCCTCCTCCTTCTTCTTCCATAAACCGTCGATTGAAGCTGTACTGCTATGTGACCGTCTGCTCTCTGCGATCTATTTTTCTGCTGTCTAGCAAGAGTTCTACACATTTTCGCACACATCAGCGCAGCTAGCCTTCATCATGCCTCCAGCAAAATCCTCGCGAAATCACGACGACTCCAAGGCCGACGGCCCCAATTCAAAGGAAAAGGGCGGCAACGGTCACTCTTCGACCAAGATGCGTCGGGGCGCCAGCCAGCAGAATCACTCTCATCTGCGCGAAGTTACAAACGCTGCTGCCATTCATCCTCCTCAGCCTGCTGCTGAGCCTTCTCCTCCTAGTGTTGGTCACCCCTCTCCGTCCTCGCACCATGATCCTCTCCGGCTGTCTCATGGAGCCCCTCCCTGAGCCTTCACAGCCGGCTCCCCTCGTGTCTATTCATTATCATGGAGCTGACTCTTTTTCTTTTGCTACAGCTACAATGGGCCACCTTCGAGCGAGACATCCTCCATGCTTACCGTCGCGAGCATCGCCTCAACACCCCGAGCTCCTTCTCGAACCCCTACCGTCAATGGATTCTCTCGCAACCGAGCGGAATTGGCCTCCACTCCCCAACCATGGTTCGACGTCAGCAAGCCCGTCGCCAGAGCAAGGACAAGCTTGCTCTGGCCGTGCGCAAGCATTTTAACGGAATGGGCGTGCAAGAGAACGACGTGATCGTCGACTTTATTTACAAGATTCGTCACGACACCACCCGCATCTCGAAGCCGTACTCGGCCCCGACAGCCACGACGAAATAAGGGATTTTTGCGAGCAGTGCTTTTACAAGCAAGGGACGGACACATTGGGACGGAGTTTTTAGGCGTTGGGCCATGGCATCACCAAGCGCAGTCGCTTCGGGACGACTTGTGATTTTTTGCACAAAGCTGCATAGGCAGACAGGCACGTTTGCATTGGTCGCATGCACAGGTTATAAACAGGTATTGCGGTTTCGAATTACATTAGATACCATGACGAGCTGGAACAGAGTTTCCTTTTTTATTCCTACATGCTGCAGTCTTTCCCCCTGAATCTTCTATGTATGTTCGCTTGTAGAGAAAGTGCACATGGTGATTATGTTTTCGAGCGCAAAATGGTGTTGTGGGCGCTTAGTGTCCGAGGCGCCCAGATCCCTGAGCTGACCGGTTGCGCCTGGCGACCGCACACACCAACAAATACCGGGTCTGATGCGTGCCATCTTGCCTTTGAAATAGATAAGCAGATTCTGGCCGAGGACCTTGACCAACTTGTAAAGGCCATTCTGTAAGCCCCTTCTTGAAGACGACATAAAAGTAGGGAGGTTTGATGGCTGACTCCAGCTGGTCTCAGCGCTGGTAAGTGGTCCGCAGCATCGGGACGGGCGCCTTGCAATTAAGTCATGTTTCAAAACCCATCCCTACGCAGTATAATAGAAACCATGAGCCCAGCAAAAATAGTGGTTCATAAAAAGTAGATCTATTTACTCAGATGTGAATCAACTCCTCTGAATATTGAGACATCTTTGAGAGCCGCTCGGCTTGTGACGGTGCCAATACCTCGGGGTAGTTTCGGCATAAGTTTTCTTGATTGTTCAGCATGGCCGATATCGTCACCCGCTGGAAGATCGTCAGTTGTAGAACGACTACGTTTGGAGATAGATCAAGCAGCGCAAATGGCGTTTTTGCCTACAATATTTCAATCTGGCCCCCTCTAGGATTTATTGATGCGAAAGTTCAACATCCCCCATCGGCTTTGCATCGGCATTTCGCCTGTTCCTGAATTCAATCGCCTCTCAGCCAATAACTAGCCGACCTTACAAAGCAGGTGATCCGGCGTCGGCCCTATGACGAAGTTTTGGTGGATGTCTGAGGCACCAAAAGCTCGGCTCAAGCCCGGTTGGAGGAGAAGCCTCGAACTTCAAAGATTTTTGAGGAAGCACGGCGAAGCTATTCCTAGATACTAGTTTTTGCCTTGTAACTTTCCCACCTTTTCTTATTTCTGCTCCTCGATATTTTCTTCGTTTTCGGGGCAGATGAATCACTGTGGTACAAGATGAATCCCTGCCTTCTGTCAAAGGCCGCCGCTCCCGCGCGCGCTGCCCTGGCGCAAAGCCATCTCTGCACCTCCAAAATCCAGTGCTTAAGCAAAGGCGCACAGTTGCATACCGCGGCATTGCGCATCGGTTCCCGGGACCGGTCATCCTTTAAGAGAGATACCCGAGTCCCCTCGACCAAGCGGGTGAGTAATTCTTGTCAATGGATCAGCCCGGCATTTCTGATCTTGTGTAAATAGTTGTTCCACACCACGAACTCGGTCCAGCAAAAGGATCCCTACCAGGCACTCGGAGTCAACAAAAGCGCATCCGCCGCCGAGATTAAAAAGGCATACTATGGCCTAGCAAAGAAATACCACCCTGATACGAATAAGGACCCCACCGCGAAGGACAAGTTCGCCGAGATCCAGTCCTCATACGAAATCCTCTCCGATCCTAAGAAGCGTGAGCAATATGATCAATTCGGTGCCGCCGGCTTCGACCCCAACGCAGGAGGGGCTCCCGGAGGCGATCCCTTCGGTGGTGCTGGAGGTTTCTCTGGTTTCGGCGGATTCGGTGGACAAGGAGGTTTTGGTGGTTTTGGAGCACAGGGAGGGTTCGGTGGTGGGGTCAACTTTGAGGATATCTTTTCGGCATTTACTGGACAGCAAGGATTCGGCCGCCGTGGACGACAGCAAGCATATCAACAAGAGATCCTGGTCGGCGAAAATATCGAGGTCCAAGCCAGCATCACCTTTATGGAGGCCGCCAAGGGCACGAGCAAGACCATTTCCCTCACACCGCTCAGCACATGCGGAACATGTACAGGCAGCGGCATGAAGCCAGGCGCCTCGCGAGGTGCTTGCAAGGCTTGTAACGGAACAGGAACCCGTGTTCACTTTATGCAGGGAGGTTTCCAGATGGCGTCTACCTGCGGAACCTGCGAAGGCACCGGCTCGACCATCCCCAGAGGCTCCGAATGCCGAACATGTTCAGGAAATGGTGTGGTGAGGGAGAAGAAGACGATTACCGTGGATATCCCAGCTGGAATTGAGGACGGCATGCGACTCCGCGTCGACGGAGCCGGCGACGCTCCTGCTACCGGCCGAACCGCCGACCCCAATGCTCGCGCCCAGAAGGGAGACCTATATGTCTTTGTGCGTGTCGCCAAGGACCCCAAGTTCCGTCGAGAAGGATCGAATATTCTTTATACCGCCAACATCCCTCTCACAACCGCTCTGCTGGGTGGCCAAGTAGAGATCCCGACGCTAGACGGCTCAGTTAATGTCAAGGTGTCTACTGGTACTAACACCGGTGACAAGATGACCCTGACTGGCATGGGCATGAAGCGTCTTGGTTCTCGACGTGGTGGCAGTGGCGACCTCAAGGTCGAATACCGAGTCACCATGCCCAAGTACTTGAGCGCCAACCAGCGAACGATTGTGGAAATGCTCGCAGACGAGATGGGAGATAAGACGGCCAAGCGTGTGATGAACGTCGGCTCTTCTGCAAGGTGAGTGTCCCCGCTGCAGGGAAGCCGTCGTCGACCTCCATACTAACCATGCCCAAGTGTTGACCCCAACAACCCCGACTCGCACAAGAATGAGGGCTTCCTCAAGTCGATGTGGCACACGCTGACCAACAACCCGGCGCACCAAGAGGAACTTGGCAAGGGCACCGAGGGTGAGAAAAAGGAGGACCCGGACAAGAAGTCGGATGGCAGCAGCTCGAGGTAATGAATGGCCTGTATCATATGAATTGGAAGACCACGACATACTAGATGGGGAGCGCATTTGCTGGTGTTAAAAAGGTTGATATTATTTGTGTATGGCGTCGGCGGAGGTCACGACAAAACCCGACGACTCGTCTACGTAGATCTGCCAGATCTGTTGTATACCAATCCTGTAGTATAGAAAGAGGGGGCTCAAAGCTCCATCGGAGGCCACTCCCCTCATGAAATTGTAGTCGCATGACTGAAGGACAAGACTGTGGTCCTCTGGTTGCTTTGAGTGATTGCTACGCGAACATGGACATGTCATTCCACAATAGACACAGACATCACGTTGGAAGCTTCATACTCACCTTGGAGACCGTAACAAACCTCTTTGAGTGGGACGAGGAGCATGGCCTGTTGGCGGATCTTGTCTGACTTGATTAGAGTCCAAACCGTTGTATATCATCATTTAACTCACATACCAGGCATCCATCGCATAGTGATCCGCGTAAAACTCGATTGCAAAACCCCTTTCATCGCCCTCAGCCGATGGGCTTGAGCTTCTTCTTCTTCTTCTTTTCGCCCCCAGATTGCCCCTTCTGAAATTGTCGCCAGCTGCTGATCCGCTCATCCCGGGTGGCCTCCCAGTCCTGCTCGTGCTGGCGCTTCCGCTTGCGGTCCTCCACCTCGGCGTCGGCGCGGCGCTGTTCGCGGCCCTCTTCCTGCAGTTGGGCTTTCATCTGACGGCGACGCCGGTGCTCGTTGTCGATGAGCACCTCGCGAGACTTGTCGCGCCACATGCGACGGAACTCGTCAGTCTTGAGCTCCTCGCTATCAACCGTCCACTTGTTCTCGCGAATGAGGAGCATGCGCGCGTCCGCGATGGCCTCGTCTAGCCGTGCGCGATGCTTCTCATCCATAAGCTCTGTCTGTGCCTTCTTGAGTCGGTCGAAGGCGTCGGGCGCTAATGGGTTCTTTGTCTTGTCGGGATGGATGAGTAGCGACTTCTTGCGGTAACAGATTTTGATATCTGAGTCGGGAACACCGGGCTGGAGGTCTAATACAGCGTAGCTATGTCATGGTCAGCTTAATTGTATATGAATGTTCATGCGTCAGACCAGCACTTACGCGTCAAGTCGAAACGCCTTCAAAATTCGGTCTATCTCTGCATCCTGGAGCTGGATTAGCGGTGGTCATGATGTCGATGCGCCTCTCGCGACGAACCTTGTCAAACTCCTTGGCCTCAGCCTCGAGGGCATCAAGCGCATCCTTGTCTTCTTTTGAGTCTTTGCCGGCCATTTTGATACCGAGATGTCTGATGCGATGTAGTATTTGTGGTTGAAAGAGTGAAAGAAATGAACAATGGGAATGGGAATGTAGGTCAGCTTGGGTGTTGGTTGCGGTAGGCGAAGCCGGAGGGAAGGGACCCACTTACCCCACGAGATAAGATAAGGCACCCAGAAAAAAATATTGGCTGGTCGACATTGAAGCTCTCCCATCTGCTAACACTTACTTGAACAACCTTTACAACATTGCTTCTTAAGGCGCGTCAACATGCCACGCCGCGGAGCTTCACCGACCCCTTCAGAGGGCGAGGTTGATATTCTGGGATCCCTCTACCCCGGCGACGAAGACGGCGACAATGGTACCAACGGCAACGACGCTGGCCTCGACCTTGATTTTGACGGTCTCTTGAACGGCCCCGATCCTGGCAATGATGACGGCGACGAGGCCTTTATCGCCCTACAGCAGGCGGCTTCCTTTCGAAAAGCTTCCAATCTCAAGGGAAGGACGGTGAAGAAGGGTGGAGGCTTTCAGGCGATGGGTAGGAGTTTTGCGCGTCAACTGCAAGCTATGTACTAATCTTTCCCAGGCCTCAACAGCAATCTTCTAAAGGCCATTACACGAAAAGGATTCTCGGTTCCGACCCCAATTCAGCGAAAGTCAATCCCCTTGATCCTCGACAGGAAAGACCTGGTGGGCATGGCGAGGACAGGTTCCGGAAAGACTGCCGCCTTTGTGATACCCATGATCGAGCGATTGCGCGCCCACAGCGCCAGATTCGGAACACGAGCTCTTATTCTCTCACCGTCTCGGGAACTTGCGATCCAGACCTTGAAGGTTGTCAAGGAGTTTGGTCGTGGAACCGACTTGAAAAGTGTCTTGCTGGTCGGTGGTGACAGCCTGGAGGAGCAGTTTGGGTACATGGCTGCCAATCCTGACATTGTGATCGCTACACCTGGTCGATTCCTTCACCTGAAAGTCGAGATGTCACTGGATCTCTCTTCGATTCAATATGTCGTGTTCGATGAAGCCGATCGCCTATTCGAGATGGGTTTCGCTGCGCAGCTTACCGAGATTCTCCACGCCCTGCCGCCTTCGAGACAAAGTCTACTATTCTCAGCGACGCTACCCGCATCTTTGGTTGAATTTGCCCGCGCCGGTTTGCAGGACCCTAGCCTTGTGCGACTAGATGCTGAGACTAAGGTCTCCCCTGACCTTGAAAGCGCCTTCTTCTCCGTCAAGGGTGCTGAAAAGGAGGGTTCTCTATTGCACATTCTTCACGATGTGATCAAGATGCCGGTTGGACTTCCAGAGAGCGCAAAGGAGCAATCTGAAAAGGGGTCCAAGAAGAGGAAGCGAGGGCCCGAAGGTGGCAGCGGCAAGCCAACAGAACATTCGACAATCATTTTCACAGCGACCAAGCATCACGTCGAGTATCTGGCAAATCTTCTCATTGAGGCAGGCTTTGCGGTTTCCTACGTTTACGGATCTCTCGACCAAGTTGCCAGACGTATGCAGGTTGAAGACTTCCGACGAGGAAAGACAAATATCTTGGTTGTTACTGATGTTGCGGCGCGTGGTATTGATATTCCCGTGCTTGCCAACGTCATCAACTTTGATTTTCCCCCTCAGCCCAAGGTCTTTGTTCATCGAGTTGGTCGAACTGCCCGAGCGGGTCAGCGTGGTTGGAGTTATAGTCTCGTGAGAGATACTGATGCTCCCTACCTGTTGGATCTGCAACTGTTCTTAGGCAAGAAGCTGGTCATTGGTCAAGAGAACACGAGCCCGTCGTTTGCCGATGATGTGGTAGTGGGAGCATTGAAGCGAGACTCGGTAGAGTCTCACGTGGAATGGTTTAACAAGGTTCTCCACGACAACGATGATGTTTCTGCACTGCGAGGTGTTGCTGTAAAGGCAGAGAAGTTGTATCTGAAGACAAGGAACTCGGCTGCCAGCCAAAGTGCGAAACGAGCAAGGGAGTTGGTCGGATCCCAGGGATGGACGCAGCTCCACCCTCTCTTTGGCGAGGATGTGGACGGAGCAGAACAAGCGCGAGCCGATATGCTGGCAAGAATCAGTGGTTTCAGACCCCAGGAGACAATCTTCGAGGTTGGTCACCGCGACAAGTCAACAACGGAAGCTGCCCAGGTTATGAAGCAGCTGCGCAAGAACATTACACCCAGAAGGCGAGAGGAGAAGAAGGACGAGGAGGAGTTTGATGGTCTGGACGATGTACCATCCGGCGCACAGATGGATGTCGACTCTGACGAAGAGGAAGAGGAAGAGGTTGAAATGGAGGACGATGAGGAGGATTCCGATGATGATTTGGAGGTGACTATCTCCAACAATAATTCCAAGAAGGGACAGACGGATTGGCGAGACTCGGAGGTCTTCATGTCATACACACCACGGACGTTCAACGCCGCCGAGGAGCGCGGATACGGTGTCCAGTCTGGCGGCCAGGGCTCAAGCTTCATTGAAGCAGCCCGCGACGTGACCATGGACCTCACCAATGATGAGAGCGCCAAGGCGTTTGGAGCACCAACTCGGGCCAAGATGAGATGGGACACAAAGTCCAAGAAGTACGTGTCACGCGAAAACGACGACGACGGCTCCAAGGGCGCCAAGATGATCCGCGGCGAGAGCGGTGTCAAGATCGCTGCCAGCTTCCAGAGCGGCCGCTTCGACAAGTGGAAGCGCGCCAACCGCATGGGCAAGCTCCCGCACGTCGGCGAAGTCGAACGCACCGGCGGCAACACGGTCGCCCAGCTCCCCTCGGGTCCCCGGTACAAGCACAAGCAGGAGAAGGCACCCAAGGAGGCCGACAAGCACCGCGACGACTACCGTGTGCGCAAGAAGCGGGTCGACGAGGCGAGGGAGAAGCGCGTTGGAAGGTTCCGCGACGGTATGGGCAGCAAGAAGGAGCTCAAGGGCCGCGACGACATTCGCAAGGCGAGACAGGAGAAGGAGAGGAAGAGGGCCAAGAATGCTCGGCCAACGAGGAGGAAGTAGGAGTAGCGAGGATGGTGCTCCTGGGGAGAGGTTGTGGTTGGCTGTGCATGGCGTTTATTGGTTCACATGTAGAGAAAATTATGACACTATTTCGAGACCGAGTTCAACCAAGGCATATTGGATGTCGCCCATATTTCCTTCCATTTTCTGTCCCGAGGACTTAGAATGGGTTACCCATGTCATTGAACACAGCAAAGTTGCATCTGATCCAAACAAGAGTTCCTTGGGCGAGTTGTAGCCCATCATTGGCTGAAGCATACGACTCCTATTTCTCGTGTCAGTATTTCCCCTACGTGATGCCCCAAGGTAGAGTCAATAGCATACTGTGTGATGGACAGCGGAAGAAGCCGTTCGGCGTGGTGGTTGAGAAGGCCGTCCCTCCTCCTCTGCATGGCATGAGTTGATAGACATAGCACTACCTAGCTCAGCACTGCAAAGAACACAAACCAAACCTGTTAACGAAGGGCACCAAGATAAGCCAGGCGGCGAAGAATGAGCATCGCATGGCCAAATCACAACGCGAGTACCCATCATGAGCACCTCTCACTCCACTAACAATTCCGGTAACAGAGGTCACCCAGAACTAAGGAGGGTTCCTTCCCTTCGATTTGCTCTGGCTTGCCTTTTGTGTTGAATATGCCTTTCAGAGCAGGTCTAAGTAAGCCAATATCGAGTCTACCTAACCATCGGTTGATTTCGATCTATTCGAAATTTTACATCGAATAGATCGAAATAAACCAATCACACAATCAAGTTCGACCTCTTTAAGAAGATTTATCAGTATTACGTGGATGTCAATTATGATTACATTCACTTGAAGCTCGTTCCGACTGATCAGAGAAATAAGAGCCCTCCAGCCTGAGATGATGATCCAATGATCACCGTCGCTGCCAACGTAGCCCCCGACTATCTCCTCTCTGGCTGTGACTAGCCTCTCGAGTCTCTCTGCAGCACTGTCTGACCATCTCTCTTTTGTCGCAATAGCCGCTACCTGGCTTCCTTCTTATCACCTCAATGCACATCTTTAGATCAATGCCTGCCTTCGTGTCTCCCTCCCACGAAAATGGCTGTTCCTTAAACGGCATATGGCCCCCCTGCCCCCAAATCGATGACTGTCTCTTCGGGAGTGGATAATGAATGCAAATGCAAACGTTCATCGTCACATCGCTGCAGAGAGATGGGCGGTGGCTAGGTAGTAGATCTTTGTTAATCATCATTAATCTATGTACTTCTAAGGTTCTATGGCTCAAACAAAAGGAGAATACAAATTCAGGCTTAGTGCTACCACTCCTAGGTACATGTCTCCATCTACACTCCATCTACACTCCATCTACACTAACTATACCGGTGCAATTCGCCGAAACGAAGGATACCCTTCGTCCTGCTCTAGCGTTCTTGAGCTCTACTTGCTCCCGTCCATTGAAAGCCGATATCGCAACACTTGGTGGCCGTTGTTTCCAATCAGCCCTTTAAAACAACCTTGTGCGAGAAGCCTTGTGTAGCCTCCTTTGGCAAACACGCTCAGGTCACTCCTGTACGACACAGCATGGCTGTTCCGCATTGCCATGTGGGGTGGTGATCATGGCGATATGATAGAGCGGAGGACGCAGGTCGTCAGTAACGAGAGATTGGGATATGACGATTGTTGGTACATGTTAATAAAAAGAACGTTTGAAATGTGATGACTCGTAAATTGCCCCAGTTTCTACAAGTATCGTAGATTTTCTGCAGAATGAGCGTTGATCATGGATGAATAAAGAGTGGAGGACTTGCATAATGGAGTGGATCTGTGACACCGACCTGGTTACCTACTCTTTGATCTTGTATCTCAGTGTAGGTAAAAGTAAGAGTATTTTGTATCTTGATGAGTTTAATGTTGTATCTGCTTGAGGTTATTTTATTTTATTTTAGGTTCACTTTAGCCTAAAAAATAAACAGATATCGTTGAGGGCTCCTGAGGATAGACTCCTATCCATCTTGAGAGATTCCTGGATGCAGTGGAACAGCTGAGGTGCTCAAGGTCCAGCGTACAGGTACCTCCCTGCACAACACATGCCGTGCTCCATCAACGAGATCTTTATTAGGGCTAGCTCCACCTAACGTCCAACCCCCCACAACCGACCACCCCCCACAACCGACCACCCATTTTCCACCTTGCAACACCATTAGGCCACATCTTCAGACCGCGATTTCTTAACCAATATTGAAGCTATCGCCAAGCCGACTTTTGCATCGTTTTCGCCATGCCCGAATGGACCGAACAGAATATGCAAGATGCGTTACAGATGTACGCAGACGGCATTTCAATGAATAAGGCCGCCGACGCGTATGGGATACCGCGTTCTACCTTCAAGGGACGAATTCACGGCTGTAATCCGCGAAAAGAGCATAACGAGGCCCGGCAAAAGCTTACGCCACGGCAGGAAAGGAAGCTACGAGACTGGATTCTTATCCAGCACGACCTAGGCTGCCCTGTTTCTCACTCGCAAGTCAGAGACTTCGCCGGCAAGGTGGCTGTACGCAACGGCTTCAAAGATGGTGTCGGAAAACACTGGCTTGAGGGTTTTCTGACGCGTTTTTCAGACGTGAAGACACTCAAAGGCAAGAAGATTGACTCTGACCGCTATCACGGCGCTTCTACTGAACTAATTAAGGCCTTCTTTATGCTTCTGATGATGCCGCCCGTCAAGAAGATCAAGCAGAAGCATCGTTACAATGTGGACGAAGTCGGTATGATGGAAGGGATCGGACTCAACGGTCTTATTCTCGGTCGAGCAGAGAAGAAGTCAGCACTTTTGAAGCAGCCTGGTTCGAGGTCCTGGATTTCAATTCTCGAGTGTATCTCGGCGACGGGGAGAGTCTTGAAGCCCCTGGTGATCTTTAAAGGCAGATCAGTTCAACAACAATGGTTCCCTTATAACATCGACTTCCTTGAAGATTGGAACTTCACATGCTCTGAGAAAGGGTGGACGAATAACCAGATCGCGCTCCAATGGCTGCGTAATGTGTTTATCCCGGAGACGGCGCCCAAGGACCCCCGGGAACCACGACTCCTTATTCTTGACGGTCACGGCAGTCATATGACTGAGGAATTCCTCTTCGAGTGCTACGACAATAATATCTATCTTCTATTCCTCATCCCTCACTCTTCTCACGTCCTCCAGCCCCTTGACGTTGCCGTCTTTGGTCCTCTGAAGACCGCGTACCGTCGCCTTCTTTCCGACCTCTCCTCTATCGCAGACTCAACGCCAATTGGCAAGATAACCTTCCTCGTTAACTATCATAAGGCCCGGATCGAAGCAATCACCAAAGACAACATCATAGCAGGCTGGAAGGCTTCAGGATTGTGGCCAGTCAGCGTGGCCCGGGTCCTGATGAACCCGATGGTCACAGAGACACCTGAGAGGCCCAAAACGCCGCCTGCGCCTGCAGAAAGTCCTTCTGAATGTCCTCTAAAGACTCCTCGCTCAACGGCACAGGTGAAACGGGCACTTGATGTGATCTCCTTGACCTACGAGATCCCTCCGGTCGTGTCGCTGCTTATGAGGAAAATGGGGCATCATTGTGAGGATAATAGCGTCACATTGGAGATGCAGGCGAAGGAAATATCGATATTGAAGCATCAGAATGAAGAATTGAGACCAAAGAAGAGGAAAAAAGTCGTCTTTGACGGCAACGCTGAGTTTGCAAAGGTTCCTGCGATTAAGAAAGCTCGTGAGGCAATGCTTAAGATCGTACAGCCGCGCAGGACCGCCATGAGGGTTTCTAAGATAAAACAAGCTGATCTAGAGCATACATTCCATCTAAACCTTCACTAGTCAAAAAATCAGATCAATACGACTTCCCGTTGTTGGTTATTAATTGATCATCGCGATCGCATGACCTTGGTGTTGTTGTGGAAACAGGTGGTCGGTTGTGGGGGGTGGTCGGTTGTGGGGGGTTGGACGTTAGTTTGTTTCGGAGAAAAAGACAGGAACCGAAGGGAGACGCTCGAGCGTGGGTCGATTTAAACGCCTGCACGGCTGGCTGCCGTCCTAAATGCGGAACATACATGATCAGTGCTTTGCTTCTCTTGAGAGGGCCTCGACCTTCAGAGCTCATGGGTTCTTGGTAGTGCGATTCATTTATAGGTAGAGAACGGTAGATGATGGAGCTTTGACTACCTCAGCTGGCACTTCAACATGAAACGTCCAAGACTTCTCTCAGTGACAGCTGGCACCCGCCTTGCAAGCGAGCTGCGCGACCTTGAAAGATCCATTCTGCTTCCCTCAGAATCCTCTGCTCTATGCGTTGGATGCTTGTACCTCCGGAAAGATGGTCCCGCTGGGGGATCGACAACGGGGACCTCCGTGGCATGGACTGCTGCGACTGTGCAATTACACAAGACTATGCAGAAAGTTCCATTGTTCGACCATGTCACAGGGCGCTTGTTCGGGGATATCGTCTGGTTCAGGGTCAAGGCATTCTAGCGCCCGTCAGGTTTGGCGCCCAATATAGCAGCACTTTGGCCAAGTCTGGGCGAGGGAAATCCCCAGGGCTGCTCAGGGCGCTTGGATGACCCTCTCAAAGGCCAAGGTCTCTTATCGATTTGAACCCCAAAGACCGTGCTTCTCGCCATGCTATTCGTAGGTACAAGCTTGATGTTGGAGTCTCAGGTTTATGAGTGACCGCCAGGGCCTTCTCACAACTTCAAGCTAAAATTCCAAGATACAGAAAGAAGTTACAATCAAGGGGCGGTTAAGTTATGTTTTCGTACTAGCAAAGTACCCATCTAGTTTCCATATCTTGATGGCCAACTCAGTAAGCCCTCGACGGGAGTCTCGACTCTTCAGGATTGATCACACCGTCTTTTCCAAATCCTTCATCCTTCTGGGCTGTACCCTTCCAATGCCAACGTATAGACATTAACAGAGAGAGTATTGCAGATTTTACAACTGTCCAGCAACATCTGACGTGATGCGATCAGCAAGCCAAGTCAACTTCACTAACACTGCCATGCT